CAAGGAACAATTGTGAAGTCTTTGCACCCAAATATGTACCCATTTTGATCATTGTTTTCATTTCTACGTATGCAACGAGACTAATTGCCCAATCTCATTGGATAATACTTGCCGAGACTTACCCTCTAATACCAAATATAGCGCATGTGGTTTTTACCCTTTATCCTATGGTGATTTACCATAGGATAACCACGAAGTAGAACTTAACCCTCCATGTGCCACATGTTATATGCCATGTGTCCAAGGGATAGTGGTGTGGAACCCAAATTTTAGGGCCTTGGGCCATTGAATGAAGGAACAGTGTTAAACTCCCAAGCATGTAGCCAAGGAGCAATGGCACTAAAAAATGGAATGACTCCCAAGCACATAGCCCAAGGAGTGAAGGGATGGGAGCTCGGAGCAACTTGGATTAGTCCTAGAGCAACTAACATCCCAATGCCAAGACTAGCATGCAAAACGGAGCTAAATAGAGTCTGGCGCTATTTCAGCATACCGATGGCCTAACATGAGGATATGGGTACTCCACCAGCTAGCATGGTGTGGAGTTTGGGCTTAGACCCAAGCTGGATGCAAAACAAGGACAGGCACACAAATGGGAGCTAAATTATGCCTCAAGTTAGTCAGCCATGCCTGACCTACCCACTATCCCTACCATACATTTAGAACCCCCCACATCCTCCCCCCCCCCTCCTTCTTGAAGAACATATGCTTTGGGCTTTCACCCCAAGCCTCTCTTAGTACTAAGAGTTAGTCTCTAGGACAAGCTCAAAACTTGCTAAATATGGAATGTCTTTAGATTGCGAATTTGGACACGGGACGAACACCATCATGTTCAAGACAATCTCTACATTTTATAGATATACAAAATAAGCAAATCTAGACACTTTCTATAAATAGCATTTAGGACTGAAATAAGACTAACACAAAAGGCATGATAGCGAGGATGTTTGGCAGACACAGTAAGCTATCATCTAACGAATATTGAAGGACCAAGCTCAATATCCCGGGGGTTCCCAACACTAGCAAGTGCAAGTTAACGAATGAGTTTCTCTAACTAGGTTAAGTATGCTTGACTAATAGCACTTAGGAATTCCGTCCTTATGCTCATTTGGTCAAGTGCACACACAAAGATCAGTTTCTCAACTAGTTTAGGTGGAGACTGATAATGGGTTTAGCAATACCGACCTTCTGCCATCGTGGTAATAAGGAAAGAATATCCAAAAGGACTAACTGATAGATAACTTTTAATACCCGAAGTCACATTCGCAACAAGAAGGCTATCTTCAAGGCGATATTGAGAATGTAAATGCCAGAATGGCAACTCATTAACAAGTGATATAGGATTCTTAAACCTTTCTCAAAGCCTTCGAATCCACGGCTCAATCTTTTGAGCTTTACGAACCTCATCAAAAGAAGGTAGGTCTTGCTCTACACCTTGGGGACACTGAACATCAAGTACAACAACTGTCAATGGCACAGAATGTTCGTCTAGAAAATCCACAAATGCTGGAACAACAGGCTCATCAACAACATGATAAGAAAGCAAAGAAGAAAAAAGAGCTCGAGAAAAGGCATTAGCATCAACCATAAAACTCCCCGGGCGATGAACAACATCAAAATCATATATCTGAAACTTTAAAACCCACCAAGCAATACGACCAACTGAGTTCTTCCACTTCAATAATGAAGTAACGGCAATATGATCACCTTCTAGTAATGTCTGAGAACCATGTAGATATGCATGATGTTTCTCGAAACTCTAAACTGCTGCTAAACACTCTTTCTCTATCGTGGAGTAATTCACTTCCGCTAGTTGTAATGTATAGCTTATATATGCAATAGGATGGCATTGACCAAGCACACTCAGGCTCTCTTGCATTAACACACCTTCAAGACCAATATCAAAAGCATCCACGTGCAAAATGAAAGGTCAAGTGTAGTCAGGATATACTAACACCAAAGGAGTCATCAATAGCTTTTTGAGATCCATGAACACCTACTCACAATCCAGAGACTATATGAAAGATGACATTGATAACTTTAGCAACACTTGCAATGGTGCAGTGCGATCAGAAAGATGATCCACAAAACAACCGAGATATTGCACCTTGCCCAGAAAGTGTTGCACATCATTCACACACTTTGCAGTAGGGAACCTTAGAACAGCCACAAGTTTGTTAGGATTAACTTGCAAACCCTCACAAGAAATACAATACCCAAGATAAGTCGTGTCCTTGGACCCAAACACGCACTTCGACCTTTTCAACTTTAAACAAACATCTCGTAGCCGATCCAACACTCTACAAATATCATGGACATGCTTCTCCCATGTCCCTTCCGAGTGGATCAAGATATCATCAATGAAGTCAGCAGTCATCTCCAGCATATCGCAAAGAACCTCATTCATCATCCACTGGAAAGTTGTTAGAGCATTGTTCAAACCAAATGGCATCACCAAGAACTTATATAAACCAAACAGTGTAAAAAAAACAGTCTTAGGAATATCTTCTTCAACCATCGATACTTATCAATACCCAAAAGCAAGATCTAACTTGGTGAGCCAACAACTTCTCCCTAGACGATCCAAGAGATCAACAGTGTGAAAAAGAGGGTATACATCCAGAATCGTCACTTTGTTTAATGAACAATAGTCGATGCAGAAACAAATACTCCTACCAGGCTTTGTCACAAGATGAGGTTTACATGCCCAAGGACTTTACAACTTTCAAATAACACCCTTTTCCAACATCTCCTTGATGTTTGCACGTAAAATCTTGATCTCTTTGGGTGACCTAGGATGAATAGAAACTTTGATTGGATGAGTATCCCTAGTTGGAATCGGATGACGTGTGGCAATCTTGGCCCCAAATGTTAGGTCAAACTCAAAGAGATCGGCATACTCCTTCATGAGCCGGTCAACTGCTGCAATACAAAGACTGTTGGAGGAATCAGAAAAGGGAAGAACAGAACAAGACGGAAACATAAGAGGAAATAGTGAGAAGACAAAAATAATTGAAGTAGAGGTAGAAGAAGAGGGATGAAAAGGTATGGAAGTTAGAGCAATGGATGAAATATAAGAAAGTATGAGACAAAGGGGAGAAACTTCAAAGTCACATTTGGCATGATTACGTTGTAACCAATCCATACTAAGAATGAAATCAAAAGTTTGACTTGGCACCATTGTCAATGACTACAACCCAAACTCGAGATCGCCCACACGCACAACCAAGTCCACCTCATCCCGTGCACATGCATGTTTATGGCTATTGCCATAAAGAATGAAAACTGACTTTGCCGTATGACGCAAGTGTAGATGGCAACATGTGGCAACAAGTTGAACAATAGAAGATAAACTCGAACCTATATCAACTAACATGGAGAGAATAATAGGAGACCTTTTGGTATAAAAACGAGCTTGGAAAGTAAACACTTAATGAACTAGTGCCAAGTGAACCCCTTAATGATACTTCCGAAAGAAAGATAGAGGGATCACTAATTTATTCGCGCAAGGTCCTATCATTACTTACGCAACTCCTCGTTTCCCGAATGCATTTCGGTATCCAAACTTTCCACTACAGCAGCACCAACAGAATGTTGTTGACGCCAAGGTCTTCACCCAGGAAATGGTGGCCACCAATCTGGAAAACACCGACAACACTGATAAGTGTGACTAACTTCATCACATACCCAATAGCAAACATCACGGCCACGACCACATCTTTGCCTTTGTCCTTGGATGCAACATAAACTTAAGACCATATAGAAAGTGGACCGGAAGGAAAAGGCAACACCTCATAACGTTGTGCTAAGCAAAGAGCATCATCAAGGGTGGTTGGAGCAAGTGCATGCACAAGTCCGACAAAATTTTGACGAAGTGTTGGCCACAATATTTCTAGTTTGATCCACTCCGACATATTTGGCTCCACACGAAGCAAAAGGCTTCAGAAACAAAAGCCAAATTGCATCACTGACTCAGATGGCCCTTGACGAAGACGATATAATTGTTGGAAGGAATCATCACAATCGTTGGCATGTCCAAATGCACATTTGAAGATATCTAGAAAAACACTCCAATCCCCACAAGTAGTTGCGCTCAAACCATTGTATCACTATAGCTCCAACACATGGGAAACCCACACAAACATCGAGCATCATCTCAAGAATGATATGTGGCAATTACGGTGAAATGATCGAACCAATAGTACATATCATCCCCAAGATTCCCACAAAAGAACTTCGGCCGAACACGAGGATTGGCACCAAGAGTAGGAGGAGCTATACCACATGCCGTGAATGCCGCTATTAACTGAGTTTGGTTGTTCAATTGCAATTGCATAACATTAAACAATTGCACCAATTGCTACTTCAGAGTCAAAGGAGGAGGAGACTACTACTCTACCATGAAGATGAATGAAAAGGAAAGAGCAAAAGAAGAGAAATGAGAAAAAAAAAAACTAAAAGGAGATTTAGATAATGGAAAATAAATCTAAACTAAAATCTTGAACAAAAGAATAAAAGAAAGGAAATAGAAAAAATTAGATCTAGATGATATAAAAGCTAAATTTAAACTAAAATCCCAAATCCAAGCACTCATCCAAGGACAATAAAAGGTGCCCTTAATGGTGAGTCCATGGAATGAGTACAAAAAATGTGCATATTAATTAGCTCAAAAACCCTACTTTATATACAAGAGCAAGTGATCTGGATTGAAACCAATCCAACGGCTACCAACATCCCACTATGCTAATATTAATATACGGCATTATAATTGTACACTTGGACCTTATAGTCCCCCTTTTCTATAATTCTTAGATTCTATTTTGGGCAGTAACACTGTGCAGCTTCAAGCTATATACTGGAGTTCAGCAAGACAGCAAGACAAGATAAATTATCTAGTTTTGCAAGGGTAGAGTTTGTGTGTTGCCCTGCACACTGGATGTTCTTAACTACCTATAGCAATCCGATTTGAACGTGAAAGATCATTGGGTTATTGGCATAATGCATAATGTACTTTCCAGTCGGCGTCTTCTTTGCTTTGCTTTGTCTGCAAATCAGCTGGATGCCCGTGCTTCAAACATAAAAAACTATCACTAAGAGGCAAGGGGTGTATATCTATGTTGACGGATGGATGGATATAAACAAATCTGCTGCTTCTACTGTGCTGCTCAGCCGGGCTCGACGATGTGGATTTCCCTGCTTGGGTGCGCACCATTTCACATTCAAGTTGGACGGTTCCTGATGCTAGCAGGGACTTCTATGCTGGCCACGAACCAGCCGAGCCACCATGTTACGCTATACATCATACACGGACAGGCGATCCCCGATGTAACTTCTGCATATCGGGCAGTGTTTGCATCTTTCGGAGCACAAGCTGCCAACAAAGCCCGTCACGCCACCACAACGGAATTCAAACACAAACCTGCAAAGGACTCGATGTTTACACGGGAGTAACACCACGGCTATGTCACGCTCAAAGCACACCCGGCAAAGCACTTTCTCCTGCAGGGCCAAGAGCAAAAGCCAGTCAAGCTACACATAAATCACATATAATGTAGTGAAAAGGAGGAAGGCCGTACGCTCTGCAGGCGGTCAAACTCGTGCTGCTGATGCTTGGCTATTCGTGTTTGCTCCCCCAGAGCAGCTTGAAGCCTCCATATCTGCGTAAAAGCCACAGTGAGTCGGGCACTGGAGAAAACAAGCGCAAATTACCTCTTCAGCAAGGTCTTTCCGAGCCATTTTCTTGACAACATCGGGCGGAGGGCCAGTAAATGTGTAGTACCTGGAAGTACAAATCATGCATAAATGCCAACAAAGAAACCAGAGCCAAGACAGTTGATTTTCTTGTTTTACCCCGACGAGCTCGCAGATAAGAGCCGGACTTGTTCTTCTTTACTCTTTTCATCAATGGACCACCACCCAAGAAGCCTGCTCAAAGGCCATGAATTGTCAAGGAACAGAGAACTCTATATAGATGACTAACCTTGAGCCATGGTGAACAAAACCAAAGAATTCCTGCACCTGGGAGAAGATGTTCAGCGAGCTCTGCGACTCGTCACCTACGTGCATTAGCACGAGGAGCCTTTCCACGACACGCAAAACTGTAAGAAGAATAGCCAAGCCTTGCACGACCATCAGCGGCATCAGAACAACACCCACTGGAATGTTTACTGCTCCTGCTGGAGTTCCCTGAAAAGAATACAAAAGATAGTCAGCTTTGCTTGCTATCTTTGTTGACGGATAAGAAAAGAAAGTCTTACCTCGAGCTTCATACACAGTAAGATCTGCGATATCAATACTGGCGCTTTCAACAAATGTCCCCCTATGTCCTCCTTCCCACAAAAGCCGGCTTCGATGCCTTCGTCCTCAAGTACGATTGATGTGGAAGATGCACTGCAAAGAGATTCGTCTCTTTCCAGCGGCTTACTGGAAGACGATGAGGATGATGACAGAGATCCCCGAATCGAAGTGTTGGTCCATTTGGTGCAGACCAGGAAGGAGAAACACTCGGCAATACTGAGCAGCAATAAGCATTAGCAAAGGCTATAAACAATGCAAATGCAACGCTTACGCGTAGTTTATGAACAAGTCCCACCAGCCAAGCGATTCAAAATCCCCTACGCGGACAAGGAGTGAAAATTCCAAGTACTGATACCGAAAATCTTTTACCAGTTAATTTTAACAAGGTAAGAACGGTCGCAGCCACAAAGAAGACCATCGAAACAGATATCCAAAAATGCTGTCGAGGCACAGAATTAGCGCAGAGAAGTAGACCCTTTGGAAACTTACCGGAAGTGTTTCCCAGATTATATCATCAGTTAAACTTTCTTCGTCTGCCGGCATCAGAGCCCTGCACATCCTGCACAAAAAAGAAGTCAAATGAGAAGAAAGGACAACTTTAGTACCTGAAGTTATCAATTAAAATCAGGAGTTCAAGACCCAGCAATGGCACGAAGACAAGCTTGAGGCTCAACAGCGGCTCCGCATACACTGCACCACAGGAAAAAAGAAAAAACCAAAGCGGTGAAGGAAACACTTGCGTCTTTCCGGGGCTCGTAGAAAAACTAGTAGTACTTCCAAAGCGAGAGTTTTTACCTTCGCGGCTATGAAGGTAGGAGCACAAGAGGAGCTCAAATGCAACAAGCAGCGGGATGGCAACAACAGCATGACAAGGAGCCCACTACACCCGCGAGAAAGAAAAGGGAACCATCAGTGAAGAAAAAGCCAAGGGAATTCCCGCAAGAACAAGCAACACGTACATGCCTATCATGAGGTGGAGATGGTGCCGGAACGGAGAACCTCCCCCTAGAAACTATCCCATGAAACACCCACAGTGGAAGAAACACCCACCTGAGAGAGAGCGAGAGAGCTCAGAAGAAAGAAACTTATCTTGCTTGAGAGAACTCACCACCAAGACAAATGGAAGAAGAGATCGTGACGATGCGGAGGAGCCGAGGAGGTGGGGGAGCCGAGCTTGACAACGAGCAGGCAGGAGAAGGCCATCAAACTGCAGTAGGCGGCGAGCTTGCGGAGCGATCTTAGCACGCGAGCGCCGCTCATGACTCTCTGTGGCGGCGGAGGCATACTTCTCAGCGTGGGCGGCATGATGGAGGAGAATCCTCCCACTCCCACTTCCACCCAAGACGAAGCAATCCCTCCTCTCATCCCACGGGCATCCTCCTCGCATTCTCTCCTCCCCCTCCTCCCAGCTCGCTACAGTGGAAGCTACCTCTTCTAGCGCTAGCGTCGATTGCACGCCATGGGATGGGTCTTTTTCCACGCACCGCGCCTTCGCCCACCTCCACCGCCGGGACACACTAGGGTCTCCTGTCCCCCGGCATATGCTCCACGAATATCCCGCCATCTAACGATAATTCTCGCGCCATGCTCCGCGCAGCATCGCCATCGCCTGCGCCACCATAGGTGAGATCAATGCCAAGCTCATAGAACGAAGAACATCCATCGCTCTCGCAACACGTGAAAGAAAAAACTTACTCCAAAGATCCTGCCGCGAGATCACGTCGGGGACGTTGAGGTGCGACTCCACGGCTTGTTTGGCCACAGCGGTGCCATGGGTGACGCATCCCAACACGTCGCCGTCCCCTCTCGTCGCCAACCACGCGATGCATCCAGCCACCAGGCAGTCTCCAGCGCCGCTCAAGCTCGCCACTCGAGCCGCCGCCGCTGGAACGTGAAGGCAGCGGATTGAGAAGCTACTGCCGCTGCAATGCCCAAGATCACGATCACGATCAAAGCTTCCATAGTCAAGGAAAAGCAAGAGCTACCTTGCAGACTCCAGCGTGCAAGCTAGCGAGCCTTTGCTGCCCAGCGTCACAATAACATGCTTGACGCCTGCCTGGAGGAGGAGATGGATGTAGCGCTGCTCCTTGCTCCAGCCACTAGGAACTGGAGCAGTATCAAGACTCGATAGTGATTCTCCCATAGCAGCCAGTTCTTTCTCGTTTGGCGATACGTAAGCAAGCTGGAGAAAAAAAGAAAGAAAAGAAGCCTTTGTGAGCCACAGCTCGTGAATGATAAGATACAACTTACGTATTTGTAGAGGCCAGCAGCCCTGACGGACTTGGAAACTGATACTGGCTCGAACCACACCGGAACCTCTGCTTGCTCCGCCACTGGAGTTTCTCCGTTAGCAATTGATGATTTATGAGAAGTGGATGACTACTTACACTTGCAAGCTGTTTCCAGTGACTCGGGAGTGAGGTTGGCATCCAGTAACACAACCGGTGCTGCTTGGATGATGGTCGAGAATTGCGAGATCCAGTCCGGGGTCAGGTGTTTCTCCTGGAAGCTTGATCAGGAGAAGAAAGCACTGACATACTCACAACTGTTCCAGTGTCGGCTACACCAGCAGCGACTTCGCCCGTGGTGTCGAAAGCGATAGAGATGACTGGCGTGGCTGCTCCACAACACCTTCGAATGCCTGGAAACCTTCACTGTGAGCAAAACCAAGAGCGTGCTACTACCGTTTGTCGTTAAGCCCAGAGACTTCCAGTGATCCACCAGAGCATTTCCTAGGCAGAAATCTCAAAGTTTAGAAGAACTTGGGAAAGATCATAGCATCTTTAACCAGCAATGTCGTCCCCGACGATACTGATGAGAAACGAAGGCACTCCGAGCTTGGCCATGCACTCGGCCACATTTCTCCCGACTCCACCATGGCTGTACTTGACCTGCAAGAACCATAGTCACCAAAAGGACAAACACTTCAGTGGAGATTTTTTGTTTCGGGGAGATACCTGGCCGACGACTGTTGTGCCACGACTGAGCTGAGTGGAGGGAAAGGATTGGATGTCCGCTACCATGGCACCGACAACCACCGGAAGACCGCAGGAACTTGTGTTGTCACGATCAATGCTCTAGAAGCAAACAAAGTCAGTAGCAGCGCCAGGAGAGCGACTCACCGTCGTCGCAGCTTGAAGATGGCGAGCTATGGCCGAAACGCGGCTGTGCCCCGTCTCCATTCCTTGATAGGGCTTGGAAACGAGATCCACCTGGGCGATGAAGTTATTCGAGTGGATGTTTGCGAGTAAGACATAGGCGGCAGTGTTGGCTGGATCGAAGCATCCAGCAGCCCAATTCCTTCTCCTACAACACGATCATCGCGGCGCTCGTCCGCAACGGCTGCGTCAGCTACGCCAGGGATTGTTTGACTCGTTTTTGACACGGTCTCGTGGAATCACATGGACGAGACGAGGCAACTGTTTGAGCAGATTCCACACAAGAGCATGTACGCCTCAAATCCTCTCATTGCAGCATATACCCGGACTGGGCAACCTGATCATGCCCGACTCGTGGACGGGGACTCATGCCCGCGTGCTCGCCGTTTCAAAGGAAAAGAAGGTGTTGGATGCGATGCCCGTGTGGGACGTTGTGTCTTGGAACGGTTGTGATATCACCACATACGGCATACTAAGCACCATCTCTTGGAACGCAATGGTGCAGCAGTGGATTTCTCTACGAGGCTTGGCTTTTGTTTGAGGGCACTCTTACGGGTATGCTGTGCTCAGAAGGGTTATCGTGGCAAAGCCGCCAACTTGTTCCACACAATGGTTATGCTTGAGGGGCTTTTGCATCTGCAAGCTCTCGATGAGGCGGTTGGTTTGCTGGAAAGATGCCACAACACAATGACATGGCCTGGAATTCCAATCTCATGCGCATCACGGGGGCACGAGAGCTGATGAACGCAGCCCAGGAAACACCATTCCGGATGAGCTTCCGGAATGGTGTTTCCTGGGCTGCGTTCGGGAGCGCAAAGTTCGTGTTTGAAGAGACGGTTCTCGCGAGAGACGTTCTAACGTTTACTGCGATGGTGAGCCCGAGCTGGAAACGTGAAGGAGGCGAGACTTTGTTTCGAAAGAGTGTGGTCTCGTGGAATTCCATGCTCCAGGCCTACCCAGAACGACTGCGTGAGCGAAGCACTGGACTTGTTACACACGAGCAATGCCATGATCCACGCCAATTGTCTGCTTGACGACGCAAAATCTCTTTTTGACAGGCTACTAGTGACTTGGACTGGGATGATAGCCGCATATGCTCAGCTCGGGCACGTCCATACAAGTCTTCTCGGGCATTCCGGACAAGTGCTGGACAGGATTCCTTGCCGAGAGGTCCCGGCTTGGAATGCTGCGATCACGGGCTTGATCCAGGCAAGCACTGGAGCTGTTTGCGACAATGGGCCGCGCTGGGGGGATGTAACGTGTCTTCTGTCCGGCAGGCAAAGATTCACGAAAGCTTGGCTGCTGGCTGCTCGAACAACGGAAACTCGATCGGCATGTATGGCAAATGCCACCATCATCGCGTTCCAGCAGTGACGCTGCTGCTGCTGCATGGTCACGAAAATCTCCCAAGCTTGATCCAGACGGCCGCGGCGTACGCACAGAACGGCCACAACCCCGCGGCGTGGAGCTGTTTCGAGTCATACTGTGGATACGACTGTGAACCTTCGTCGCCAGGCACATTGTAACCGACAGAAGAACCGGCTAACGAGAATTGGTAGCGACAGGAACACAAGTGGAAGGTGTGGAATCCGAAGGATCAGAGCCTCCCTTGAATGAACAAGATGACGATGAGGAGGACGAGTTAAACAACATCGATCAAACTGGAGAGGAGCCAAAGATAAGTCATCTCGTAGTAGCGCAGTTTGAGAAGGTTTGGTTGTCTGAAGTTAGAGATGGAGTTGACTTTGTCTTTGCAGGTAACTAGATCAAAGAGCAAGTGGAAATGTATCCTCGAGGATGGGATTATGAACCTCAATAATCGTGACAGTCTTTTTGTATACCCTCAGGATGGAGAGTTCGATTGGACCCTTAGTTGAGGGGATCATATAAAAGTTCCATCAAAACTTACTTTGTAAAAATTCGAGAGAATCCAAAGAAGTTTTGGAAGAATTTTGATCGCGGTACCCGGGCTAAGCTCGGACACCCGAGGTCAGGCACCTCACCCTAAGACCCCACTCTCCCGCTCCATGCTCTTGCTCCCTTGGGCGTCTCGCCGGATCAGAATATATGATCTCGCTATCTCCTCGATCCTGTCATCCTTTGAGAAGCATTTCGTCCAGGAAACCACGTCGTGGCAGCGATTGAACTTCTCATCACGACTCCTACGTCTTGAGGCTGCATTACATCTGCCACTTCCTGCATGCTGCAATCTAGACACTGAAGCTAGCACAAAAGGAGGAAAAAAACATCTCTTACCCACAGTTCGTGAGAACGTTCTGATCCTCCTTCTTGCCTCCCTTCTTTCCACTGCTGGCTGTGTTTCGGACCTGAAATAAGTTCATGATACACAGACCTTAGGAATACAGACCGTGAATAACTGGGTGAACTTACGTCAGTTTTCGTCCGCCCACTCCAAGGAAAGGGTTAAAGGGTTTAAGACAATTTTATTATGGTATTTTTTAAAATTCCACTTTAATGTGATTGTTCGTTTATTCAGCGATTGCAGTATTGGTTGGACAGCCAGATTTTGGTTCTCCCGCTCCAGCTCACCGTCGCACGTTGACAAAACGTTGAGTCACGGTGAAGTTGTCTCTCACATTTGTTTTGTTTCTTCTTCAGGGCTCTTTAGCTTGCAAAGGAGAAACCCAGTGATAGATGGGTTGGAGCTGTAATGTCGGCATTGGCGCAAGCAAAGTACATGACGGGTATGATAACTTTGTAGCCTTTTTCATACGGAACAATAGTCACGGGCGACAATGAAGCATCGGCAGATTTGTTTCGTGAAGCTTTGAGACTGATGGAGAGGAGTACCACGGAAGATCCACACCTAGTGTACGAGAAAAGAGTCCTAGAATGTCCTAGAAAGAATTTATGTTCTAGTATGAGATTTTATTTGCTTTTGTCGACCTTTCAAACCCATATTACCTGGTTTATTGTATCATTTGCTTGATACCAAAGCGCTATAAGGTGTCTCATCGATAAATGGGGGCACTTCCCAGATTTCCGCAATGCTTTTGCCTAGAACACAACCAATCAAGGAGTTATATCGAAACTCGTTAGTACCTCTCGAAAGCTCCTCTTGATAACGAATTGGGAACTTTTCTCTCAGCTCCGGCTCTAGCTTGTTTAGTTTTTCTTCAAACCGTAGTTTAACAGCGGAAATGTACTCAGCCTGTAGAACAATACGAGTTAAAATCAAAGCCAGCTGCCAACGTACCAGCATTTGTGAACCGAGTTTTGGTCCATAAACTTTGTAAAACACGCGCACTATGTTGAATGAGTTGTCTTTGACGTCCTCCTATATTCATCATCCGCAGGGGAAATCATTAAAGCCTTTTGTAACTCACCTCGTAATCAGACCTGCATATATATATATAAAAGGAAGTTAATCAGACAACAAATCCACGGGGATCACTTACAAGTTATCTGCTAGCTCCACAAGAAGATTTGACAACTCTAGAAAGCAGAAGTGGAACTCATTCACCTCTTCTCCCCTCATTTTGTAAAGCAAGAGGTTGAGCAACTTGTAGTCGGCTGATTTGAACTCCAAAGCTCTGCGAGCATCTAGGATTGAAATTTGATCTTCTGGACCGGAACGACAAATGGATTGCTCTAGTTTCAAGTAATGGCATCCTTTCAAAAGTTCATTTGCCATCCTGCATTGTTTCAAGCAATGATTGAGCCAGTTGAATGGACATCAGACGTACCTATCCGTCCAGAGATTTCGAGCCGCGAGTTCCAGTTTAAGTCCATAAAAGGGATCCACGTCATTGACTGGGTCATGGATATCCTGCATTTTCTTGAGAGCTTTCTCGTATTCTACATCGACCTGTGCCCATAACAATTCAGATTATCCATAGGGCTCTTGGAATTACAGACCTCATACACATAAGCCTCCGTGAAAGCAAGAACTGGCAAGTACTTGAAGTTGTGTTCGTGGTTGCTGGGATCCAGGCCATGGAACATGAAATGTGAGATGCACTAAAAGCACGCGGTTGTCAGTCATGGAAATTGCAACTACATCTTACAAAATCATGGAGTGATGTTCTGGAGCGTTCCAAAGCTTCCAATGAAACATGAAGCCGATGAGGCAGGTCAAGGTTTTGGTTTTGCTGTGGAGCTGCAAGCTGACAAGCTCCCTGAGATGAGAAAGAATGGATAGGCTTCAAAAATCTTAAGCCACTCCTGCAAGTGCTAGCCTGCATCACCACGTTTACACTCATTGGATCAGGGATTCACAAGAACTTCTGTGAAGACTAAGTCACTGAGGATAGAATTTATAGTGACATTCTCAATAATATGCTATTTCTGCTCATCTGTCTAAGGTGCAGATTTAATACATATATATTCGTCTAAAACATCATAATACGAGGGATTGAGATCCTTCTGACCCACAAAAGATCATTGAAAGGGACAATAGAGTGCTACATATGTTTTGGACAGTTTTTAAAAACTTGTAGGACCAGATAAATAACTTATTTAACAAGTCAAACTTTATTGTCAGTAAATATAAAAATTGTATTGCTGGGACCTATTCTGCAATGCATGGATTTTTTTCTCTCTGTGGTCCCTCATCTTCTCTTCATTCGTGCTCGATCCCCCACAACCTGTTGTGCGTGTTGACAATATGTACGTCTGGTCTTGCTTGTCACAAGAAAGATTGGTGAGATCTCTTGTGGGCCCTTGTAGAATATAGAAGTGTACAATATAGCTGTACATATATAATTGTGGCAGGTGACGAGAGGATATTGTATTGTGTACATATTTATATTAATATAAACATAAAGATACATATCTGTCACAATTGGAATTAAGCTCCTCCATACCTCCCAACCCAACAAAAGATCACCAAAAAGAAACAATGGACAGTGCTAAGAATTGCAAATTAAGATGACAAAACAATCCAGCTAGAGATTTTATACAAGTGATGGCAGCAGAAAAAAAGAAAAGTATTGCATCTTGTTTTTGGTGAACCTTTATCTCTTGTACAATATACAATATATAACACCCACCGCAAGGAACGCAAGTATGCAGATATGACAATTGCTGTGGCCGTTTTCCAATCTCAACCCCCAAGAAGCATGAGGTAGACAGATTTGGTGGATGACACTCTGGCCAACAAAAGCTGTGAAAACTTGTTACAAAACATTACAAAAAAGGTTTGGCATTTCTTGGTGCAAAAATCCAAATAAAAGGCAGAAAATGAATGTAAACACTTTGAAATTTGAACAAGAATTGCCAATGTATGGTTTGGTGGATCTCCCTAGTGACACGAACCACAGGAATATTTTGAAAATATTCTATAGTTTGTGGAATTTAAGGCTATAACACCTTCAAGGGTTGAGAAGTTGGCCTCTTACTTGTTTCATCACAGTAGCATAAGCTAAAGTCAAAGTATTTGGACTATTTAGAGATTTTGACTATTTTTGAAGTTGATGGCTAATAAATGTTTTGTTATCATGTAACTCTTGCCATTTTATAGTTATTCCTTTTTATCCACACTTTATTTGCTGTAAATATAGTAAATTTTCTTATAATGAACCAATTGTTAAGTTTAGATCAATAGGCCATTGTAACAAAGAATCCAGGCCATGGAACATGAAATGTGAGATGCACTAAAGGCACAGGCTTGTCAGTTATGACAATTGCAACTACATCTTACAAAATCATGGAGTAATGTTCTGGAGCGTTCCAAAACTTCCAATGAAACATGAAGCCGATGAGGCAGGTCAAGGTTTTGGTTTTGCTGTGGAAATGCAAGCTAACAAGCTCCTTGAGATGAGAAAGAATGGATAGGTATCAAATATCTAAATATCCTTTTGACCCTCTTGAAAGGGACAATAGAGCGCTACAAATGTGGACAGTTTTTAAAAACTTATTTCCTAAGTGAACCAGATAAATAAACAAGTAAAACTTTACTATCAGTAAATATAAAAATTGTATTGTGACAGATAGGAAGCATGGGACCTATGATGCAGTACATGGATTTTTCTCTCTCTGTGGTCCCTCATCTTCTCTTTTCTCCTGTTTGATCCCCTGCAACCTGTTGCACGTGTTGACAATATGTACGTCTGGTCTTGCTAGTTGCAAGGAAGATTGGTGAGATCTCTTGTTGACCCTTGTAGAATATAAAAGTGTACAATATAGTTATACATATATAACTGTGGTAGGTGATGAGAGGATATTGTATTGTGTACATATTTATATTAATATAAACATAAAAATACATATCTGTCACAATTGGAATTAGGGATCCTCCCATACCTCCCAAAGATCATCAAAAGAAATAATTGATAGTGCTAAGAATTGTAACTTAAGATGTCACAGGTCATGGACTGTTGCGAATGATGCTTGTTATCTATAACAGGCTAAAGTATTACGTCTTGTTTTTGGTGAACCCTATCTCCTGTAAAATATAAAGTACACAATATACAATATATAACACCCACCACAAGGAACGCAAGTATGCAGATGTGACGATTGCTGTGGCCGTCTTCCAATCTCGACCCCCAAGAAGCATGAGGCAGACAGATTAGGCAGACGACACTGTGGCCAACGAAAGCTGCGAAAACTTGTTACAAAACATTACAAAAAAAGTTTGGCATTTCTTGGCACAAAAATCAAAATAAAAGGCAGAAAATGAATGTAGGGATTCATGTAAGACACTTCGAGATTTGAACAAGAATCACCAGTGGATGGTTTGGTGGATCTCCCTAATGGCGCTTGAGGAGCTCCTGCTAGGATATACTAGGGCTCCGTGCCCCCGTCACCGCCGAGACTGCTGGTAAAAGCATTTTTGTCGCCATGGGCGGGAAGTAAGATTCCTTGCTCCCAACACTGTGCAACCACCGCAGCTCACGGCACACGATGCTTTCTGGAAGAGCATGGCATCTTCGTCCCCTAGTATCACTACCAGTGGCTTCTCGTTTGCACCTGAGGAGCAACATCACCTTCATTGGGATAAAGAAAGAGATTGTCTGTGCCAGTGCATCCTCAGGTAATCGCTGTAGATTTTACGACTGTCGTTGCTGCCAATGTAGAACTTGCACAGCTGATGATAGCCCAAGCGAGCAAGCCCCGTCCCTTGCAGATCTGCAAACATTTGCCTCCACCACGATTTCTGAGCTCATGAAAGAGGAAAAGAAACTCGATGGAGCTTTGCTGAGACATGATAGTGACACGGTGTTACCTTTCACAACATTGCAAACTCTCATTTCGGAATATATGGTGGAGAGCCTCAGTGTGCCCACTTTTAGAGTTGGATATACGATCACAACGACCGCACTTGACATTCTCTACCAACAAGTAAGCTCTTCTCGCGGACGCTAATACATCCTTTTCCTTCTTGGCTTTATCCCTTTACTTTATCGACTTTAGATCAAATGCAAAGGTGTCACCATGACTGCTTTGTTGGCCAAAGCCACTGCGTTAGCGCTTGCTCAACACCCAGTTGTGAACGCAAGATGCAAGGATGGGAAAAGCATCTCTTACAACTCCAGCATAGATCTTGCGGTTGTCGTTGCCATCGATGGTGGTCTCATCACACCCGTGCTCCAAAATGCTGACAAAGTAAGCCAAACTCTCAGCCTTCGCTCAGCGTCTGTGCTTGTTTTCAGATTGACATTTATTCCTTATCACGGGAGTGGAAGAAACTTGTGAAGAAGGCCAGGGCCAAGCAGCTCCAGATATCCGAGTGCATGGGTGGTAAATATTGTGTTTTAAGTTGGAGTCAATTGTTATACTCATTGCATTAATTCAGAAACTTTCACCATTTCCAACATGGGAATGTTTGGAGTGGATCGCTTTGACGGGGGCCAAGTATGTAGGTCTGTCTAGTTTCGGGATCAATGCTATTCTTTTGCAGAGTGCGATTCTGGCAGTAAGTTCATCTAGACCCACCATTGTTACGTCCGGAGCTGGCCTTTTCAGGGTGGAAAGTCAAATACAGGTAAACTTTGTGATCTAATGTGATCTCGGTATTTGACCACGCTTTGCGAGACAGGTGAATGTTACTGCTGATGCTCGGATCATTTACGAGGCTGAAGTTGCGGCTTTTCTACAAACTCTATCTAAAATCATCAAGGATCCTAAGGATCTCACCTTATAGCGTAGATTATATCCCATCTAGAATCTTGTGTTTTAATTACTATAGTTAAAAACACATTCTTATATTGCTGTCTAAGTTGGGCCTTCCATTATTAAAATATGACAGAATAAATTTTGCTTGTTGATTTTTGTATGTAAAATATAATGTATTGGGGAATGGGACCATCTGTCACAATTGGGATCCTCCTGACCCACAAAAGATATTGAAAGTGACGATTGAGCAAAAGCTACATATATACTTATATATTTGTCGCAAGATACCTAAGTATATTCCAATCTGTATACATAAAGAACTAAGCTTACTTCCACATGCCAGTATGCTAGAAATGATTCTTACAATTGTGCTCACGCTTGGTCTCATACTAGTTGTGCTCTTGTGTACTAACAAGCGAAATCAAAGTTTTCCACCATCTCCAAGAGCGCTGCCCATCATAGGCCACATTCATTTGGTAGGAAAGAAACTTCCGCATGAGTATCTTTTCCGGCTTGCAAAGCAGCATGGAGGGCTCATGTACCTGCAGCTGGGGAGAATCAAGACACTAGTAGCTTCGACACCAGCTGCTGCAGAAGAAGTTCTCAAGACTCATGACCGTGCATTTGCTTCCAGGCCTGCAAACTCAGCAGCCAAGTATTTTGGGTACGACGCGACGGATTTGGTATGGGCTCCTTACGGTGATCACTGGAGGCATTTGAGGAAGATTTGCACTCTTGAGTTTTTCATTACAAAGCGCGTGCAGATGTTCCAGCCCGTGCGGAAGCTGGAAATGTCCATGCTCATCACGGAACTTGTGGAAGCATGCAACCAGAGAAGGCCTGTAGATATGACTTCCAGGTTTTTCCAATTCGCCTTCAACACCATGAGCCGCATGGTGTTGAACAAGAGCATTTCGGACGCCTCAGGTAGTGAATCTGAAAAGCTGAAAGAATTCCTCAACAACCTCAATGAAGCCTCCAAAGTTGGGAATGGTCTGCAAATCGGGGATCTTATCCCATGCCTCAGCTGGGCTGATCCCAAAGTCTTCAGGATCAAGTGGCTCCAAACACAACTGGTGAACTACCTTGGAGAGCAACTTCAAGAGCACAAGAAAAACCGGGAGTCTCATGACGAGGTGAAGGATTTTATGGACGTTTTGATTGCTGGTGGAGTTCTAGATGATACCAGAATCAAGGCGTTGACTTCGGTAAGACATAGTCTAATTCGGGAGACGTTTGAAGTACTAACTTGTTGTTTTCGCGTCTCAAGGATATGCTTGCAGCAGGTACAGACGCCATCGCAGTCACAATTGATTGGGCTCTGGCCGAGCTCATGAGAAATCCCGAGTTAATGCAAGAAGTAAAACAAGAACTGGAGGAGGTTGTCGGAAGCAAAGGTACCGTGGAGGAGGAGCATATCCCAAAGCTCGAGTTTTTGCAGGCCATAGTCAAAGAAACACTTCGCTTACATCCTCCGGCACCTTTGCTAGCTCCTCACGAATCCGTGGAATCTTGTAACATCTGGGGATACAACATTCCTGCAGGAACAGGGCTGCTGGTGAATGCGTATGCTCTTGGAAGAGATGAATCTACTTGGAGCGAGGCCAACAAGTTTAATCCCAAACGTTTTCTGGAGACAAAGTCTGATGTGCAAGTCACAGGTCAGAACTTCGAGCTGATACCCTTTGGATCAGGCCGAAGAATGTGTCCCGCATTGAGCATGGGTCTCACTATGGTGCACTATGCTCTGGCTACAATGCTGCACACATTTGAGTGGAGCCTCCCAGATGGAAAGGACGAGGTCAATATGAAAGCTTACTTTGGCATTGTTTTAATCAGAGAGGAACCCCTAATGCTCGTCCCACGACTGGCAAAATCATGTCCTTGATCCAGCAGCCAACAAGAGAGGTTGTTTTGTTTTAATAAGAAGAGCTGATTTCAGCTCTCGAGCAATCCTACTTGGCTCTAATTGAAATTTTAATGGGTGATTCATTAACGTGGCTTGGAGGCGGAGATGGATGTAGTGTTGCTCTTTGCTCAGCCACTAGGAACTAGAGCAGTGTCAAGACTCCGATAGTGTTTCTCCCAAACCAGCCAGTTCTTTCTCGTTTGGCGATATATAAGCGAGGACACTAAACAGTTTCGTCCGCAGTACTTTCTTCTCCTGGTCAAGTTTCCAGGAGAAACACTTGACCCCGGAATGGATCTCACAATTCTCATCCAAGCAGCACCGGCTGTGTCGCTGGATGCCAACCTCACTCCCGAGTCACTGGAAACCGCTTGCGAGTGTAAGTGGTTATCCAATTCTCATAGATCATCAATCGCTAACGGAGAAACTCCAGTGGCGAAGCAAGCAAATGTTCCAGTGTGGTTCGAGCCAGCATCAGTTTCCAGTATCGTACGTAAGTTTTATCTTATAATTCATGAGCTATGACTCACAAAAAGGCTTTTCTTTTTGTTTTCTCCACTGCGAGCAAAACGGAGAGAGAACTACTACCGTTCGTCGGTAAGCCCAGAGCCTTCCAGTGATCCACCAGAGCATTTGCTAGGAAGAAATCCGAAGTTTAGAAGACTTGGAAAGATCATTGCCTCCTTTACCAGCTATGTTCGTCCCCTACAACACTGATGAGAACGAAGGCGAGTTTGGCCATGCACTCGGCCGCATTTCTCGCGACTCCAGGGCCTGCAAGAACCATAGTCACCAACAAGACAAGCTTTTCAGTGGCGATTTTTGTTTTGAGATCTTTTGATCGGGAGGTACCTGGCCGACGACTGTTGAACCGGCAACACTTTTGTCGCCATGATAGAGCGCAAGGAGAAGCGAGTTTATACTCACCGTCGTTGCAGCTTGAAGATGGCGAGCTCTGAAACGCGGCTGCGCCCCGTCTCCATTCTCCGAAAGCTTTGGAAAGGAGATCCAACTGGCTTACTCCTCGCCCCGGGAGTGGATGTTTGCGAGCAAGACGTAGGCGGCAGCGTTCGCTGGATCGAGCTCCATCACCCAGTCACCACCCACATCCACACCGCTGCTACCCAACAGAGTCGCCCACGCCACTGGATCCGGGTGGAAGGGCATATGTCGGATCAAGTCCTCGGCTTGCTCGGCCATGGCTGCTCGTCCCAGTCCGTCGATCACACACATGTAGTGCGTGGGAGCCGCGTCAACTCCCTGGTAGTCTCGCTGGAGGAGCGACTCAAAGCTCCACCTCGCGGTTTCCAGCATCCCGCCATGGCTGCACGCCGACAGCAAGCTCACAAACGTGATTTCGTCCGGCTCCACGCCCTCCACATTCATCACTCGAAACAGCTCCACCGCCTCGGGGTTGTGCCCGTTCTGTGCATACGCCGCCACCATCGCGTTCCAGCACACGAGCTCCTCCTGCTTGCAGCCATGACGCTGCTGCTGCTGCTGCTGCTGCATGGACACGAAGATCTCCCAAGCTCGATCCAGCCGGCCGCATTTGCCATACATGCTCAGCAACGCATTGCCAACTTTGATCGAGTTTGCGTTGTCCGAGCAGCCAGCAGCCAAGCCTTCGTGAATCTCTGTCCCGTGCCGGATTGAGGACATGTTGCCGCACGCATCTAAGACCTCGATGTACGTTACTTCGCTTCCTCTCAGTCCTTCCACGTCCATTGTGGCAAAGAGATCCAGTGCTTGCCTGGGATGCCCGCTGAGGGCATAGCCCGTGATCGCAGCATTCCAAGCCGGGACGTCTCGGCAAGGTATCCTGTCCAGCACCGCTCGAGCTCCTGCCATGTCTCCGTTGTTGGCATACGCCGCCACCATAGCCGTCCACACAACCACGTCCTTCTTGTCCGGAATGCTCGAGAAAACTTGCATGGCTTTCTGGACGTGACCAAGCTGAGCATACGCGGCGATCATCCCAGTCCAAGTCAGTAGATTCCTGGTGGCCATCCTGTCAAAGAGAGATCTTGCGTCGTCGAGCAGACCATTACGAGCAAAGGCGTGGATCATGGCATTGCAGCACACAAGGTCCGGCTCGGGTGTTTTCGCAAACAAGTCCAGTGCTTCGTCTACGCAGTCGTTCTGGGCGTAGGCCTGGATCATGGAATTCCACGAGACCACGTCGCGATGCGGCATTCTCTCGAAGCAAAGTCTCGCCTCCTTCACGTTTCCGGCTCGGGCGTGGGCCGTCACCATCGCAGTAAAAGTTAGAACGTCTCTCGCGAGAATCGCCTCTTCAAACACCACCTTTGCCTCTCGCATCAGCCCCGCGCTCCCGAGCGCAAGTATCATCTCATTGCACGACACCGCATCCCGGCGAGGTATCCTTGAAAACGAGGCTTGCGCTTCTGCCAAGCATCCTCCTTGCGAGAATGCAACCACCAACGCAGCCCAGGAAACACCATTCCGGAAGCTCATCCCATCGAACCATGCTTTCGCAGCCCTCGTGTCCCCGTGCTGGGCATGAGCTATGATCATGGAATTCCAGGCCATGTCGTTGTGTTGTGGCATCTTTCCGGCAAAGCCAACCGCCTCATCGAGATCTTCCAGATGCACAAGCCCCTGAAGCATAGCAGTCCAAGAAACTACGTTCCGAACGGGCATTGTGTGGAACAAGTTGGCGGCTTTGCCCATGTAACCCTTCTGAGAAAACGCGGTCAGCATACCCGTCCAGGACACCACATTCTTGTCCCGAGTGCTCTCAAACAAAACCCACGCTTCGTCGAGAAACCCACTGCGGCAGTAAGCCTGCACCATTGCGTTCCAAGAGATGGTGCTTCGTTCTGGCATATCGTCGAACAAAGCCTTTGCCTTCTTAAGATGCCCGTTCTGGGTATGTGCTGATATCACAACGTTCCAGGACACAACGTCCCACACGGGCATTGCATCGAACACCTTCTTTGCCTTTGAAACGGCGCCACCCTGAGAGCACGCGGTCATGAGCCCCGTCCACGAGAACAAATCACGCCGGGCAGACACTGTCATCGTCTCAAACAAGCGCTGGGCATCGTCAGGTTGCCCACTCCGGGCATATGCTGCAATAAGAGCATTCGAGGCGTACGTGCTCTTGTGTGGCATCTGCTCAAACAGCTGCCTCGCCTCGTCAATCCATCCGCTGTCGATGTAGCCCTTGATCATGGCATTCCACGAGACCGTATCAAACACGAGACGCGATGTGTCAAACAAATCCCTCGCGTAGCTCACGCAGCCGTTGCGGACGAGCGCCGCAATCATCATGTTGTAGGAGAAGGAATTGGGCTGCTGGATGCTGCGGAAAACCCCCGCGGCATCCTCCACGCTCCCGCAAGCGCCATACATTTGCACGAGCAGATTGGCCAGGAACTTGTCCCGTCCCACATCCCTCCCGCTCGCCACGATCTGCGAATGCAGCCGCCTCGCATCGCGGAGCACACCCGAGCTCGTGCATTCCCGGATCAGAAGCTCGATCGGCAGCGCCAGGCATTCCTCCCGCGCCAAGTTCTTGCCGCGCATAGACTGCTAGCATCCTCCGAAAATTAGGGTTCTAGCACGTTTGTCCGACGTGGCGGATATGGCCGCTATGGCGACTGGATTGTCTTGGGCACGGCCAGGTACTACGAGCTGTAGCGCGAGGCAGGGAATCAGCATTGGCCCTGGCACTGGCATTGGGTGCTTGCGATCGAGAGCGCGATTCCTCAGCAGTGGTCTCCAAATTTCTTGGCCGCCCAGCAGCAGCACTGGCAGCAGTAGCATTGGCATCGGATTGACGAGGAGGAGGAGGAGAAGCGTGATTGCAATGAGCTACGAGGCTGGAATCGGTGTGATGGGAACCAAAGTGGGGATGATGACCCACTTCATGCCCGATGGCCGAGCGATCCCAGTCACGGTGATTGGATTCCACGAAGGGAACATCGTGACCCAGGTGAAGACCGAGCCCACCGACGGCTACAACGCGGTCCAGGTCGGCTACCTCCGCGTCCGCGACACCAAGCTCACCAAGCCGGAGCTCGGCCACCTCAACAAGATCGGCACCATCCCCATGCGCCACCTCCAAGAGTTTCGGCTCGTCAGTGTGGATGGATTCGAGCTATCGCAGCGGCTCAACGTCGAGGACATCTTCAAGGTCGGGGATCTAGTCGATGTTTCTGGCAAGAGCATCGGCAAAGGCTTCCAAGGTTAGATTTTGATCTTTCCAATGTTTTGTTTGTCACTCACCGGTGTGATCCAACTCCAGGGGGTATCAAGCGCCACAACTTCAAGCGGGGACCCATGACCCACGGATCCAAGAGCCACAGGCAGCTGGGATCCATCGGCGCTGGAACCACGCCGGGGCGTGTGTATCCCGGGAAGAAGATGCCCGGCCGGATGGGCTTCCAAAAGACAAAGATCCGCAAGCTCGAGATCATCAAAATCGACCCGGAGCTGCGGGCAGTGCTCGTCAAGGGCGCTGTTCCTGGCAAGCGTGGCAACCTGTTGAGAATCACGCCCGCCAAGATAGTTGGCAAGAACATCCCCAAGAACTAGAGCATTAGAAGGAAGAAAAAAGAGTTTTTGTTGTAAAGAGTGACCTTAAGATTGGAGCTTGGAGAGTGCTGCGCGGAAAGCTTGGAATTGCCGGCATGGCGACGACGAGGGATCATCGAAGCTGGTAAGAACATCCCAAGAACTAGCATTAGAAGAAGAAAAAAAGAGCTTTTCCTGTAAAAGGAGTACCTTGTGCTAAGGGCGGGCAATGGAGCTGCGGGAGAGTGCTGCGCGGCAAGAGCTCGGAATTGCCGGGCAAAAATCATCGATGGTGACGACGAATCGAAGCTGGCTGCTGGCGGCGTCTAAGGCTTGCAGCGACAGTGACAAGGCGAGGCAAATTCACAGCGCGGCCGTGGCGAGCGGGCACGACCGAGACGTGGTTGTGTCAAGCGCGCTGGTGACCATGTATGCCAAGTGTGGAGCCCTGCGAGAAGCTTGCACCGTCTTCCACTCCATCCCCAGCACCGCTCGCGACGTCGTCTCGTGGACGGCGCTCATGCTCGCGCACGCCAGCAATGGCGCCGAGGAGCTCGCCCTCCAGATCTTCGCCACCATGATCCGCCACCACTGCGCTCCCGACGCCCAGAGCTTCGTCGTGGCACTCAAGGCTTGCACCAAGCTGGCGGCCAAGGAGAGTTCTTGCACCACGACGAAGATGGCGAGCTTGGAGAGAGGCATGGCTCTTCACTGCCAGGCGGCCAAGAGCGGCTGCGAGCTCCACCTGTTCGTGGCCAGCACCCTGGTGGACATGTACTCCAAGTGCGGCTGCATGGAGGAGGCGGCCAGAGTGTTCGAAAGAATGCCCGCTCGCAACGTCGTCTCCTGGACTGCGCTCATCCACGGCTATGCCAGCAATGGAGACGGGCTCAAGAGCTTGGAGCTGCTGGAGCGGATGATCCCCCTGTGCCGCCCAAACTCCCAGACAATCGTCGCCGCGCTCAAGGCGTGCTCGAGCTTGGCCGCCCAAGAACAGACCCAGCCTCTGATGGCTGACAGTCCAGTGACCATGATCAAGGTGGCGGCGCTGGCGCGAGGCTTTGCGATCCACTCGCGGCTGATACAACCCGCTGCTGTCGATGACGTCCTGGTTGCAAACACTCTGCTCGATCTCTACGCCAAGTGTGGCAGCATGAGCGACGCCCAGCGCGTGTTTGACAGCATTCCATCGAGCTCCAAGACGGTGGTGTCGTGGAACGCACTGATGCTGGGATACGTCCACAACGGGAGCGCTGCCACTGCTCTCGATGCCTTTGCGAGAATGCCGGACTGTGGCCTGGAGCCCGACGCTCACACCTTCGCAATCCTTGTCAATGCGTGTGGAAGCTGCGCGGCCGTGGAGCTTGGGAGATTCATCCACAGGGAAGCATCCCGGCTTGGGGTCCTAGAACAATTAGCGAGCGCTTCTTCTTCTTCCAGCATCGTGGTCGCAAACTCGCTGGTGGATTTCTATGCCAAGTGTGGGAGCCTGGACCACGCCCAAGCCCTGCTCGATTCGTGCGCCAATCGCGACGTGGTGACATGGTCCGCGCTGCTCGACGGCTACGCGCGCCTCGGCGACATGGATCTCCTCTTGGCCTCGCTGCGCCAGATGCTGGACGAGGGATTGGAGCCCAGCAGCGTCACATTCCTGTCGCTGCTCACGGCGTGCAGCCATGCCGGCCTGGTGGAGCGATGCAAGCAGGTCCTGGCCAAGATCCCCCGAAATCTGCGATCGCTGGAGCACTACCACATCCTGATCGATGCCCTGGGCCGCGCGAATCAGCTCGGAGAAGCCCTCACGCTGGTGGAGGCGATGCCCTTCGACCCCGACCCCGTTACCTGGCTCACGCTCCTCTCGGCAGCTCGCAAGTGGAACAATCTGGGCGTGGCATCGCTCGCCTTCCAAATGCTGGTGGCAATCGATCGCGACCACGCCCACGCAGCCTCCGCCTACGTGCTCATGGCCAATACGGCCACCATAGCTGGGAAGAACTAGGTTTAAGTAAGGACCCATTCCAGGTTCTTTTATTTATAGCCGCTCAACCCTAGCTAGACGCTAGGGCAGACCGGAGAGCGCCAAGCTCCGCCTCGCCATGGCTACCAGTGTCGCCAGCGTCTATCTCCATGTCATGGAGGACGTGATCAACAATGTCCGCGCGGATTTCCAAGCGGAGAATGTGGAGGAGAGCGTACTCAACGATCTCCAGTCGGTAAATTTCTCCCTCCTCCCTCCTCCCTTTGCTCTCGATCGGGAGAGCTGAGCGATATTACGCAGCTGTGGGAGCTCAAGATGATTCAATCGGGTACCATTTCTCCCGGCGAGATCCCCCAGAACCTAGGCGTTAGGAACGCTGCCGCGCAAGCAACCTCGGTCCAGGACCTCAACATCCCTTACCAAGGAAGCGAAGAGTTCACTCCCACAGCCGAGCTCCTCTTCTCCCCGGTAAGTGAGGAGAGAGAGATCCAAAAAGAAGGGACTACTTTTAACCGTGACATTGCTTGCTTGGCAGTACTCCACGCCAACACCTGGTCCGGATCAAACACCCATTGCTGACAAGAGCGGTGGCGATGTAACAATAGTCTTTCTCTTCTTGCTCGCTCGGCTTGGTGTACTAATGGCTTGTACAGGATTCACACAATCACCGAGGAGTGGACGTTAATGTCGGTATGTTTCCGATGCACAGGGAAGAAGATGAAAGATAAATCTAACGCGATTTCATTCTTCTCTGTCTGTTTTTTTTAAGCTTACCAGGAGGGTCAGGAAGACGAAGAGAATGGTTCCGGACAAGGCCCTGTTACCAAAGTAAATTCTTTGCAATGCCCGCTTTGGCTTGGTTAATGTCGAGCTTTGGCAGGACTTCTTTACACTTACATCAGGAAAGAGAAAGCGGGACGACTTACCCGCGAACTATTTCCCTGGAGACTATATTCCCCAGCATGACGGAGCCGCAGATACCCCTGAGGTGGAGTTCCATACTTCTTTTCCTTTTATCATCCTTACAGATATTGGTTCTCCAGGAAACTCGAAGGCCGAGCATCCCTCAACACGATGGGGCAGATGACAATTATGATGATGAAGTGCGTGTGTTTGCTCTACTGTTAGATTGTTGTTAACATGGGTTCTTTTGTAGGTTGCCCAAGAAGACTACAATGAGCCTGGCGACGAAGGTTAACAGTTGTATCCACAGTGCCTGTCTTCATGGCTTTTTGTTTATGAATGTAGAACATCCGCAGCCGGCTAACGAGACTCTGGTAGCGACAGCAACACAAGTGGAAGGTGTGGAATCCGAAGGATCAGAGCCTCCCTTGAATGAACAAGATGACGATGAGGAGGACGAGTTAAACGACATCGATCAAGCCGGTGAGGAGCCAAAGACAAGTCATCTCGTACTAGCGCAGTTTGAGAAGGTTTGGCTGTTTGAAGTTTGAGCCACTTGCAATGCAGTTGACTTTGTCTTAGCAGGTAACTAGATCAAAGAGCAAGTGGAAATGTATCCTGAAGGATGGGATTATGCACCTCAATAATCGTGACATTCTTTTTGTAAAGGTCTGAATTTGCTTCATGTTCTACCCTCTCAATTCACTCTCTTTTTCCAGGCAAATGGAGAGTTCGATTTTTAAACGTTGTTCGTTTAGCTGAGCCTAAATAAAGGGTTTTATTTATTGTTAAAGTTCTCCCACTCTTCTGAGGTTTTGGTTTTTAAGATAGGGCGACGTGCATAGTTGAGAATGGCGGCCAATGCGTTTCACAGGTGAGCTCGGTTGAATTCCACTTTTTTTGTGCCTAAGTGATGGTACCCAACAGGTTTGTTGTGCCCACTCATTCTCATCTCTTTCAACAGCAGCAGCAACAGCAGGAAGGGCCTTTGCTTCGAGTTCTTCATCGCCGAAAACCACTGAGAACCTTCGTCGCTGCCAGGTGCAGATTGTAAAGCGTGTTCTTTGCGAACTTAACCAGCGCGTTTTACAGGAAAGACGTAGCTTCCACTACGTCGAGTAGTACCCACTTGGAGAAAACAGCAGAAGTTGTCGCTGTAGATGAACTCAAGAAGGATCTGGACGGCCTGCGCCAGAAGCTGGCCAATCTGATTGAACAAGGAGAAGAAGAATATGCGGAGGCTTTGCTCGACGCCAATTACAAGGTTCTGAAGCGTCAGCTGGACGGCGGTGAGCAAGGAATTGAGCAGGCGGCTCTGCTAGATGTTCTTGCTCAAGGTCATCTGGACATGGGGGACGTTGAAGGCGCTGCACCACTTCTTACACAGGTACATTTTATTTCTAAGGCCTCTGAAATGGAACTTTTCCTGTTACAGTTGACACAACTTATGGAGAAGAACCACTTTGACAGTGCTAAACCAGAACCTCTTGTTGATAAAGTTGTGGAGCATATGGCTGCTATGTATGCAACCCTGGATCAACCCGACCGGGCTATAGAGCTGTACGAGCGATGTCTTCGCATGCAGGAAGACTTGTACGGTGGTAAAAGTCTTATTTTTTCTATTTCATCCTTGCCTGCTCTATCTTACGATCGCTTTTTCTGAATAGGGAACGACAGCCCACTCCTCGTCAATGCGCTTTTTGGTTACGCAGCTGCTTGCAAAGATGCTGGTCATTTGGATAAGAGCACCGAACAGTACATTCGGGCGATTGCAATATTGGAGAAAGCAAACGGGCCGGACAGCCAGATTTTGGTTCTCCCGCTCCAGCATCTTGGTCTCGCTCTTTTGGAACGTGGCAATCACGTTGAGGCAGAGCAAACGTTGAGCAGGTATTGATTCTGGTGAGTGGTATTTCTCTCACATTTCTTTTCTTTCTTCTCCAGGGCTCTTAAGCTTGCAAAGGAGAAACCCAACGATGGACGGGTTGGAGTTGTAATGTCGTCATTGGCGCAAGCAAAGTACATGACTGGTATGATAATTCTGTACACTCTGCTCCTTTCTCATACGAAACAATATTCACAGGTGACAACGAGGCATCGGCAGATTTGTTTCGTGAAGCTTTGAGAGTGATGGAGAGGAGTACCACGCCAGATCCACTACTTATCGAGTCGATGAGAACAGACTTTTCAATGGTGTTGACAGTCCTGGAAAGGTGTGGCACACGATCTTTCGCTTTTGTTGTTGATTTCACCTCGTGTTGTCACCTCACCAGGCACAAGGAAGCACAGGAGGTTTTGGAAGACAACGTACATGCTGTCCAGAATAGGCTCGGGTCAAGTGACATTGGGCTCTTTGTGCACATGAAGAACCTGGCAGTGTCTCACGCCAACTGTGGCAACCTCGTCAAATGCGAGTCTCTAATGCGGAGATGCTTACAATTGGCCACTGCTCACTACGGTCCTAATGCACCGGAGCTATCTGGAGCGCTAGAGATGCTTGCCACGCTCCTGCACCACATGGAAAGGCACACCGAAGCGGAGCCTTTGGCTCGTCAGTCTCTGCTCTTGTGCGAGGCCAGATATGGGAGGGAACACCCGTTCTCAGGTACAACACTTGTAAGTAGGCTCCTTTCAATGGTGTGACACAATGGTGCATGCATGCAGGTGACGCTTGCAACACTCTAGCAGCAATACTGTTCGCTCTGGAGAGATTCCCGGAGGCTCATGTCTTGATGAGTAGAGTGCTCGACATCCAGACGAGGGAGCTAGGCCCTTACGATCCACTGGTTGGCAAGACGCTCGAGTACCTGGTGATGATCAACTCCAAGCTGGGCAGGGACTCAACGCAGTTGCTTAAAAGGCTCAAGGACATTCAAGGAGACAAGTGAGAAGCCGCGGCCTCCTTGATCAGATGAACAGCTTGAGCACATCATCCACGGCAATATTGGCAGCCTCTCCGGGATACTCTACGATAAGCTTTCTCACCCTGAGGTTGTCAGCGAACAAGACGAAGCGCCGGCCCCGGACGCCCATCCCGTGCCTGGTCAAGTCGATGTCCATACCCAATGCTTTGGTGAAGGTTGCGGAGCCATCGGCAAGGAAACGAACGGCATCGTTGTTGTCCGCGAACGTCTTGGACCACTGATGGGTGACGAAGGGATCGTTCACTGCAGTCACGAGAGTTATAAGTTTTGAGCAGCAGCAGCCAGGTACCTGTCAAGCAGTAGATGTTTGTGATGCCTTTGGCATGGAGACTGGGTGCTTTGCTGATGTAGCCAGGGATGTGTTCTACGCTGGAGAGACGCAAAGAATAAGAAGAGATCAAGCAGGATCGAGGAAAGAAAGTTACTTGCCTGCAACTTGGAGTGTAGGCACCTGGAACTCCGAGCAGCAAGACGCGCTTGTGAGCAAATAGGTGGCGGATGGACAGGATATGGAGGATGCGAGTAGCGGCGTCTATGTGATAGAGGATCCCGTCGGGGAGAGTGTCTCCCAGTTGGATCATGGATCCAGAGGCTAGAGGGAGGGAGCACAACTGCAAGGAAGACGAACGAATATGCTACAGGTAGCCTCGTTTATATATAACAATTGGTTTGTTACATCTCTTTCTCTCTCGCAGTGTCTATCACTCCTGGATGATGTCCTCGATGCTCACGGGTGGAAGCGACGCAAACGATGGCCTGGGCTTAGCCTTGGGCAATGGCGGAAGCGTCATCTCCCCGCACAGGATCTGGACTGCCTGCTTCATGCTGGGCCGAGAAGTTGGATCCGGGTGGCAGCAAAGCAATCCCACCTGGAGCAGTAGCAGCATCTCCACTTGCTCGAACTCGACACCCAGCTTGGGATCCGCCGCTTGGAGGAGCTTCCCATTCCTGTGGAGTCCCCACGCCCAGTCCACCAACACTCTGGAGCTGCTCGACGATGATCCACTTGACTCCTCCGTGACGTTGTCCTCCTCCTCGGTTATCGGCCTTCGACCGCTGGCAACCTCGAGCGCCACGATTCCAAAGCTGAAGACGTCCGTCTTGTCCGTGGCCTTGCCGGTGTGGAGATACTCGGGTGCCAGGTAGCCGACGGTCCCGGCGGTGATGGTCGTCTCGGGGCTACTGTCGTGCTCCATCAGCCTCGCCAGGCCGAAGTCCCCCAGCCGGGCATTCAAGTTGGCGTCGAGCATGATGTTGCTGGCTTTCACGTCCCGGTGCACGACTTGCTGCTCCCACTCGCTGTGAAGATAGGCCAGCGCGCTGCCAATCCCGACCACCACCTTAAAGCGCACGCTCCACTTCAAAGCACTGCTCGAGGCGCTCTTGTCGAAGAGGAGCTTGTCCAGGCTTCCATTGGGCATGAAGTCGTAGACGAGGAGGAGCTCGTTCTTCTCGCGGCACCAGCCTTGGAGCTGGACAAGGTTGCGGTGGCGGAGACAGCCGATGATGGAGAGCTCCGACATAAACTCCTCGCGGCCGTGCTTGCTCCCGCGATTGGCTCTCTTCACCGCCACCTCCACCTCGACTATCTCATCGCTCGTCGGTGCCTCGCTCTTCATGTCCACTGGTAGCAACCGGAGGCGACCCTTGTAGACCGTCCCAAACGCACCATACCCGAGCACCTGGCTGAATCCTTTGGTGGCGCAGCTCAGCTCCTTGAACGTGAATCTCCTCGGCCCGCTGTGCAAGTTCGACGATATCCTGCTGATCATCTTCTTGCTGTTCAAGTCGTCCGAGGACAAAGATCTTTCCTTCCCACGCCAGAAACAACAGAGACTCCCAAGGCACGAGCAGAGTTTGGACGGCTTGCTGCCACCACCCAAGTCGAGATCGTGGCGCGTCGCCCTGCTGCTGCAAGTCAGCCACAAGATCATGCTCACTATCACTGCTCCAGCTATGGCGGACGCCGTCGACACTGCCAGGAACCTGGTTGTGGCAGCCATGCAAAGCTTGCGAGTGCATCTCGTCGAAGTCTCCCGCTCCGGTTGATTTTCCTGGCCAAGATCCGGAGGAGCAGCAGCCGCCACTGCCGCAGCTGGAGGTCGAGCTTCATCCAGATGTTCGAGGCCAGAGCTAGAGAATTGCCACGAGTGGAGCGAGTGGAGCTCGATGTTTCCTCCGGTGGCGGCCGAGAATCCAACGAACATGTACTCGTCCAGGACAGCGTACAGGTTGACGCTGAGTGACAAGAGCCGCTTCTGCGGCATTTGCTCCGCGTTGTAGCTCAAGCTCACCTCCATCTCCTGGCGGCCGCTGTCGTACTGGATCCACGCCGTGATGGGTCGCCCGCTCTTGAGCTCCACTCGCTCCGACCCGGCGTCCGCGAACTCGAGCGACACCATGCTATCCACATCCACGCCGACGTGGTTGTCGTTTGGATCCATGAACTCCACGTTGAGGAAGGTGTCGAATTCCACGGCGAGGCTGTGCTGCGTGGTGGGCGGCGGCGGCCTCCCTGCCGGTGCCGAGGCCGAGAGGAATCCCAGCCATCCTCCGGGGCCGCCCTGGGTGGTGTTGCTGGGAGCGAAGATGAAGGCGAGGCCATCGCCAAAGTGGACAGCGTCGGTGTTGGTGATGGAGAAGGTGAAGGAGGTGTTGAAGGAGGCGGTGGCGTTGCTCGCCCGGTCCACCAGCCTGATGGGCGATGGGAAGAGCGCTCTCCCGGAGCTCAGGCCCCCGCTGCTGTCCTTGGTCAGCTCGATGCTCCCGTTGCGCAGGAACGCATCGCCCAGCAGCGACATGCTCCCCTGCTGGAACTCTTGCAGCAAGATGTCCGCCGATTCCACCATCACCAGCGCCATCATCACCAGCAGCCCATTACATCTCCTCATTGCTGTCGATCCAACTATAAACTGTAAGCTACTTCAAGCTCGCGATTCTCAACGAACCAATACTACCATAGCCATAGCTTGAAGGAAGCTACAGTGGTTTGGAGGATTGGATGCTGCGAAGCTGGAGAGAGAGTATACAACGGTCACATTTGACCAAAGCTAGCCAAGCTAGAGATAGAGGGCATAATCAATTCTATTCAAAGCGAGAAGAGCACTTTCGCTCAAACCAAACGTTGCACGGCACGGCTGCGTGCGCTGCTGCTGCTACTTTTGATCGATCCATCCCCGTACAAGTCGTTTCGTTTAGTGCTGCAGATAGTTGGCCAGCAGCACATAAGTTCCATCTTTGTGGGGATCCAGCTCCAAAACTCCTCGGGCTGCTCGAGCACCGTAGTCCTCCTTGCCAGTTTTACCACTCCCTAGCAAGCTCGTCCAGTCCCGCGCATCCGGTGCAAACGGCATGTTTGCGACGAGCTCCCCGGCGTCGTCCAAGTACCCCCCGCGGCTCAAGAGATCGAGCATGAGCGAGTAGTGCTGCTTTCGGGGTGTCACATTGTAGTCGGGAGCCATGGAGAAGAAGTGAGAGCAGCCGGAGCGGACGCTCCCGGCGTGGTTGCACGCCAAGAGCACGCACAGAAAGGCAACGTCGTCGGGCATGGTGGTCATCTTCATGCTGCTGAAGAGGTCCAGAGCGTCGGTCCATTGGCCGGTGTGAGCGTAGGCGCAGAGCATCACAGTCCACGACACGACGCTCAGCTCTGGCATCGCGAGGAACACCCGAGTGGCAGCGTCAATATGCCCGTCTTGGGCATAGCCACAAGCAATGCAGTTCCACGACACGCTGCTGCGCTCCTCCATGCCGAAGAAAACCTGACTCGCCTCGTCCATATGCCCTCTCTGTGTGTACGCCGCGAGCATTGCGTTGTAGGAAACCACGTCCCTCTCTGGCATCGCATCAAACACCTGCCGTGCGTCCTCTAGATGCCCGTTTTGGGCATACGCACACAGCATCGCGGTCCATGAAACTATGCTTCTCTCTTTCATGCAGTCGAAAATATCGCGAGCGTTTCGCACAAGATGGGCTTCCGCATACGCGTCTAGCATGGGCGTCCAAGAGCAGAGATCCCATTCGGGCATTGAATCAAACACGAACTTTGCCGCACCAAGATCCCCGCCTTGGGCAAATGCAGACAGGATTGCATTCCAGGTGATCGTGTTCCTCTCCGGCATCGCGTCGAACATCACCTTGGCCTCGTCCGTAAGGTTGTAGTGTAAGAAAGCACTCAGCATTGCATTCCAGGAAACCAAATTCCACTCTTTCATGCTGTCAAACACTCGCTTGGATTCCTCCAGATGCCCAGTCCGGGCATATGCAGTGATCATCCGGACCCACGAGTACAAGTCCTTGTGCACGATCGAATCGAAGACACGGCGTGCGTGCTGCGCGCTGCCACATCTCCCGTACAGCTCCAGCAGCCTGTTGCTCGCGAACGCGTCGGTCCCGCCGCTGAAAATGTGCTGGGCGTGGTGCTCTAGCTGCCTGGCGGCGGGCAAAGAATTACAGGAGGCAATGAGGTTGAGGCACTCGCTTCTATCCAGCAGCATTCTAGTGGGCAACAAACCCTAGCAATGGCGGTGGGACTGGGATCCGGGGCGAGCGTCGCCATCCACCTCTCAGGTTCTATGAGATCTCCGAGCTAGCTAGCAGGGATTGGATTCTTTCTCTTTCCAGTTCCCAGGAGAAAGTTCTTTCACACGCGCGCTTCGCAATGGGGGTACCACGAAGTGTCCACCAAGTTTGTGGATGATACCATTTGTGAGATGCTCGCTACAAGCAAGGACAGGGCAAGCCAGGTGAGATCCTTCCTCTCAATGCTCTTTCTCACGAGAGCTTGAATCTACTCAAGGTGGTGCTATGCTCGACAATAGATCAACCAAAGCTCCATCGCTTGGCGACATGGAGCGCTCTTGCTCCTCTTGTCATCTTCGATGTCTCTCCTTCGACTTCCAAGCATGGTAATCACCAGTTCTTTTCTATCGAACTTTAAGGTTTTCTTTGGAACGTAGATGTGCCTTCAAGGAAGAACAAGAACTTCGTGCTCCGGCATGTAACTTGCGATTCACTCCACGAAGATTGGACTCCAGCGCTCGTTGAAGCTGGATATAGGGGAGATCGGCCCAGCATTTGGGCTTTACAGGTTTGATACTTCGTGAAGATATGGATCCATTACTTGTGTGATTTTTTTCTTCCTGTATCTAGTCCAGGGCCTGAATTTGCGTTCGAACGATCTACTTGGGGGCGTGAGCACACATGCCATGAAAGGTTCGTACATCATAGGCGATGTCCTCCGTGGAGCACTGCTACAAAACTTTCCTTCTGCTGTGAGTGCTTTCATTCCTCTTCGAACTTTCCATCGTTTAAAGGTTTTCTAGGCAGGCAAAAGCCGAGAAAGTGTTGCTGCGACGGAAGTTACTCGGCTATGGTCTTGAAACCGAGGCGGCCCACACTTTGTCTTGCGGAGGGGATGACTACGTGTTTTTCGTCTCTAAGCAATTGCGTTTATCAGTCGAACAGGTACCTCTCTTTCTCGTGTTCTTGCCAGCGCGGATTTACCTCTGTTCTCGTCACAGGTGTGCTACGGTCTCAAAGAGATTGAGATGGCCGAAGAAGTGGAAGAAGATGGTTTTGATGACTGGTAGCACGGCAAAATCCAGGAAAATGTGATTGCTAGCGATTGATGGATCAGGTATCTCTTTCTCGTACTCTTGTGTGAGGTGTGTTAAGGTCTCGAAGATGGCCGAAGTGGACTTACACGCATGATATATAGACTGGAAGTTACAGGCTACTTGGATTTACAGACATCCAAGAGGCAAGTCCCCTTGCCCAATCCAGCGTTGGCTCTCCTGAACTCTGCCGCTATTTTGCTTGCATCTTTAGGAGTTCCTCGCGCGATGACATTGTCAAAGATCCTGGAGATTGTCATGGGTGACAGGCTGAAGCGGCTGTTGTAGTACGAGTTGAGCAGCGCAGCCACCGTCTCGGAGAGCAAGCCATTGTAGGTGGTGGCATAGTGCTGGTCGGCTATGCCATTCAAGCTCGAGTTCTTCACCAGCGCTTCCAAGGCGGTGATGTTACCATACTTGTCTCTGGCTCGGGGGCCAAGCAGCTTAGCGATGCTCTCGTCCGGAGTGACAAACTTCCAGTGGCAGCTATACACTGGATTCATCCAGTGGCTACAAACACAGGAATCCTCAAAGTCAGGCCAAGGGAAAGTCTGCTTGATATCACACTTACTCTGCTCGGCAGTAAGACGATGGCTGCTGCTGTGCCGGAGCTTTTGGAACGACGATTGGATCCAGCTTGGGCCTCGAGACTGGACAGATTGCGAGAGGCTTGACAGGCGTGAAGTAGAGCGGCTTGACGGTGTAGAAGGCATTGTCCAGGATCTTCCATTCCAGGCGCAGTGACTGCTGTGCGTTGGCCACCACATTGCACTGCTTCAAGGGGCTCCACATGAGCCGGGACGTGCAGTGCTGGAGGTCGTGCTCTCCAGGGAAGTTGGCGACGAAAGCACCCAAGAAGTTTGACATGGCTGGAACCGCCATTGCCATCCCCTGCCTGTTTCGGCAGTGGACGAGCACTTTGGCACCTGTGTGTGGTGATGTGAGCGGGAGATTATACTCGACGAGTTTCTCAAGCGAAGATCTTACCGCGGATTGGAATTCCCCACATACTGGGCCTCCCGTGCAGGCACTGGTCGCAGAAGACATTCCCAGAGACGATGGAATCGCCACGAACGAGAGCAGCCGCGAGGGCAGCGATCGCGAGGAGAAGAAGAACGCCACACTTGTGGTGGTCCATTTGGGGCTGGAAAACCGAGGATTGCGAGCGCGGAGATGAAAGCAGCGCTGGGTGTTGGGTGGATGCAGCAGATCGTTTCAGAGAAAGCTCACATTCTCCTTTTGCTAAAGCTCTTGCAGGGACTGAGACATACAAACCACCACCTTTTTCTTTTTTGAACAGCAAGTTCGTAGGCGCACAAAACCGCGAACATTTGCAACTTTTGATTTGGCTCTTCGGATTAATGGAATTTGGCTACATCGCCCCACCCCGCAATAAAACATTCTCAGCAGAAAGTTCAAACAGAGTTTCAATCACTCGAAATGAAACTTACTTTGCAAGCTTAATTATTTTTTTTCCTGCGACGTGCTGCAGAATCTGTGTGCTACCTTTAGAAACAATAGTTAATTAGTTAATCTGGAAATAAAATAAAGGTCCTGATCTTAAAGTAAACCCACTACAATTTTCGAATCTACAACTTTAAGTCGTGGCTATAGTGCTCGACAGGAGAAGGAATCCGAGATCTATTCGATACATAAGCGTTCAGAGAGCAAGGAAATCTTTACTCATTTTCATGGGCAAGGCGAAGCTCGCGGTAGCGCCCGCGGGGGAGAGCGGCATTTTCATCACGCAACCCTTCCCATGCGATGACAATGGTGAGCCCAAGAGCGTCATGGTCGGGCACTCGAGCAGCGCCAACTTCGCGGTGATCAACGGTAGCGACGATGGGGTCGTGTTGCGGGCGGTGCGCATCGCGGCATCGGGCACGCTCAGAGGCTTCCGCGGCCTCGCGCTCACCGGCTCCGAGGAGATAGCATCGTCTTCCTCGAGCAGCAGGAGCTTGGACTTTGTGCGATCCATTCGGCTACAGCCCGAGAGCCATGTCTCCTTCACCATCACCTTCTCTCCCGGCCAAGTTGGCTACTACCCGGCCAGGATCCTGTGCGACTTGCAACCGGCGTGGAGAGTCGTGCAGCACATCCAGGCCACCGGAGACGATGAAGTTTCCAAGGATTCGCGGCCGACGGCTCCATATTGCAAGCCCAAGCCCAAGAAGATGCCTCGATCTCGCAACATTGTTCCTGGCGTCTCACCACCGGCACCCAAGTTTGAGCTTGTTCTTCCACCATTTTGGATGCCTGCTGGTGTGAGGAGGGACTTCCAAAAGAAGATCCCTCCGCGGGTATTCAACGACGGCCTCTCGCCTGCGACTTACGCCCGCTACTTCGCGGCGCTTCTCTATGCCGAAGAGTACCAAATGGAGGTAATCTTATGGTTGATCTTGATGATCACACGAGCTTGGTTGGTTTTCGCGCAGTTTGATATCCGAGCCTATGACATGGAAAACGTGGTGATGAGGCAAGACTCCGGGTTCCTCATTTTGAAAGTGCTTGGCCTTGCCGAGAGACGACCTTCCGTGCTCTACAGGGATCGAATTTACTTGATGCCTCCCGGTACGCAAGACAAGGAATACGAGGTAAGTACATATGTGTACTTGTTATGATCTAGTTGTGGATGTTGCTTTGTTGAAGGGATATGTACACCGAGTTAGTGCAGAGGAAGTTTTCCTCAAGTTTGCCAACGATTTCCACCGGGTGTTCATCCAGGGCACGCGTTTTGACGTTCGGTTTTCCTTCTCCAGAACGAACTTGAAGCGATGCCACCATGCAGTTGCCAGCATCTCGCCCCAGCTTTGCAACATGTTCGTGTTTCCAAGCCCGAAAATCTCGCCCCCGCCACCACCACCACCACCGCTAAGGTTTCGTCCCATAAGCCATGGTTCGCTCAACGAAGAACAGATGTCTGCGGTGCAAGAGATCGTCGCAAAGAGAGGTGCTCCGCCATATATCATCTTCGGTCCACCCGGAACTGGGAAAACTGTGACGGTTGTCGAGGCCATCTTGCAAGTCCGTCGCCACAACAAGGACGGGGTCATCTTGGCCTGTGCTCCCTCCAACAATGCCTCGGACCTCTTGCTCGAGCGCCTGGCCAAGTTCGTGGAGAATCGACACATGCTCCGTCTCAATGCTTTCACGCGCTCACGCGCCGGCATCCCTAACAAAGTGAAGGAATTCTCCAACGGCGATGGTAGCCCGTTTTTCAATTGCCCGAGTCGAGAGGAGCTCACGTCTTTCAAAATCATCGTCACGACATGTATGAGTGCCGGAATGCTCCACTCTCGTGGTGTTCCCGCCGGTCACTTTTCTCACATCTTTCTGGACGAATCCGGCCAGCCAACCGAGCCCGAGGCGATGGTGGCGGCCATCAACTTTGCGGCCCCAAGCACCGTGCTTGTTCTTGCGGGGGATCATCAGCAGCTCGGCCCCGTGATCCGGTCGCCGCTGGCAGACAAGTTCGGCCTCAGCAAGTCATTCCTGGAGCGTCTCATATCCTCGCCACCTTACACCCCTCCCTTCAAGAAGGAAATGGTGACGAAGCTTGTGAGAAACTATCGCTCGCACCCCAGCATCTTGGATCTGCCTTCGAGGCTCTTTTATCAGGGTGAACTAGTTCCTTGCGCTGGAGAGTTCTCGCGCTCCTTGTGCGAGTGGGGCTGGCTTCCAAACAAGAAATTTCCAATCCTCTTCATTGGGGTGGAAGGCAAAGACTTGCGGGAGGGCAATAGTCCGTCGTGGTTCAATGCAGCAGAAGTGAGCAAAGTGATGGAGGTGGTGAAAAGTCTGAGGGATATGAGGAGAAACAAGCCCTTGGCAACGGAGATCGGGATCATCACACCATACCGCAAGCAGGTCGAGAAGATCAAAGGCCCCTTATCGAAAGAGAGGCTCGCAGAGATCAAAGTTGGAAGCGTGGAGGAGTTCCAGGGCCAGGAGAAGCGTGCCATCATCGTGAGCACCGTCCGCTCGTCACTGGAGTTCCTGGGGCACGACAAGAAGTTCAACCTGGGATTCTTGTTCAATCCCAAGCGCTTCAATGTGGCCATCACTCGCCCGCAAGCGCTGCTCGTCGTCGTGGGCAACCCGGGCATCCTCTCCAAGGTGCGTGTTTCCTCTCAAAACATGGTTTTTCCAACGTATGCTTTGGCAGAACGAGCACTGGAACGAGTTCCTGCGCTATTGCATCCGGAATGGATCATACACTGGCTGCCCGATTCCATCACCCGACGCTGCTGGCAATATTCCTGACTACCTGGAGACCAGCGACGATGAAGCTAAGGACCAGCCATGGCGCGAAGCAGTCTAAGTCTGAGAGATCCTCGGCCATGAAACACTCAGCAGCAAATGCCGAACTGGCATGTTTGCATAAAGATTGTTCTTAGTTTTTGTGGCGTGTTGAAACAGCCACCGTCTTGGAGAGCAATCCATTGTCGGCGATGCATAGCTCGAGCTCTTCACCAGCGCTTCCAGGCTCTGGGACCAAGCAGCTTAGCGATGGGAGTGATGAACTTATACAATGGATTCATCCAGTGGCAATGTACAGACACACAAATCCCCGAGATCAGCCCAAGGAAAAGGGCCTCGAGACTGGAAAGATCGCCAGGGGCTTGACAGGCGTGAAGTGGTGAACTGGAGCTGGAAACCCGAGGATTGTGAGCAAGGGCGTTCTAAAGATAGAGACTTACCGCCTTTTTCTTTTTTAAACAGCGGGCGCGGTTCGAATCTCTTCGCCAGCTATTTTAGGGTTTAAAGAACCGATATAAATCTCGTAGCCGACCTTCGATCTCAATTGATTTAGGTTTTGTAGCGGCCTCCCTGCCACGGTCCTTGTAGCGTGAGCTATGGCTTGGATCGCTAGGGTTGGTCTAGAACGTCTTTTCGCCCTCTTGATAGGAAGCCAGGAGCATTCCAAATCGTATGCTTTTCGGTGCCATAGCGGTGATTACAGTTCCTTGTGTGTGCTCTGCGATGTCAAATACCCGATAGGAAGTGCCGTCTGACGCATCTCTTGTGCGTTTGATCACAAAAGGGTCTCTGAGAGCTAGCGAAGAGTTGGGCCGCGCGAGGATGATAACAAGGTGAATTGGACTAGAGTCTCTGATGGCTTGCTCCTTGGCGAGCTTGGCTGATTATTCCTCCCTTGGCTGTCTGAGCGCGTTAGAGATTTTAGGGCGAAGAATCGAACACGGGACGCCAAGAAATCCGGAATCGAACCCAAGATCTATGCTAGTGCGTTGGGGCGAAGAATCGAACACGCGACGTTAACAAATCCAGGATCGAACTCCCGATCTATTGGGATTCGAAACTTTTGAGTTAAAACTAAAGAACGATGAAATAAATGCGCCACAATTTCTAAATTGTGAGGTACGAAATTTGTACGTATTCTTTAGGCATTGTCATATGGGCAAGACGAAGCTCGCGGTGGTGGCGGCGGGCGAGAGCGGCATTTTCATCACGCAGCCATTCCCGGTGGATGCCAATGGTGAGCCCAAGAGCGTCATGGTCGGCCAGTCGATCAGCGCCAACGTCGTGGTGATCAACGGTAGCGACGATGGGGTCGTGTTGCGGGCGGTGCGCATCGCTGCATCGGGCACGCTCAGAGGCTTCCACGGCCTCGCGCTCACCGGCTCCGAGGTGATAGCATCGTCTTCCTCGAGCAGCAGGAGCTTGGACTTCGTCCGATCCATTCGGCTACAGCCCGGGAGCCATGTCTCCTTCACCATCACCTTCTCTCCCCGCGAAGTTGGCTACTACCCGGCCAGGATCCTGTGCGACTTGCAACCGGCGTGGAGAGTCGTGCAGCACATCGAGGCCACCGGAGACGATGAAGTTTCCAAGGATTCGCGGCCGACGGCTCCGTATCGCAGGCCCAAGCCCAAGAGGATACCTCGATCTCGCGACATTGTTCCTGGCGTCTCGCCACCGGCACCCAAGTTTGAGGTTGTTCTACCACCATTTTGGATGCCTGCTGGTGTGAGGAGGGACTTCCAAAAGAAGATCACTCCGCGGGTATTCAACGACGGCCTCTCGCCTGCGACTTACGCCCGCTACTTCGCGACGCTTCTCTATGCCGAAGAGTACCAAATGGAGGTAATCTTATGGTTTGGTCTTGATGATCACACGAGCTTGGTTGGTTTTTTGCGCAGTATGATATCCGAGCCTATGACATGGAAAACGTGACAATGAGGCAAAGCACCGATAGGTTCCTCGTTTTGAAAGTGCTCGGCCTTGCCGAGAGACGACCTTCCGTGATCTACAGGGATCGAATCTACGTGAGGCTTGCCGGTACGCAAGACAAGGAATACGAAGTAAGTATGTGTGTGCTTCTAGACCAAGTTGTTGATATCGCTTTGAAATGAAGGGATGTGTACACCGAGTTACTGCCGAGGAGGTTTTCCTCACGTTTGCCAACGATTTCCACCGGGTGTTCATCCAGGGCACCCGTTTGGACGTCCGGTTTTCCTTCTCCAGATCCAACTTGAGGCGATGCCACCATGCAGTCGCCCGCATTTCTCCCCAGCTTTGCAACATGTTCGTGTTTCCAAGCTCGATCATCTCGCCATCACCACCACCACCGCTGAGGTTCCATCCCATGAGCCGTGGTTCGCTCAACGAAGAACAGATGTCTGCGGTGCAAGAGATCGTCGCAAAGAGAGGTGCTCCGCCATACATCGTCTTCGGTCCACCAGGCACTGGCAAAACCGTGACGGTGGTCGAGGCCATCTTGCAAGTCCGTCGCCACAACAAGGACGCTGTCATCTTGGCCTGTGCTCCCTCCAACAATGCCTCGGACCTCTTGCTCGAGCGCCTGGCCAAGTTCGTGGAAAACCGACACATGCTCCGTCTCAATGCTTTCACGCGCTCACTCGCCGACATCCCTGACAAAGTGAAGGAATTCTCCAATGGTTTTGGTGCCGGTGATGACAGCCAGTCTGCCGATTGCCCGAGTCGAGAGAAGCTCATGTCTTTCCAGGTCGTCGTCACGACATGTCTCAGTGCCTCGATGCTCCACTCTCGGGGTGTTCCCGCCGATCACTTTTCTCACATCTTTCTGGACGAATCTGGCCAGGCAACCGAGCCCGAGGCGATGGTGGCGGCCATCAACTTTGCGGCCCCAAGCACCGTGCTTGTTCTTGCGGGGGATCATCAGCAGCTCGGCCCCGTGATCCGGTCGTCGCTGGCGGACAAGTTCGGCCTCAGCAAGTCGTTCCTGGAGCGTCTCATATCCTCGCCGCCTTACACCCCTCCCTTCAAGAAGGAAATGGTGACGAAGCTCGTGAGAAACTATCGCTCGCATCCCAGCATCTTGGATCTACCGTCAAGGCTCTTTTACCAGGGCGAACTGGTTCCTTGTGCTGGAGAGTTCTCTCGCTCCTTGTGCGAGTGGGACTGGCTTCCAAACAAGAAATTCCCAGTCCTCTTCATTGGCGTGGAAGGCAAAGACTCGCGGGAGGGCAATAGTCCGTCGTGGTTCAATCCAGAGGAAGTGAGCAAAGTGATGGAGGTGGTGAGAAGCCTGAGGGATATGAGGAGGAACAAGCCCTTGCCAACGGAGATCGGGATCATCACACCATACCGCAAGCAGGTCCAGAAGATCAAAGGCTCCTTATCGAAAGAGAGGCTCGCAGAGATCAAAGTTGGAAGCGTGGAGGAGTTCCAGGGCCAGGAGAAGCGTGCCATTATCGTGAGCACCGTCCGCTCGTCACTGGAGTTCCTGGGGCACGACAAGAAGTTCAACCTGGGCTTCTTGTTCAATCCCAAGCGCTTCAATGTGGCCATCACTCGCCCGCAAGCGCTGCTCGTCGTCGTGGGCAACCCGGGCATCCTCTCCAAGGTGCGTGTTTCATCTCAAAACATGGTTTTTCTAACGTATGCTTTGGCAGAACGAGCACTGGAACGAGTTCCTGCGCTATTGCATCCGGAATGGATCATACACTGGCTGCCCGATTCCATCACCCGACGCCGCTGGCAATATTCCTGACTACCTGGAGACCAGCGACGATGAAGCTAAGGACCAGCCATGGCGCGAAGCAGTCTAGCGAGAGATCCTCGGCCATGAAAGACTCGGCAGCAAATGCCTAGGCTGGTTAACTGCAGGAGGCCATGTTTCCATTAAGCTAGTGATCGTTCTTTCTTAATTTTGGCGAAGCTTGCCTTCTCAAAGAGAGGAAATGGAACAATTGGATTTGGTGTGATAAAAATGCTGTCGTCTAAAGATGCTCGGCCATGAAAGAATTCGCAGCAAATGCCCAGGCTGAGAAATTGCACTAGCCAAAGCTAATGATCGTTCGAGCTTTATTTCATTCTTGCAAACGAACTTTATCTTGTCAAGGGAGATCTTCATCTTCAAAATGGAAGGGAATAGAACAATCGAAATGTGGAGTGACAAAAATGATGCCCTCCAAGTACAGGGCTATGGCTATATGCTTTTGTGGGGTTGGATTGATTGGATGCATCTGGATCGTCGTTTCTATGATGGGCTTTTCTCATTGCCTCAAAGGTTCTTCCATTTTCATTTCCATTTATACACTATAGTTTTTATATATATTCATATCTTGGGACATGGGAGTGCGGTCTAAAAAGTATCGCGCCAATCAATGATGCGATGCATGCATGGCTGGGCATGCCCTGATTGGCCAGCCCCATTCGTATTTGTATACGTACTCCATATAGTAGAGAGATAAGCTGATGCGGTTGGACGGTCAGGATCGCGCTTGTACCCGAGGGCTCTTTTGCTTTTTTTCTTTTTGACATGGGCGACCGAGAGAGAGAGAGAGAGAGAAGAAAGAAAGAAAGAAAGAAAGCGCAAGGCGCGCATTCTTTGACTCCTGGGAGATTTCTGGAGCGCTGGGGTGCGTGATTGGAGCTGGATGCTCGCGCTGCCGCTAGGTCTTGAATTCCCATGGCGGCACTGTGCGCGGATTTTTGGGGGAGATTTCTCGCACGGTTCGCCCGGCGATTCTTGTGTCGCCAGCGGGATTTGTGTTGCCCGGAGCTCCTCGCCTGGTAGGAAAGAGGATCGATCGAGAAGGTGTCGGGCGGCATCGGTCATGGTATTCCACTCGGAGGCTGAATGGAATTGGCACGTTGTGGAGCTGCGAGCCTGGACAGGGACGTCGAGCAGGTATAAAAAGCATTCAATTCTCGTTTCAAATGCAACCACGAATTTTTCTCGACTAGAGCTTGCCATCGCTCCATCAATGACGCTTCCTTTTTTCTTTGTCGCTGCTCGAGCAGGCTATTATTGCACTGAAGAAGGGGTCTCAGCTTCTCAAGTATGGGCGTCGAGGCCGGCCAAAGTTTGCTCCCTTCCGGCTCTCCAATGTAAGTGGTTTTCTTCCGTTTTTTCTTGCTTTGTTTCGCTTCCTCAGGCTTGGCTTCTCTCTTCTCCAGGACGAAACCACTCTCATCTGGTTCTCGGGACGAAAGGAGAGGCAGCTCAGGCTGGATGCGGTCACAAAAATCATTCCCGGCCAGAGAACTGTGAGTGGACATTGCATCTTTCCACAACCTACAACTTAATGCATTGTCTTCTCGTACAGGCCAACTTTCAGAGATATCCTCGACCCGAGAAGGAGTACCAGTCTTTTTCTCTGATTTACGGTAGTGGTGGCGAGGAGAGATCGCTCGATCTGGTAGATGCTTTGATGAGTGAATTGCTTTGAAGTGACTGGTTTTAACATATTGTTTCAGATTTGCAAGGACAAGGATGAGGCCGAGGTCTGGTTCGTGGGCCTCAAGGCCCGTGTCTCCAGTAATCGCACTCTAAAGGTGGACAATAAAAGCGAAGGCACCCTATCAGACGTGAACAGTCCCCTAGGCCGAGCACTAAGAGATTCTCCGCTAAACTCATATGTAAGTTTGAACGTTGCGAGCTCGTTCTTTCTACCCGAGTTGATCTGCTCCCTCTTTCTTGCAGGATAGCTTCAATCGCAGTCCATATGGAAGCCCGAGCTTGTTCAAGACAGCATCAACTGGAGAGCTTCAGTCAGTGGAGTCAGCCAAATCAGACTCACTGGCGTCCGAGGAAAGCTTGAATGCACAGGGCAGAAGTGTCTCACTGGCGGATGCGTTTCGAGTAAGCATGTCAAGCGCCGTAAGCTCTTCCAGCCAAGGCTCGGGTCCAGAAGACAGTGATGCTTTAGGCGATGTTTTCATCTGGGGTGAAGGTGCCGGAGAAGGCTTCTTAGGTGGTGGCGTTTGCAAGCTTACGTCTGGTGCAGGGAGCAGAGTAGATTCGCTCGTTCCAAAGGCCCTCCAGGCGGCTGTGGTGCTGGATGTAAGCAGTATAGCCTGCGGCAGCAGACATGCTGCTCTAGTCACCAAGCAAGGGGATGTGTTCTGCTGGGGTGAAGAGTATGGAGGCAGGCTCGGGCACGGCATCGACGTAGATGTTTCAGAGCCTCAACTCGTGCAGGCTTTAGCGGGTGTCAACACCGAGCTTGTCGCCTGTGGCGACTTTCATACGTGCGCCGTAACACTCTCGGGGGAACTCTACACCTGGGGGGCTGATGCACAGAGTGGAGGACTTGTAGGACACAGCAATCCAGTAAGTCACTGGATGCCGAAGCGGATGAGCTCTCCGCTGGAAGGAGTCCGTATATCTTCCATCGCATGCGGAGCCTGGCACACTGCTCTGGTTTCTTCTGCGGGCCAGCTTTTCACGTTTGGAGATGGAACTTTTGGAGTGCTTGGTCACGGAGACAAGAGAAATCTGGCTATACCGAAGGAGGTCGAGTCCCTCAAAGGCTTGAAGACCGTGAGAGCTGCTTGCGGCATATGGCACACGGCAGCCGTGGTGGAAGTTATCGTTGGCTACTCGAGTGCTACTTCATGCTCGTCGGGAAAACTCTTCACCTGGGGCGATGGTGACAAGTATCGGCTGGGGCACGGGGACAAAGAGCAAAAGCTCGTTCCAACTTGCGTGGCTGCTCTCGTCGACTACAACTTCCGGCAGGTTGCTTGCGGGCACAGCCTTACGGTGGCACTAACAACGTCTGGGCGAGTTTTTACTATGGGAAGTACCATTTATGGGCAGCTAGGAAATCCCAAAGCCGACGGGAAGGTGCCAGGGATGGTGGATGGCGAACTCGCAAGAACGTTCGTTGAAGAGATTGGCTGTGGTGCTCATCACGTAGCTGCATTGTCATCAAAGACGGAAATCTACACATGGGGAAAAGGAGCGAATGGAAGGCTGGGACACGGTGACGTTGAGGACAGGACCGCGCCGACACTGGTGGAGGCTCTGCGAGACAAGCAAGTGAAAACTGTTGCGTGTGGATCGAGCTTCACAGCAGTCATCTGCTTGCACAAGCCAGTCTCGGATGCCGATCAGTCCGTGTGTTCTGGTTGCAAGCAGGCGTTTGGCTTCACCAGGAAACGTCACAACTGTTACAACTGCGGTCTGGCCTACTGCCATTCCTGCAGTTCTAAAAAGGCCTTCAGAGCATCGCTGGCTCCCAACCCGTCCAAGGCATACCGTGTCTGTGAACCGTGCCTCGCTAAGCTGGAGAGAAGTGCCAGCGAAGAGGTCGCCAGAAAGAGCCGCAAGTACATGGATGGCAGGGAGAGGCCGCTTATCAGAGCCTCGAAACCGATAGAGATGAAACAAGTTGGATACTACGGTAACAGCAGGAACACAGACGACTTTGCCGCTAAACACCAGACAGTCATCAACATTCCCACAGCAATTCCAGAACGTAAGGCTGTTTCAGCCAAGCCCAGTCCTCCCAGGTCGGCTACTCCAACTCCCACATCCGCTGGCCTTGCTCCCCCTGGAAATGGACCTGACGAGCTCCAGAAGAAACTCGAGCTGTCACGGCAAGAGGTTCTACATTTGAAGACGCAGGTGCGGGCGTGGTACACGTTTGCTTTTTGTTTTCTTGCTTCTAATCATAACTTAATTCTCTCTCCCGAGCAGATTAGCACGCTGACGAGTAAATATGAACAACGTGAAAGGGAGCTGCGACGAGGTGCTCAAAAGGTGCAAGAAGCTGTGCTTCTTGCTGGAGAAGAAACTGCCAAATGCAGAGCAGCTAAAGAGGTTATCAAGTCTCTCACAGTTGAGGTACGTTTGTAACTTGTGCACACTCGGGCAAGCTTCTCCTGACGCACATTTGCAGCTCAAGGAGCTTGCAGAGCGAATGCCAAGCGCACGTCGGCAGCAGCAAAGACAAGAAGTGCCAAATGGTCGGCACTTCCCAGCACCAGAAGCAGAGATCGACTTGAGACTCCAGACGAGTCCGACGTCTTCCAACAGCGCCACGGATACAACGGTAGACAAACTTGTTCTTGGTTCTGGTCCCGAAGAATGGGTGGAGCAAGACCAGGCAGGAGTTTACATAACCTTGGCCTTAGCTCCCGGCGGTGGAAGGGATTTGAAGCGCGTGAGATTCAGGTATACATACAATCTTTTATACAAAGGTGAAGACTGAGTCTGTGTTCATGTCGACTGCCAGTCGTAGGCGCTTCAGCGAGAAGGAAGCCGAGCAATGGTGGCAAGACAACCGAGTGAGAGTTCATCAGCAGTACAGCATCATAAGAACCTCCAACACCTCGAAGAACCCGACGTGAGTCCCGGAGCAGCTTAAGCAGCAGCACCCGTGAGAACCTCAAGAGACGGTGAGCTCCCGCGGGGCTGCTTCAAAAAGGAACTGAGCCGGTCGCCAGCGCGAGCTCCCTGGAAGAAATTCCGATGGAGCTGACAACTCCCGAGCAGGCTTCCCCACTCGATCCCAGACGGCAGGAAAGGCATGGTGTCCGTGAGCTCCTCGGCTTCCTTGAGCCTCCCAGATCGACCCAGGATATCAACCAAGCAGCAGTAGTGCTCCTTCCGTGGCACCACGCCGTAGTCGTGCTCCATGGTTCGAAAGCAGCCCCACGCCTGCTCCGTCAAGCCACCGTGACTACATCCGACGAGCAGGCTCATGAACACGACACCGTCCGGGGTCATTCCGAGAGCAATCATCTCCCGAAACAAGGCCTCGCACTGGTGCTTCAGGCCGAAGTGAGCGTACGAGGCAACCATGGAAGTCCAAGCAACGACGTCGTCTTGCCTCCCGGGCATGGAGTCGAAAGTGGCCTTCGCTCCATGCACACTTCCGATCTGAGTGTACGTTGCGATCATGGCAGTCCAGACGATAACATCTCCATTGCAGATGGCGGAGAAGAACGAGCGAGCTCTCTCGAGATCGCCCGCCTGCCTGAAAGCCTCGAGCATCGACACCCACGACACGGAGCTCCACTCGGGCATTGCGTGAAACAATCCAGCTGCGAGCTCGACGTGACCAACCTGGGCATAGGCAAGGAGCATCGCGTTCCAGGAGACGATGTCTCTCCCGGGCATCGCATCGAAGAGACACTTTGCGCCCTCGACGTCGCCATTGTCCGAGTGACCTTGCACCACCGCAGTCCACGAGACGAGATCTCTCTCGGGCATACACTCGAACAAGCCTCGACACTTTTCCATACGCCCCGCTTGGGCATATGCTGTTAGCATGCACGTCCACGACGGGACGTTCCATGCGGGCATGGACTTAAACACCGAGTTTGCCACTTCCAATTGCCCGGACTCGGCGAAAGCTTGCAACATTGTGTTCCAGGACACGAGGTTTCGCTCGGGCATTGCGTCGAAGATCCGCTTGGCATCGTCCAGATGCCCGTGGTGGGCATATCCAGAGAGCATCGCCGTCCAAGAGACGAGGTTCTTCTCCGGCATGGAGTTGAACGCGCCGGTAGCTCTGTCGAGGAAACCGTGAAGGGCATTTGCGATGAGGATCGCCGTCCAGGAGACCACATCCCATCTGGGCATTCGATCGAACACCAGCCTCGCTTCTAGCAGATGCCCGTTCTGGGCATATGCTGTCACCATTGTGTTCCAGGCGACGATGTTCCTATTGGGCATGATGTCGAAGACGTGCTTGGCGGCCTCGAGGTCGCCGTTGTGGGCGTAGACGGTGATGAGCATCGTCCATGAGAAAACATTGGGTGAGAGCATCACGTCAAACACGCGTTGGGCAGTCACCACGTCCCCGCACTTGCCATACATTTGCACCAGCAGATTTGCCACAAAGGTGTCCTCCGCCACCACGCCTTGCGCGATGGTGGCGTGGAGCTGCCTGCCCATGCACAGATCCTTGGCATCGCCGCACGTCTTGAGAAGCGCGAGGAGTTTGCTCCGGCTAGACGAATTCTCCATTCCCATCCATACAAATAGTAAGTAGCTACATTCTTTCTAGGCCAAGAGCAGAGTTTTGGATAGATCGCGAGAGAGGATGAGGGCCGCCTGGATTGCTGGACCGCCTGCCCGTGAGCAGAAGGGCTGAGCACAAATCTGGCGAGGAAATGCGTTATCCGTGGTCGTCACGTAAGAGTGTGGACTCTCGACTCTCGACTACGTATGGCGGAGCTTCCCGGAGAGTCACACGGTTGAGTTGCACGAGCTGGAACGTCCTGGCATGGTCAGGAGCTACCTTCTGCATGGTGGGAGCCAGACCACCGGTGGATCGGCTGCGAGAGAAAGCCGTCGTCGCGATTGGGTCAAGCTCGTACAAATTCCTCCCTACAGTGGTCGCGCTGACGACTGTTGGCTTGTGCGTGGAAGTCGAAGCCCTTGCAAGAAGTCCGGCGACGGCTGGATCGTGGAAGCCCGGCAGTGAGCACACGGCAACTTCGGTAAACACGGAGCTCTCGCAATAAGAGTCCAAATCAGCGCTCGAGAGCTCGAGGCGTGGCGTTGGCGTGCGATGGGGGGCGAGGCCGAGAAGATTGAGGGCGCTGAGGTAGGTGACTCCTCCAACGCCCGGCTTATCGATTTGCTGGAGGGCGCGGACTTCCCTACGCTAACCAGCCACCTTCGCCGGCGAATTGTCTACGATGTTGCCCGCTCGCTCAAGAAGACCGTGCCGCTGGGCTCCATCGGCCCTGGCCAGGTGGTGCTCGACTTTGGGCTCCGAGCGAGCCTGGCGGTCGCAGAAGTGGCGCCCGAGAAGGGAGAAATCCTCAACAAGGAAGAAATCCTCAAGGACTTGAATGCACGCCTCGGGTTGCTCTGCTATCACGGAATCGACCAGATCGAGTACGATTACCAGACAGGGAGCGTCTACTGTTGCGAGGCTCCGGGAGACTTGGACGACGAGGCCGACGCGTTGAACGTGGCTTACCTCTGGTCAGCGTTCGTCAAAGGTGAGAATCCCGCCTTGACTAAAGTCCGCAAGCGCTTGTATGGGATGCTGCTCAGCGGCGAGTCGACCGGCGACATCTTGGCGCTCATCTCCCAGCTCCAGCACTCTTCGGTGAAGCAACTCTTCCTTGGCGTGGTTCTCCTCGAGGGACTGGGATGCGAGGCAAACCCGGAGGTGGCGGAGCAGCATTTCGAGTTGGCGCTCTCCATGAGCTTGGACTGCGATCGCAGGCTCAGGGCTCTAGCGACGTACTTCATTGCCAGGATCAAGGTGGAGAGGGGGCAAGCCGTGGCCAGGGGATGCATGCTTGCCTTGGCCAACGAGGGGAATCCATTTGCTCAGGTGTTCGTCTCTCGGGCTTTCGCCAGCAGGCCGGTACTGGGGAGCTACCCGGACATGCAGTTCAACGAGCTCGCGTATTTTGTGAGCCTGGCCAGCACCGGGTATGGCGTCTCACAGGCTCTCGCGCCACTCTACTCCGTGCTCTTGAACGACAATGAGAAGAAGCTGCTCGCTCGGCACTCGGAGGAGCTTCCCAAGCAGCTCCGGAAGCTGGCCAAGCGGAGCGCGGAGAGTGGCAACAAACTGGGGCGAGCTCTGTGGAGCTTACACGCATACCTGGACTTCATCGAGGCCGACGAGTGCCTACTGTCTGGAGCTCTGTGCTGCCTTTGCAACAAGATGGACCGCGCGGAGATGTGGTTCCAGAGAGCGGGCAAGGACATGGGCTTGGCTTTCTTCAACTTGGTGAATGAGACGGACCCCTACGCAAAAGCCTCGTGGCTCACTTGCATGGACTACTGCTACGAGTTCGAGACCGCAAACAGCGTCTGGATTGAGCTGGTTCGCCACAAGGTGGTCCAGGACAAGCTCTCCTTCTCTCTCCTTGCCGCGGGGCTGGATGAGGTGGACGTTCTGAATTCCATCGATTTCACAAGGCTGCGATCGATCGAGCTGGTGCTGGAGGCGAGCCGCTACATGCCCAGCCCGGCCGCGGACGAGCTCATGCAGCGTTTCTGGAAGAGGTACGTGAAAAGCGTTGACGGGCTTCGGTTCTTGGCCGGACTGTACAGGCGTCAAGGCAAGCTCGAGGCTGCCATGGAATGCTACGTCGCGGCAGCAAAGTACGAGGGTGGAAGCGATGCTATGGTTGACATCAGTGTCATGTTTCTCGAGGGTGGCGACGTCGTCAAGGCCGAGGTGTGGGGAAGGAAAGCCGAGCTTGCGGCTGAAATGCTTGTGAGTGGAATGCTGGCGCTCCAAGAGCAGGATGTGCACCAGGCGTTGGAATGCTTCAAGGTGGCGGCCGATGCCGACGATCCGAGAGCAATGTGGCTCATCGGGGAGATTATGCGGTCCGAGGAATGGCTCGGCAAGGCAGCTCGATTTGGCTTCTGCCACGCGTTTGATTCGCTGGGGGAGATGAAGAAGTACACAAAGGATGTGGATGGTTTCTGGGAGTGTAAGAGACTCAAGGAAGAGTACTGCAAGACGAGCTGGAGGTTTACAAGGAGGGATGCTTTCTCAGATTCCAGGATTGTGGCTACATTTCAAAAGTGGAGAACAAACCTGTGATTTTTGGTCAAGAAACTATGTTCGGAGGTTCAGTCAACATAAGCCAGTTGGAAAAAAAAATTTATCACCTCCTTTAATGAGTGTATTTTTTGTTTTCGCTTTACTAAGACAGATAAATACAAAAGTTTCTGTAGTAGAGCAGCATGAAACTATTATGTCTTATTTTCTTATTATGCTTATTTTTCTCTCAAGAGTATATCCTTTTACTATTGATGCTGGTGATTTAGATATCTTAGATAGAGATACAACTCATGCAATTTTAAATGCCATCAGTGTTATGATTGCACATATTCCTAATGGTTTAATTCCAAGGGCCAAAGACAAGATGGTACTCTTGATATACTGCATAGTGATGGAACAAGAATGATAATTGCTATTACTACTTGGGTTTACAGTCTAACTGAAAGTTCTTTTGCACGGTGTGCTGTAAATGCTGGAGAGGGCACAGAACAAGGATCTGTTATTAGGGGTGAGTTAGTTATACTTTTAACAGATGCTTATGATGATATTATGGAGTTTGGTGCTTCATATCTCACTGTAATTGCTGAACATTATGCTTTTCAATATATGATTAGAAATTATTGTTCACAAAGACCTCAAGGAAATGTAATTTTTTTCCAAGTATATTAATAGGTGGATATTTTAACATGCCACATCAATATCTATCAGAGACATATTTCTTAATTTCCTTCAACTATAAAGCACATTTATATTTAAACATTTTTGTGAGCTGATATTATATAGTAAAAATAGGATATTATGGTCAGTAAAAACATCAAAAAAAGGATTTAATTGCGTCTTAAGATTGCAAGAGGATGGAAATTTAGTATTGTATTCTGGTAATAAAACAAATTGTAGAAAACTTTATTGTTACATTAATATGCATTTGGTTATGGAAGATGATTGTGATTTAATTTTATATGTAAATTATCAAAAAACAATAGTACTAATCCAATATCATATATTAGTGGAAGACTGGGACATTTTGTGAATCTTTATAATATAAATATTTTTCAAACTCTAATAAAACATTTGAGTAGTGATAGTTTTAATAGCACAATTTCTTTGGGTTATTATATATTTCTCAATCACTGAAAATTATGTTAGTTTCTATAACTATCAGTCCAATTTGGGCTTTACCAACTCCTCATATAATTTCATTGGAAGTTGATAAAACTTTCTATTATTTAATTCTGTAGGGAGAGAAATATAATCTTTATATTTAGTACTAGTCAATTTATGATATAAAATAAAGCTAAAAGAAACTTTGCACAGATCATTCGATTTTGGCATCAACTTTGCTAGCTCCAGTGGCCATAACTAGTGATCCCAAAAACCGTATGTGTGTTGATCAAATCCGATTTGTACTGAAATATCACATCTGGACCTTTTGTGCATTCTTAGCTCATTGGATTTGTGGAATGCAAAAACTCCTCTAACATTGAGACAAGTGGACATGGTGGAAGTGTAAAAGATTCAGCCACCTGTGACTGTTGCTTATAACTTCTCATCAAAATTTTAAATATACTTTATATTAAAAAATTAAACCTTAGTTACAAAGAAAATGAATAGAAGCAGTCATTAGGGGAGGCTGGCTCAGAGGAACTTGAGTTGGAGGAACCTAGATTGAAGGAACACACCTACTTAATTAACCACAACCTCATGGATTTCTTTCCAAATATAAAGATGTTTTCATTAATCAAGAATGGAAGTTGGGGGATAGAATATACTAAACATTTTTAATCACCTAGCTACAGGTTAGTAGTTAACACTAGTAAGTACTTAATTGCATCACGACTTCCATATTTTTTCTACTTATCTTTTAGCAGGATATTAAATTTCACCTTTAGCATTACTAATCAAAAAAATTATTATTATTATTCATTTAACCTTTAAAAACATATAAATATTAATAGATTTAGAAGGTCTCTATATACAAATATTCACATATTTGTTATCTCTTTGTAGTATCATTGCTTACAAAAACTTAACCTAAAATCTCTATTCCCGATATTTGAACACATATCATGCACATGCATAGTTCCAGATTGCCACGGGATTGCTAGTAGCAGAAGTTAACATGAGCACTATGTGTGAAGTTGGCTCTGGTTAGGTATTTAGGATTTTTACAGATCCATTTCTAAATTAGTTTGGATTAACTTGAAGTTTGACTAGATTCACTATAAAAGTAAGGTTTATACTAGTTTTTATTTATTCAATAAGACTCCATCCATCTCTTGCTTATAGTTTCTATAAGTATAACAAACTCAAGGAAGAGTACTATAAGTTGGGCCAAATTTACAAGAAGGGATGTTGTCTTAGGAGATTTCGCACCCACCATTAAATGAATATGTTTAATGGTAATCATTCACACCACCATACTATTATATTAGATTTTGTAAATTCTAATTTAATAGTTAAATTTAATGGTAACTTGTTCACACCAGAAATTAACACTAAAGTAAGCAAATGCTACCATTAGCATTTCTTTTGCATTTTTTGCTAAAATCCCTTTTGTAACATTAGGATTACATATCCACAAATATTCCATAGGGCTTTCACTTGGGTCTATTTGGGTGGTGTTGCTGGTTACAAGCAGCAGTGTAGCAGTGAGGCATGGTGCTGGCAAGCATACCACAGCAGAGGTGAGGTAAGAGATCAATATGACATAAATCCAAAATATCATCATATACATTTTCTAAAGGACCACCTAACTCACCTTTAATAAAAAAATCCTTTTTCTCTGCCCCCTTCAACATTTACAGCACACTATGCAAAAGAAATTTCAGTTAGATTATAAACCAAAGAAATTATCATTCTTGTTCCATCACCACTTGGTCTATCAATAGTACTATCTTGTTTTTGGCCCCTTGGAATTAAGCCATTAAGAATAAGTACAGTCATACCACTAATAACACTTAAAATTGCACAACTTACATCCTCATATAAGATTTCTAAATCTCTAGTATCAATTATAAAATGATGTACTCTTAAAAGTAAAATATGTAGAATAAGAAAATAAAACATTTGTAGTTTGAACTGCTCAGCAAATCAATTTGTACTTAAAATTAAAAGCCTGTTAATCTTTGTTTTTTTTCCAATTTATTTTTTCTTTTCATTAGAGTTTCAATGTTCACAAGTTAAAGGTCCTGCCAACCCCCAGGGCAAAATTTTCGACCATGCAATTCCAGATTTCAGTGGTTCCTTGCAGCTGGGAAGACACTCAGGAGGATCTTCCACTTCTTAAAGGCAGCCACAATCCTTAGAATCTAAGAGGAACCATTAACTTTAAATTAGAGGATTTCATTTTTTGTTGCCACCATTTTCCTCTACATTGGATCTCTCATTGGTGATGATAGTAATAGCAGTGGCACTATCTAGTTCAAGTGCCTGCATTTTGTTCTTTTCCACTATAGCTTCTTGTGAGATCCTATATAACTATAGAATGTGCTAGAAATGCTAATTATATAACATTTGGATTAGAGGGCATAGGGATTTCATTTTTTGTTCATTCAAAATTCTTCACTCTTCATTAGATTTGCATTTGTTTTTTGTTAGATCTAGCTTTTCTAGCTTTTGTTGTGCTTAGATCTAGTTGAAGGCTGTGATATACTTAACAACTAGTATAAGAACTTCAATCCTAAAATGTAAGAACTCTTGAAGTTTAAATTTCAAAACGTCAATATTAAATCAAAGTGTATATGAGATTTGTGTGAAACATTTATGAAAGTGAAACAAAATTCACAATTAACCTTGCTGGTGATGCTGATTTACGTCACAGGAAGACAGAACTCCAACAAGGACTTCTATTTAGAAACGTTGCCACTTCTCACTCTGAGAACAACAATAACAACGAACTTTCTGAACATCCGAACTATATATATGTGTGTAAATTCTTGGTGTTTGTGATTCCTGCATCGGCTAGCTTTCCGGAATTTGTCAAAGATCTTGACTTGTGTACTACCCGCTTCCGTGTAAGCTCGGCCTTCTCGAGCTCTCCAACAAATGAGGTCGCCAGCTATAAGATGTAACATTGCTAAAGGTTACGTGTTCATGGCAAATAACTATATACGTGTTGTTTGTAGTGTAAGAAAAATATAAAGCTGACAGAGGCACCATGAGACTTTTGTTTAATGTTTTGTTCGACTTGGTTGCTTTGCGAACACGTTGATCAGTCGAAGGTCTGTGGAACCCCACGTCGTGCAAAGCTGGAGCATCGCTCTTTTTTTTGCTTGCATTGCAATGGCGGTGAGATTCTGCATTCCACTCGAGCTCTGCGACAAGGAAAACTCTGCGTTCATGCATAAGTCATGATGGATCGAACGAACAAAAGACAGAACAATAAACAAACTGGCTTCCGGGGGTGATTTCTGTTGAGAGGAGCCCATCGACACGAGGATGATCTCCTGCACGTACTGCTGCTCTGGATATCTCTCTAATCGATTCGAGAGATCCATTTTGAGATCGTCGCGAGCGAACGCTCTCCAAGCATGAGTGCTTTTGGGAGGCTTCGCTTGCAATTTCATTTAGGTTGTGGGGCCACAGTGTGCACAGGGATAAGATCGCGACATCTCTTTCGTCCGCAAGTGCCCCAAGAGCCACATTTCTCTGACGGATATTCTCGGCTGAAACACATTGCGTAGTACGAATTAAAACCGAGCTTTTAAATTGTCGTTGTTTATGTTCTTCTAGAGAATGAACTTCTAAGCCGTGATTGGAATTGATTGAAGCCCAGCAAACCTTTGCAACATTTGATCTCATTAGAAGCAGGACAAGAGCATTACATGCCTCTCATGCTTGTACTGTTTAAAATCTTGTGTGCAGGTGCTTGTTTTGTCTGCAGGCCTCCATGTGCCTGGTCTCTCTCTCTCCAGAACCTTTTATTGTTTTCTAAGCCCAGTTAAATCTAGAGCATCCATCCATCCATCCGTGTCCAGATGGATTGTAAATCAAACCGTTGCGCGACGGGCCACCACACCACCTTCTGGACGCTACCCAGGAACTGGTAGAATCGAATTGAAACTTCTTAATGGCACGAAGATTCGTGCGTCTGTTGAGGATATCAAGCTCGCTTCAAAGACATGCAGCGCTGTAGCTTGGGGTTCCAGGGCAGACGGTGAAATCTTGCCTTGCATTTCATCCAAAGTTTAACCCAACCAAACAATCTCTTATCACACATCTATGAAACGTACATGCATCGCTGAGAAAAGGTGCCCATGCACGTACGACACTCACCAAACAGGCCAGAGAGAAAAAGCAAAGCTTGATCAGAAGAAGGAGAAGGAGAAGAAGAAGTTCGTCTACTCCTCTCAGTGCAGTTCGTACAGCAGTGTGCGCAGTGCAGTGCGGTGCAGGGCAGCCACGATCAAATTTCACGTCAGTCCGTTTTCAACACTGGCTGGCCTGGCTGGACGAGCGTTTTCTCCCTCATTTAACTCTGACCACGGGAATTTACCGGCCCTGTGCTGGGATTCAACTGACAGTTTTTAACCTCACAAAGATGTGGTGAGATCAGACATTGACACGGGAGACGCGGCACCGGCAACAGCAAACACACGACTCCTCTGTGAAACATGAATTCATGGGTTAAACCGCACATAATTTACAAGAACTAGAATTCATTCACCAGCTGCAGTTATTGCGACCAAGGTCGTGAACATGTCATCGGTTTACGTTTTTGTTTACTTGCTGCTGCTGCTTCTGCTGCTGCCCCATCCGGTCCAGGCTCACATCATGCTTGGCAAAGTAACTGCAACCCCTCACCTCAGCCCATTCAATTTCCGGGGTTGGTCACAACTAACTTTCTCTTCTTCCGAGCTGGAAGAAAGCAGGAAAAAAACATAAGATAAGAAAAGAAAAGTCCCTGTTGCTAACACACAAATTAGAGCTGGCTTAGCAGGATAATCAGAGAAACAAAAACAGTACACTTTGGACATGCTGAATTGGAGCGCACCCAGCGCAAAAGCAGGGCCTATGGACATGTCTCACAAAATTGCAAAGTAAAGCAAAGCTTTTGTCCGTGCCACAAAACATCAAAAGCAAGACAACAAAACGCATCTTGAACGGGAGCATATTCCACAGCCCCTAAAGATGGGGATTACTAAAGTCTCGAGGGAGCAATAGCCAGTAAGCAATGCTGGTCCAGCAAAGCCAGCTGTGAGATAACAGGAACCAAGAAGAAAATTCTCCAACTACAACATCACAAAGAAAGAAAAAATGGCCATGCACTGAAAGAGGCAGTATAAGACCCTATTCGCTTTGCTCACTCTCTCACTTGTGAAACTCGTCTGCTCCATCCTCTCCTCTCTCCCTCCATTGAGGAAGGGAAAAGGGAAAGGACCTTGGCAGACCATCCACAGCTCCCCAGCTCTTAGTTCCAGGCTGATAAGAGCGCCGAATCTTTTCCATCTCCGGACACGCCTTCTCACACGCAGCAGAGGCAGTAAGAATCGATTCCACTTTCTTTACTCCGCGATCTACTCCCTCCCTGCTCTGCATTGCCTGCTTTTGGTCTGCCAAGTGCAAGATTTCGCGTTTGCTCTGCTTTCCTGGCATTCAACACTAGAATCCCCTCTTTTGTTTTTCTCATTTCAGGTGGCCTTTTGTCTTGATCGCAGGTGGAACCATTCCAAGCATTCTAGGATTGAATTCCAGGGGGCTAGCTGAGGGCTCGATTCTGTCAGAATGGCAGCCAGGAGTGGAGGCACTCGGCCCCACTGGCTCGCGGTGATTCAATTCGTGGCTTTGGTGGCAACCGTGGGCAATGCTGCAACGCCCGCACTAGCAGAAGCTGAAGGAGGCGCTGAAACCAAGACTTACACTTACAGCTCTCCACCACCGCCATCACCGGTTTACGAGTACAAGTCTCCCCCTCCGCCGGTCTATGAGTACAAATCGCCGCCCCCCCCTCCGCCGGTTTACAAGTACAAATCGCCGCCACCTCCTCCGCCTTACTACTACAAATCTCCGCCTCCGCCTCCTCCCTACAAGTATGAATCGCCGCCTCCGCCTCCCTACAAGTACGAGTCGCCGCCTCCACCACCGTACTATTACAAATCACCTCCGCCGCCCCCCTACAAGTATGAATCGCCACCACCTCCACCATACAAGTATGAATCGCCGCCGCCACCCACCATACAAGTACGAATCGCCGCCGCCACCACCATACAAGTATGAATCGCCGCCGCCACCTCCGTACAAGTATGAATCGCCGCCGCCACCACCATACAAGTATGAATCGCCTCCTCCACCACCATATAAGTACGAATCGCCACCGCCACCACCATACAAGTACGAGTCGCCTCCTCCACCTCCATATTACTACAAATCTCCACCCCCGCCACCACCTTACTACTACAAATCACCACCACCACCTTCTCCTGTCTACAAATATAAATCTCCACCACCACCACCTTACAAGTACGAATCTCCTCCTCCACCTCCATACTATTACAAGTCTCCACCACCACCGCCATATTACTACAAGTCTCCACCACCACCACCTCCAGTTTACAAATACAAATCTCCTCCTCCGCCACCATATTACTACAAATCACCACCTCCTCCATCACCAGTATATTACTACAAATCTCCTCCTCCACCAGCGTATTACTACAAATCTCCCCCACCGCCTGTCTACTATTACAAATCCCCGCCACCTCCAGCTTACCACTACCAATCGCCACCCCCACCAAGTTACAAGCTGGTAGTGGTCACGGGCAAGGTCTATTGCAACAGATGCTGGAACACCACAAGCAGATACTTCAGGCATCACCACATGGGTCTGCTAGGTACATTCTCAATTGCATTCAATTCGATATTGTTCTCCTCACTCATTTCCTCTTGATACTGTGTGCAATAATGCAGGTGGCAAAGTGAAGATCACATGTGGCGAATCTTACTACTACGGCTACACCAACAAGCATGGAATCTTTAGAATTGAGCTCCCGCACCAATCCTGGGAAGACGCAAGCAGCTGCAAGGCCAAGATTATCAAGAGCAGCTACATCAAGTCGTCATGCAATGTCATCACGGACTACAGGTCTGGTGCAACAGGGGCCAAGCTCAAGTTCAAATCGAAAACAGAGAAGGAGCTCGTCTTGACAGCCGGTCCTTTCATCTATGCAACTCCAGAGCCATCGTCAGTCTGCTTCTACACATCACCTCCCTATGAGTACAAGTCACCTCCGCCACCAACACCGGTCTACCATTACGCCTCTCCGCCACCTCCGGTCTACTACTACAAATCGCCACCTCCTCCGGTTTACTACTACAAATCCCCTCCTCCTCCTTCGCCGGTCTACTATTACAAATCCCCGCCTCCACCACCATACTATTACAAGTCCCCACCTCCACCTCCGCCTAATTATTACTACAAGTCGCCCCCACCACCGTCTCCATACTATTACAAATCCCCGCCCCCTCCACCGTACTATTACAAATCCCCACCACCACCTCCCTACAAATACGAATCGCCGCCTCCTCCTCCTTACAAATACGAGTCCCCGCCTCCACCACCTTACTATTACAAGTCCCCACCACCACCTCCATACAAATATGAATCCCCGCCACCTCCAGTCTACAAATATGAGACTCCGCCACCCCCAGTTTACAAATACAAGTCGCCACCACCACCATACAAGTACGAGTCACCACCACCACCTCCATACAAGTATGAATCCCCGCCACCTCCACCTTATTACTACAAGTCCCCTCCACCACCACCATACAAGTACGAGTCGCCACCACCTCCTCCGTACAAGTATGAATCTCCACCACCACCAGTTTACAAATACAAGTCACCTCCGCCACCACCTTATTACTACAAATCCCCACCGCCACCTCCATACAAGTACGAGTCTCCACCTCCTCCTCCGTACAAGTATGAATCTCCACCACCACCACCTTATTACTACAAATCCCCCCCGCCACCTCCATACAAGTACGAATCTCCACCACCGCCAGTTTACAAATACAAGTCACCCCCGCCACCACCTTATTACTACAAATCCCCGCCGCCACCTCCATACAAGTACGAGTCTCCACCTCCTCCTCCGTACAAGTATGAATCTCCACCACCACCTCCTTATTACTACAAATCCCCGCCGCCACCTCCCTACAAGTATGAATCCCCGCCACCACCTCCCTACAAATACGAGTCACCACCCCCACCACCTTACTATTACAAATCTCCTCCACCGCCTCCATACAAGTATGAGTCGCCGCCACCACCAGTCTACAAATACGAGTCTCCGCCACCCCCAGTTTACAAATACAAGTCGCCCCCTCCACCTTATTACTACAAGTCTCCGCCACCCCCACCATACAAATATGAATCCCCACCTCCACCTCCCTACAAGTATGAATCGCCTCCTCCTCCACCTTACTACTACAAGTCCCCTCCACCACCTCCCTACAAATATGAATCCCCGCCACCACCTCCATATAAATACGAGTCACCACCACCACCACCTTACTATTACAAATCTCCTCCACCGCCTCCATACAAGTATGAGTCGCCACCACCACCTCCCTACAAATACGAGTCACCACCACCACCACCTTACAAGTATGAATCCCCACCTCCACCTCCGTACAAATACGAGTCACCACCACCACCACCTTACAAGTATGAATCCCCACCTCCACCTCCGTACAAGTATGAGTCACCTCCACCGCCTCCATACAAGTATGAATCCCCTCCACCACCTCCCTACAAATACGAGTCACCACCCCCACCACCTTATTACTACAAATCGCCTCCGCCACCAGAGTATCAATCACCTCCTTACATGTATAAATCTCCACCTCCGCCCTCGTACTAGGAGCTAAGGAGCATTTGATTTTCAGGTGAGAAATCTATAGAACCACAATTCCTAGTTCTAACAAGTTTTCAAATTCATCAGGTTGTAAGAAGAGGACGTCGAAGTAGCTACGGATGTGTAGATTGGGATCCCGTTGGCTTTGAGTAGCAATTTGTTTCCACCATTGAAGTTTTCTCTCCGCAATCTTCTCAAGGCGCTCACAAGGCGCTCAGGGGCAGTTTTGAAGTGCAGCGGGACCCCTGCAAAATAAGCACAGGCTTGTCGAAAAGGTTGAGGAAGTTTGAGAGCTTTTGTTGGTTGCCAATAAACACAGGGAATTAGCGCATATGTGCGCCCTCCTGGCTTCCAGTTGTGAACGATTCTGAAGTAAATAATTTGATTCTGCGACTAGAAAGCATGCTGGACCATTGTGGAAGTGTCTCCAGGACTGCCAAAAGGCCAAATCCAAGATTTTCAAAAGGATCCACCTCTCTTCTAAGAAGATCTTGACGACGCAAGCAAGACCTAAGATCAAGGTTCACAATGTAGGAGTCGACTATGGACATTGAATGAACGAAAGGAAATCCTGGCCAGTCTCTCCTTTTCTAGCTCGACACCCGGCAATCCAGAAGAAAAGGCTGCTCGATCGTATTTTCCATACGAGGACTTTTATGCCACATTGATCGTTGCTGCTCACCACTTTGACAATGAAAGGTTTGAAACTCAAGACTAGTTCCTGTGTAGAAAATGCCAAAAGAAAATCCACATCACAGAAATGTAGAAAATGCCAAAAGAAAACCACATCATAGAAATGAGCTCGTGGGCAAAAAGAAATGGAGATGAGGGGCATCGATCCCCTTACCTATCGCATGCGAAGCGATCGCTCTACCATCTGAGCTACATCCCCGTTTGATCTTACCACCCGCTGATACCAGGCATATTCTCCGATCGCCGACTTCCTTGCAGGTTCCAATGGGCGGAAAAGAACACTCCTCGAGGGAGACATGGAAGCCTGGAATCGCAAAGGAGAGGGTAGGGTTCCTTGCTTTTTTCGCCCACCAGGTAGCTATCTCTAATTCTGCCAAGGATGCCTAGAAGAAAGCTTGTGGAGATCGATGTCACGTCGGATACGGTGTGCCCCTGGTGCTACATCGGGAAGAAGAATTTGGAGCGGGCAATCGAGGCCTCGGCAGACGAATACGACTTCGAGGTAACTGGTTGGATTCATTCCTCCTCTCGAGTTTTAGAACGCTTGGATCCAATCACGCAGGTTCGATGGCGTCCCTACTTGCTGAATCCCAGCGCCCCCGTCGAGGGTGTTGATAAGCTTGCTTATTACAAGTCCAAGTTTGGAGAAGGTCGATTTTCTTCTATCGTGGGCCGATTGAGCAAGGTTTTTTACTGTGATGATCTAGCAAATGCTTATTAGTAAGTCTAAGATGATAAATTGGTTCTCAGGTGTTTGAGGATGTTGGACTCGAAATCAACTTTGGCGGCCTCACGTAACAATCACCACGCTTTAATCTTTGTGTGTGTTAACTTTGTGGGATTTCCACAGGGGAAACACTCTGGACAGCCACAGGCTTATCGAACTGGCTGGACGTCAAGGCTATGACAAGCAGAACGCGCTTGTCGAGGAGCTCTTCCTCAACTATTTGACTCAAGAGAAATACATCGGCGACAGGTTTCTCTTCTTCTCCCTCGGCGAAGATTTGTGAGATCTCGGTTGAGCTGACATGGTCTCGTTTGATCAGGCAAGTTCTGGTGGATGCCGCGGACAAAGTTGGAGTCACGGGGGCCAGCGAGTTTCTCGCTGATCCTAATGCCGGCCTCAAGGAGGTTTGTTTGTTTCTTTCATCTCCAAAGCTTCAGCGTCGCGATGTTCTACTGTTGCGCAGGTCCTGGAACAACTCAAAAAATATGGCACTGGAGTGAATGGTGTCCCGCATTTTCTAGTAAGCACAACTCTAAACTTTGATGGTGATCACTAAACTTTCGTCGTCCTCTACAGGTGAATGGCAAGTATCAACTCTCTGGCGCCCAGCCACCCAGCTCCTTTATCGAAGTTTTCAAGAAGAGCTAGCTAGACTTATCGTCTCTTTACATCTTCTAGTGTGAAAGAATCTCTCTCTCTCTCTCTCTCTCTCTCTCTCTCTCTCTCCAGACTTATGGAAGCCAGCGAGTGCCTGGCACTGCTCGATCGTTGCAAGACACTGTCCGTGGCCAAGGACATCCATTCCCGCATCCAAGGAAACGTCCACAGCTCCGCGGCCATCGCCAACAAGCTGATCGAGGTCTACGGCCGGTGTGGGAGCATCGACGATGCACGCAGGGTGTTCGATGCCACCGATGCCAAAGACGCGGTTTCGTGGGTCGCGATGCTCTCTGTCTACACTCGCAACGGGCATCCGGAAGAAGCCAAGCGCATGTTTGAGAACATGCCAGATCGATCTCCAGCGTCCTGGAATGTCATGTTGCTTGTCTACGTCCAAGCTGGGAATCTACAAGCTGCAAGGCAACTGTTTGAAGAGATGCCGGAACAGACTCTAGTGTCTTGGAACACTATGCTCTCTGCGTATGCCAAAGCCGGGCATCTTGACACAGCGAAAGAGTTGTTTGATGCAATGCCGCATCACAACATCATCTCTTTCTCAGCTCTCCTTCCCGCGTTTGTGGAGAATGGGCTCCTTGACGATGCCAGGATCTTGTTTGATTCCATGCAAGAGAGCAACCTCGTGTGCTGGAACACTCTGCTGTCGGCCTACACGCGGCATGGGCACCTCAAGGAAGCGGCTCTCCTCTTCGCCGACATGCCGGCACGGGACATTGTCTCCTACACCGCACTCTTGTCGGCTCTCTCGCAGCACAGCCGGCTAGAAGATTCTAAGATCCTCTTCGAGGAGATGCCAGAGAGAAGCATCGTGTCGTGGACCGCGATGCTGACTGCATATGCCCAAAACGGGTGTCTGGCGGAAGCGAAGGAGATATTCGACAAGATGCCGGAGCGTGACTTTGTGTCATGTACTGCTATTCTTGCGGCGTACAGCGAAGCTGGGATGGTTGACAGAGCAAGGTTTTGTTTCGATCGGATGCCAGAGCGGAACATGGTTACTTGGACTACCATGCTTGCTGCATATGCCCAGCGTGGGCTTGTTGACGCCGCCGCCAAGTTGTTCCAGAAAATGCCCCAGAGTGACCTCATAGCTTGCAACACCATGGTAAGCGCATACGGTCAGAGCGGGCGGCTGGACGAGGCTGTACAGGTGTTTGAAGTGATGCCGGTGCGAAGCCTGGTGACATGGAATGCTATGCTAGCTGCTTATGCCCAAAACTGTCATCTTGAGAGCGCAAAGAAGGTATTTGATTCAATGCCTATGAAGGATCTCGTTGCCTGGACGGAAATGCTCGTAGCTTATGCCCACGCTGGTCATTTGGAAGAAGCTAAGTGTGTCTTTGACAAAATGGCACAGAGGGATGTGGTTTCCTGGAATGTAATGGTTACTGCGTTTGGCCAAAACGGCTACCTGGTTGAGGCCCAGCGGTTGTTTGAATCCATGCCGTTTCACAGTGTGATGTCTTGGAACTCCATTCTGGTTGCAAACAGCCAATTTGGTGAATTGCAGGGGTCGAGATTAGTTTTCGATGAGATGCCATGCCGTGATACTGCTTCCTGGAGTGCATTGCTCTTCGCTTATGCCCAACATGGACTTGACCAGAAATGCAAGTTTCTATTCGATAGAATGCCGGAGAAGTCTGTTGTCTCATGGAACTCCATGTTAGCCGCATACACATACAGTGGTAACTCTGTAGCGGCGATGGAGCTGTTTAGTCTCATGAAGATGAATGAATTGCCTAACGAGACATCTTTTCATCTGGTTTTAATCGTGTGCAGCCGCAGAAGAAGCGCTTCTGAAGGGAGGAGACAATTCCTTTCAATGTACGCGGACTTTGGGCTATATCAAGGAAAACAGCATTTTCACCTCGTCCTCGATCACTGGACCGAAGCCAAGGATGGATTTCCATCTAAACCAAGCAATGCAGCTTTGGCGAAGATCCAGGTGACAGAAAACTCTCATAGTTGACATACTCTTTTCAAGGCATTTGACAGGAGAATGTATGGCAACCGGTTTTGCTCATCGACTCCGACGGCATTCCTTGCAGCGGCCGCTCCCTGCTGCGTGTCACCATGGATATCACACGCAGAGAGGAGAGTGGCCCAATTCTTGAGCTCTGGAACGTATGGCATGCTCTCGATCAGCCCTTTAGCCTCGTCAAGCTGCCCAGCTCGAGCAAGAAGATCGACAATGCAGCGGAAATGGCTGGCTCGGGGATCCAAGCCGTAATCCAGGTCCATGAACACGAAGTGCCGCCATGCCAAACCGAAGAATCCCTCGTGTCCCAAGGCCGAGATGAGACTGAGCAGTGTGATCTCGTTGGGATCCCAACCGTCCAGCTTCATCAACTGGAAGAGCTCAAGAACACACCTCACGCGCTTCAAACTCCGCTCCCTGCGTCGCTGCTGCTCCTGCGGCCGACTGGAATCCTCTCGTCGCGTGTAGACCTGCAGCATCATGTTCCATGCCACCACCGTGCGCTCCGGCATCATTCGAAAGAGCTTCCTGGCCTCAGTGTGATGCCCGCTTCGAGAATACGCAGTTATCATGGATGACCATGAAATGCTGTCTTTTACGTGCATGCTATCAAAAACTTTCCTTGAAACGTCTAAGAATCCCGCTTGGATGTAAGCGAAGTTCATAGCGTTACACGCTGCCAGACTTTGACACGGCATTTGTACAAATAAACTCCTCGCTTCCTCTACATGCCCGACTTGGGCATATGCCGCCAGCATGGTAGTCCACGTCACTTGGTCACGGACGGGCATGGAGTCAAAGATGTCTCGGGCTTGTTCCACGTGTCCGTGGTCGCAGTATCCTGCCACCAAGGACGTCCACGTCACTATATCTCTCGCGGGCATGCTGTCAAACAGCACCATGGCAGCTCCAAGGTGGTTGTTCTTCGCGAAGCCTTCAACCATTGCATTGCAAGCAATGCCATTCCACACGGGCATTCGATCAAACAGCGCCTTGGCATCATCTAGCTTGCTGCTCCTCAACAGAATTACTAGCATTGTAGTGAAAGACACCTCGTCCCTCTCTGGCATCACTTCGAAAAACTCAATCGCTTCATTCAGCCTCTTGTCGCCATCGCCATCTTGCGAATGTGCCGCAAGCATGCTGTTCCAGGCTATTAGATCCTGCTCTGGCATCTCACTAAAGATCTGCTTCGCAATGTCGAAATGCCCACTTGCGGCATTTGCTGTAATAATGGCATTCCATGCGACGGTACCATGCTCGGGCATTTTCTCAAAAGTGTCCCTTGCCTTTGAAAGCTCTTTGTTTAGTGTGTAGCCTTGCAGCATGGCGTTGTATGTTATTTCATTCCGAACAGGCATTGAATCAAACAGAAGTTTTGCGTTTTCCAGATCCTCACCTTTGGCATATGCTAAAACCATGGCAGTCCACGATACAACATCCCTCTCCGGCATGGCTTGAAACAACATACTTGCTTGATCAAAGTTTCCAATGTCGGCATACGCGGCTATAATAGTATTCCAAGAAACGAGATCTCTTTGAGGCATCGAATCAAACATAGACCTCGCTTTTCCCAAATGACCATTCTGGGCAAGTGCAGACATCATGATGTTCCAGGAGAAAACGTTGGCCTTGTAAAGTTGGTGAAACACCAGCCATGCTTGCTCGAGCTGCCCACACCGTCCATACATGTCTACCAAAAGATTTCCGAGGTATCTGTTTGATCTGTGCTCGCTAGCAGTGATCTGTGCGTGAACACATCGTCCTCGGTCGAGGTCCTTGGAATTGCCGCATGATCTGACAAGGGACCCAAACCTTGCGAGCTCCTCGATAGATTGCATTGTTTCTCTCGAGCGCGTGCTGGGCGATAGCGATTCATCCAAGAACGGTGGATTAGAAGTAAGCCTCTCGCAATCTCTTGTGCCATATACTAAGATATGATTGTGTCAAATGCTTGCGAGGCAAGAGCGCATCGAGCACTATGCATCGCTCATCCGATCTTGCCAAGACACACGCCAGGGGAGACAACTCCACGAGCGCGTCCTGGGCAGCGAGTTTCGGAGAAACAGATACTTGGGCAATTTGTTGGTAGAGATGTATGGCAAATGCGGGGATGTAGAGAGCGCAAGGCAGGCGTTCCGAGAGGTCTACGAGCCCAACACAATCTCGTGGAATATAATGATCTCGGCGCTCTCCGATAACGGCTACGTTGAGGACGCTCGTGCCGTGTTTGATCAAACGCCTTGCAAAGATGGTGTCTCTTGGAACACCATTCTTGCAGCATATGCCCAAGCGGGGTATATTGTCGAGGCGCGTAAAGTCTTCGAGGAGATGCCAACAAAAGACGAGGCATCCTTTACCGCTATGATTGCGGCTCTTGGGAGGGTTGGAGAGGTGAGGGCTGCCAAGATCATCTTTGATGGCATGCCGGTGTGGAACACCATGTCGTGGAACACCATGCTCCAGGTATTTTCGACGAATTCTTATGTGGAAGAAGCGGAGAAGATGTTTGAAACGCTGCTGGAGAAGAATGTTGTGTCGTGGACTGGTATGATCGCTGCGTGTGGTGAGCAAGGAAACCCGGAGAAAGCCAGGGGATACTTTGACACGATGCCTTTCTTTGATCTTGTAGCTTGGTGTAGCATTGTCACCGCATATGCCCAAAATGCGCATGCTGGAGAGGCCAAGTTTTTGTTCGACATGATGCCAGAGCACAACCTGGTCGTCTTTAATGTCATGGTTCTGGCTTACGCACAAAACGGAAACTTTGATGAAGCACGCAGCATGTTTGAGCAAATGCCGTTCCGGGATTCGATCTCTTGGACTGCCATGGGAACGGCATATGCGCAAAACGGGCATCTCCAAGAAGCATGGAAAGTGTTTGAGGTCATGCCGGAGAAGAACTTGGTGTCCTGGAACGCTATGATACAAGCTGTCTCGCAAGTCGGAAGGCTGGATGCGATGGCCGAGCTGGGATACTCTCGGCTGCTCAACGATCGTAATAGAAACCAATGGAGGACTCTGAGAGACAAGAGCGTAGCGGAGGCTCTTGGCCACCTCTATCTCATGCTTCTCGATGGCTGGGAGCCAAACGAGGTGACATACTTGAGCTTGGTTTCCGCTTGCGGTCACGCAGGCATGCTGAAAGACGCATTGTCCCACTTCAAGGCAATGGCTTTCGACCACCGCCTGCGTCCTCAAGCCGGCCACTTCAGGTCCATTCTGGATCTCCTGAGCCGCGCAGGGAGACTGGCCGAGGCCAAGGATCTCATCCAAAACATGCCGTTTGTCCCGGAGACTCCTGCGTGGGCGACGCTACTTTCGGCTTGTGGAACACAAGGTGACTCGAGACAGGAAAGTTCTAGCGTTGCACAGAGTGTGCTCGAGATGAGGTCCAGGAGCTGTGGATCCTACGTTCTCATCTCCAATCTATACTCCGCAAAGAAGTACGCAAGACAGTGAATCGCTCTCTGGCGAAGCGACGAACTTAGAGAGCCAAAGTTGCATCTCTTCCATGGAAGGACGCCAAAGGAAGGACGGCATAGACAAAATGCCAAACTTCTGTGCGTCTCGGTCCGAGGTAGTGACGCTGGCAAGAGACAAGAGGGAAGGCTCAAGCTTAAAGATCCAAGGACAAGCTCTCCGGTGGGATTCGAGCGGGAGAGAAGTAGGCCAGCAGCATCGAAACAAGAGCACACGCCAAAACCATCGCTCGAATCAGGAAGATCATTAAGAGAACACTAAGTGAAAAGACACAAAGTAGAAGAAAAGAAAAGCCTCCATTTTTATTTACAAACGCAAAGTCCCACTAGTACTACGATCAATCGTTTTATCATGAGCAGCACCCAGCTTTCTTTTTTGTTCTTGGATCCTCACAGTGATGGGCGATGCGATCGGCGAGGAAAGAGGCAGTTCATCACCATCACGTACTGTCGAGAAAGGGAAGCTTGGCGAGGAGCCACATATATAAATATACCATCGCGATCATGTCAAAGCTGGCGACGCTCGGGGAGCGATGGCGCTGGAGCGGATGAATTGGAGCACCTCGGGCATGAACACGTAGCTCACGGTTCCATCGGGCGTGACGAATCCATGCGTCGCGTCAGGATACTCCACGAGCTTCACCTCCACGCCGCTCTTGCGCAGGAAATCCGCGTAGGCGACCTGGCGGTCGTGGAGCAAGTCTCGCCCGCCCACGATCACCAGCGCCGGCGGGAGATTGCATGGCAGCGGCTGCGCGGCCGCGAGAGGATCGCAGAAGGGATGGTCGCGCGACGCGCCATCCGGGAGCGCAAGGCTCCACAGCTGGTCGCTCATGGCGAGCGTGAGGATGGGGCCGTCGGAGAGGCGGAGCTCCGAGGCGGTCCTGTGCGCGCCACCAAAGAATGGCTGGAGGAGGATCTGGGCGGCGAAGCTGAGAGGAGGGAGGAGCGCGCGCTTGCTCTTGGACGACTCGAGCACCATGAGGAGCGCGTTGTGGACGATGTTGCCGCCAGAGCTTCCGCCCATGAAGATCAAGCTGGAGAAGTCGGCATACGAGGCTAGCCAGGGATCCCTTTGAGGAAGATGGTGGTCGCCACCATCGCGCAAGCTCGTGATCTGGTGGTGGTGATCATGACTATCACCATTGCCATCCACAGTAGCGCTGGCAGCATCGCCACCATCGCCATCGCTGGTGGAGAGAAGAGCTTGGGCTCGGAGCCAGTGGAGCGCCGAGACGAGGTCTTGGTAGGCGGCGGGGAGGCACGAGGCCGGCGCCAATCTGTGGTTGAGCGAGACAACAAGAGCAGTGGCATCAGTGGCTACCTTCTTGCAGAAATCGTGGTACGAGGACGTGGCGGCGCTGAATCGGACGAATCCTCCGCCGTGGACATGGACCACAATGGGGAGCTTGCGCTTGGAATTGATCTGGAGCGCCGCCGCGGGGAGATAGAGCCTGACCCACACACGACCATCGCCACCGCCGAGCTTGACATCCCGCGACGCCACACCATCCGCGAAGCTGGAATCCGCGGCAACCTCGGGGATTTCCCAGCTCTGCGCGGACGCTGGCGGCCCTGTGGAATCGCCCATCATGCTCTAGCTCTCTCGCGCTCCCGGGGAGAGAGAGAGAGAGAGAGAGAGAGAGAGAGAGGCGCGGCGCGGTGAAGAAAGAATCAAAGAAATAACTCGTAGAAAACGCGGAGCAAATCCTGCGCTCCTCCAATCCAATCCTGCGCAGCGCTTCTTCCTTCTCCAGGTTTTGTAGCTCTCGCTCCTCTCCGCTCTAGCTACGCGGCCCAAGAGCTTGATTAGCCACATTCTTCTTTTTCCATTGTTTAAGCTTTGCCATGGACCCTCTCTTGACAATGCTTCACCAACAATCACGAAAGTGAAAGGCTCGCATAAATATTCCTCTAATCGCTCTCTCCTCGCTGCAGATCTCCCTTGCGGGGTGGATCTAGAGGATGATCTATGCGTAAGTTATTTGCACCACACGAGAGGGTGATTGATTGATTATCAAATCGCGATTTGATAAACCCCGCGGTATAGCTGTTCCTCATATGCGAATTATATCCTCGCGAGCGTGGTCTCGCCTTGGCGATCTCGCTGTCCACGAGCATCCGGATGCTCCACCCCTCGCAAGCAATTCGCTCTCGATCGAGTGTAACTCTCTCGCTTTTCCCGCTTAGCAGACAATGTAAACAATCGATCGATCGCTCTCGTGCTCTTTGGTTGCTCGAGAATGCTGACAAGAGTTCGCTCTGTGGCATAGATTATCTAAGCAAAGTCTGCGAGTGTGGCGAAGGAGATCTCCCAGCGACACTTGCTAAAAAAAAAAAAATCTTGTGCAAAGCACTCGCGGCCAAGGGTGGGAGTGATGCGTCCATTGCGAATGATTGGCATATGAGTTATCGCGGGTGTATGATGAGATAATCACAAACCACACTCAAACAAACCAAACAACCTCAACCTTATAGAATCGCAAACATTATTCCTGGTGGGAATCCTGGCAAAGACTTTGAAATTTCTGCCACCACCCGCCCTACCTAGTCTATGATCCGGGCGAGCGAACGCGGCAAAACAAAGAGAGAGAGAGAGAGAGGAAGAAAAAAAAAGCAAGAAAGAGAGAGCGGAAGATTCCTTTTTCTCTCAACAAAAGCCGAGAGAGAGAGAGAGAGAGAAAGAGAAAAAAAAAGCAAGAAAGAGAGAGCGAGAGAGCGGAAGATTCTTTTTTCTCTCAACAAAAGCCGAGAGATTCCTTTATTTCAACCAAAGCTACCTATATTATTCGATATTCGCTTTCTTTCTTCACGGGTGTGACCACTCAACTCCTTGATTCATAGGCAAGGTGATAGAAACTTTAGTTTTTCCTCCAGCGAAACAACGTGGTGGCTGATGCTCTGACTTGATCCAAAACATATAATCGATCGTGCCACCAGATTTACGAGGAAGCATACATCCTCCATAGCCGCAAGCCAAGACAAGCGACCAAGCGAGCCAAGACGCAAGCTAGCAATCAAGCAAAGCAGCACAGACACATGATCTCATTCATCGCATCATCGTGCTCAGCGCTTGGGTGATCTCATCCTGCAGCGCAAGATTTGGGATTGTCGCAGATTCCTTTGGTTGAATCCACAACTTGGTCCTGTCGATCATGTCCTGGATTCGTTAATTCACGCTCTCATACAGCCCAGTCACAGCTCACTTTCTTCCTTCCCAGAGTGGAAGCAAAGCAAATCACACAGAGGGAGGAAAAGCGCCGAGACAAAATCCAAACCACAAGACGTATGCTTCCGTGTGGCAGAGCCGTAGCTCCACCATGAAGCCAAAAAAAAAAAAAACGGAAAAATAGTCGAAGAAAAGAGTACGAGAAAGAAAAGGAAGAAATATACCTACGTGCTACGTACAAACAAATGCATGAGACGCGACAACGCATGAATGGGAGAGAGAGAGAGAGAGAGGAGAGAGAGAGGCCGAGGAAAAAAAAGAGAAGAAAACTGATAGAAGAGATGGAAAAACTATTCTTTGTTTCTAGGAGGCATCTGAAAAGGGAGTAATACCTCTGTGTCCACTGAAGCGATGTCCTTGCTTTTCTCGCCGCGGCCTTGCTTCAATTCAAGCCTTGGGTCTGAGTCTTGCTTCTCTCTCGCTCTCTCGTACTGCTCGTCTCGTCTGGAGAGATTCCAATTGTTTAGTAATCCAAAATCAAGCACTTAAGTACCTCTATCTCTTTCTCCTGGAGTCCGAGCCATTTACTCGGAAGGCTTGGAGGGGTCTCTCTTTGATAGCCTTCCGTAGCACGGGATGTAAGTTGTAATTTAGACTGGGATGGTTCCTGCCTGGCAAGCTTGTATAGTTTCAAACCAAAAAGAAAAGGAGAAAGTTGCTTACGAAGGTTTACGTCTGATCTTTCCAGATGATGTCTTTGAGTCCCGTTGTGAACGACTGGTGGAACTGCGCAGCGACAGCATATTGTTAATGTTGATTGCGAGGAAGAGAAATAAAGAAGAGTCAAACAATTGCCTTGTGATACTCGAGTGTATCGCCACCAGATTTCCGTAGCTCCACCACGTAAAAAGACGGTGCAACTTCGAAGACCTGAGAGCAGAGCTTTTGTACGAGAGAAAGAGAACCAAAACGCTTTACCTCCGTGCACACCGAAAGATGACCTTTCCTACCTCGCTTTGACCCTTGCAGCGTCATCTGAAGGAAAGTGCTTGTCCAACTCATGCAATCCTTGTAGAACTATACCTTGTAGTTCCTCTTCTGGATATTGAAGCCCAGCGGTCTCGCAGTTTCTTCTATTGTTCTCACAATCTCTTTCGCAGGATGTTTCGATGTGAACCGTGACTCGCGTTCCACCTCCTACAACAAGTTACTCGATCGTGAGCATCTCTATAGAGAGGAAAGATAAATGCTTGAGGATACTTACACGATGCTCGAAAAGGCCTGACAAGTTGAATCCTCGCGACATCGATATGATCTCAAAAGCATTCATGGTGACTGGTTGTGGCTCCTCTTTCTCCGCCACAAGATGAGCCTGCAAGAAAATTTCAGTTCTCTTTCATGTCAATTGGCCAGACACGCCGTCCTACCTCAGAACCATTAAACACCGCATCAATGTCGTCAAGGTTGGGACTTTGTTCCTTTCCAAGTGTCATTGGTTTGTGTTCGACTTGAAACCACTCATTGTCCATTATTCTGGAGATGGATATGCGCTGACGCACAAATTCGGAAAAGGGAGAGAGAGAGACAAGCACAAGCAAAGGTTACTACATCAACGATGCCAATTTAATTCTTACTGATTTCGGATTTGGATCCAGTATCTTTTGTACAAGCTTTCGGGAGCCCCTTGAAAACCAATGCGGAAATGTAAAATCTGCGCGATGCATCTAATTCGCATTTAATTCATGTCAGCTGAACAGGAAAAACAACCAAACAGATGTTTTCATACCTTCTTGTACAGTGCCACCAGATTAGGCTCGTCAAATGGCAAGTATCCAGCCAAGAGGACATACAAAACAATTCCGCAAGACCAGATATCGGCTTTGAAACCGTCGTAGCCTTTGTCACTGATGACCTGTAGAACGATAAGTTCACACAAGCTAAAACAACAAGCAACGCAGTTACCTCGGGAGCTACGTAGTTTGGCGTTCCACACGTTGTATGAAGAAGGCCATCCGACTGTAAAATCATTCACTAATTTAATGAGCGAGTTCTCTTATGGTGAACTTAACTCGGCACTGTTGAGGAAGGGCACTTAGACCGAAGTCTGAGATTTTCAAGTTTCCATCTGAATCCAATAGCAAGTTCTCTGGCTGCCAAAACAAACGCTTCTAAGTCGAGAGCTCTACAAATATCAGTTCGTTTCTTTCGAGAATCACCTTTAAGTCACGGTGGCAGACACCCCTGCTGTGACAATAATCCACAGCATCGATCAGTTGCTGGAAATATATTCGGGCTTTACGTTCATCTTGCTTTCCCTCTCGCGCCTGGACGAAAAAGAAATAAAAAGAAATCTATGTCATTCTTTAATGAAAAACTGTCAGATGCCTTACGATCTTGTCAAACATTTCTCCACCTGTGACATATTCCATAACCATATAAATCTTGGTCTTGCTGCCTATAACCTGTAAAGGAAAGTCTCACCACCAAAAAAGAAGAGAGCTTTGGGAAATGGTTGAAATATAAGCTTACTTACCTCAAACAGCTGAATGACGTTGGGATGTCTCACCAGCTTCATTGTAGAAATTTCGCGTTTGATCTGTAAAGTTCGTCAAGATGACCAGCAATGAAAGCGAGCTCGACCATTTCTGCTTTACCTGATCGACCATCTTGTGCTTCAAAATCTTCTCCTTGTCCAAGATCTTAATCGCGACGCTCTCGTTCGTCTCCAAGTTCCTGGCGTACTTGACCTTGGCAAAAGTACCTTCTCCAAGTGTCCGTCCCAGCTCATACTTCCCAACGCGAGTTCTCCGGTAGCTCATTCCTTCCCCCTCTGGATGGAATTCCTAATCCTCAAGAGCGACACAACGCATTTGATCCCAGTCACAGGCTCGAGGAGATCGCCGAGGGAAACAAGATCCAGGCCGGAAGATCAAGCGTGCCGAGTGGAAATGCAGCTGCGAACAAGCCAAGAGAAAGTGATGGGTGGATCCATGCAATGCGCGCGGGCTGGCGAGCGAGACATTGATTACCTGCCGTGCCCACCGAGAAACCCTAAGTCGCGAGTCGCAAGAAGCCGCGCACTGTTCCATCGGCGAGGAAGAAGAGAATGAGCCGCCTCGTTGGAACGGGGGGGGGGGGGGGCCGTACACGTCACGACGCGGCGGCGTACGGACGAGGCCCAGAAAGACAGGAACTAATTAGGGCAACGGTGGCGCCACCAAAAGAGCATTGGGGGCGTGGTTTTCGCTCGCCGCGATTCGAGACAATCTTTGGATGTGCCACCAACCTTGTGTGCATTATACACATAAAAATCATACAAATGTTGTAAATGTGGGTGCTGGTTTTCCAACAAAAGATTTGATAGAGAGCATCGAATCATATCGCACCGCCAAAACACTTTGTCCGTCCATTGTCTCCTCTAGAGCGCTTATTCGCGGGCTGGAGCCGTGGTAAAAACCGCGGTGAAAAATACCGGGCGTGGTAAAACAGCGGCGACAATTTGGTGGCGCCAACTTCCTAGAAAGCTTGCAAATCCACCTAGGGCCTGTGGCGACGCCAAATTTAAGAAAGATTTACCAAAATTACCACACCACCCGTGCGTTTTTTACCTTTGACCACGGACCAGGGCATATTCCCCGCCCGGGAATCCTTGGCTTCGCTGGAGGGGAGATCCGGAATCGTTTAGTTTTCTTGTTTCGTGGGTGCCGGCTGGCGCAAACGGGAGGAGTGAGGAACACTTGACAAACACAATGTCAAATCCAGATTGAATACCAATTTGGCGAATATCCCCCCAATCTCCATATTTGTAAAGTAGAGAAGAGAGAGATTTGTTTGGCGCCGGGATCATGATCATATGCCAAGATCTCTGCGCAAATCTTTCCAACAGTGCCAAGGTCATGCTCATGCGCAACAATTGGAGCGAGTCGAGAAGAGACACTCCGCAGCCGTGATTTTTGTATGGATTCTTCGTGACGAAAGTGGGGTCAAATGGGTTTTGTATTGTTATGCTTGGGCCACATTGACCAGCTCTCTAATTTCCGCCACGCACAACCATATCCCAAATCTTTGAAAAAACAAAAGCGAAAAGGCAAAATCTTTGCGCAACAAAAGGTGGCGGACCAAACTAGACATCTAAATTTTTCTAAGCTTCTCGTTTCCGATCATACAGCTTAGGTACCTGCCTAGTGTTTGAAGCCAGGCGAAAATCAATCAATGTAACTCCCGGCTTTTCACTTTTGACCGCGCGGTAAGAAACCGTGTTTTTACCCAGTCGTGGTGGACGAGATTCGCCAGGATCTCGCCGGAGGTTGTTTGCCGGCGCCGGGACCTCAGCAAATCCGCCAAAGATTTTATAGCGCCCAGCAAATAATTTAAAAACCATGGAAATTTCAGCGAATCATATCTCCATCCTGGGGGCTCGTCAATCTGACAGAGCCAAACCGACGACCGACGGCTGCGGTCACGACACGTGTCAGAGGAGCGTTTACCGGACAGAATACGTCAGTCTAATCAGTCAGTGTGATGGCTTTGCTTTGGCATTCATTCGTTTGTTTGTTCATTCTTTCTTCTCTTCTCCCTCGCGTCGCGTCGACAGCTCCTCATCCACGGCGTCAAGGATTCCATCGATCGATCCATCCATCCGCCAGGTCGTCAATCGCGCGGCGCTCGCGGCAGTCGCGGCGCGGCTCGATCGGCGGCACGGAAAGAGGTATGTGGATTTGGGCGAAATCGCGGAGATTTTCTGGCATGGGAAGCGGCAGCAAGGGCGGGATCGAAGCGGAAGAAGCTGCCTGTGATGCGTGACGCAATGCTCGCGCGGAGCATTGGAGCTCTCCTCTCCATCGCCGATGATGTTCTGTCGAGCCTGGTGGATTATCGGAGCAGCAATCGTCTAGGATTGGAATTGGAGCAGGGAGGAGGAGGAGCGATCCATAATCTGGCCGGGGCGGGTGTAATGCAGGAGGGATCGCCGAGTCCGGCCGTGGAGACAGGGAAGCTCTTCAAGGAGGTATCCAGGGCATTTAGCGGTAGCAACCAAAAGGATGAATTCCTGGTCGCGTCCACCACTAGCACGACGAGCAGCTCCTCGTCGCCTCATGCATTGCTCGCGTCCAGCGCGCAGCAGCTCAAGCACAGATTCAAGACGTCACACAAGAGATCTCGCCTCGAGGAGCTCCTCATCGAGTCCACGCACTCGGAGAAATTGGGATCGTCTCACACGGCGCTGCCAGGGTCGGGGACAGGGACAGGGCTGGACAAGCTAGTCGTGACTTTGGCACTGCTTTTATCGTCGGCCATCTTGCTCGTGTGGTACTTGACGCCGGCCGCGGTACTGGTTTGGGCCGTCCCGGCAGCGATGGTGTCACTGGCGATTTGGACGAGATTTGTTCGCTGCGATCCGCCGAGTTCCAGGGAGATTTGCGTGCAAGGGCAGTGTTCCGGGTGTAGAGTAGTGAGCCAGGACAAGCAAGAGGAGGAGGAGCAGCAGCTGGCCCAGCGAGCTCATCGTGCCAAGCAACAATTCATGGCTTATGTGTTCCATAACATAAGAGGTGAGTTCGTTGCTAGGCTAGAAGTTTCTTTTTCTTTCGCTCTTCCGTATAGATGGTGCGAGAACTATTTCGTGATTTTCTGACGTACCTTTGGCTTCTCCGTGCAGTCCCTTTCAATGCGATCGTCCTGGGATTGGGTCACATGCGTGCTTCAGCGTCCGGGGATGACTCCAGTTCCGGGGAGCTAGACTTGGTGCAACTAATGCTAGACTGCGCCGAGACAATGACAAACGTGCTTGATGATGTTACTGATATGGGTAAGGTGTCCATGTCTCGACTCGAGTCTCGACTTTTACTTATGATTGTTCTCGACATAACTAACGAATGATCGGTCATCCACAGGAAACTGGGAGGAGGGGCGCATTGAGCTTCACCGAGATGTGTTCGACTTACTGGCGGTGGTGAAGTTCCTGGCGTGGGGTTTGAAAGATTTGCTCGAGCAGAAACAAATATCTCTCAACATTGATATCGATCCGGTCGCCAGCAAGATTTTGAAGTCCCACAACATTGTCGGTGACAAGCACCGGACTGTACAGACGCTAGGTAATCAAACTCTTCCACGTCTGACTCTCACTCACGCTCTGCGCAAGCAGGCAATTTTCTCAGTAATGCCGTCAAGTTCACGCCTACCGGGGGAAAGCTCGACCTGGAGATCAAGTGTCAAGAGCTCGACGGGGTCCCGGTCTCAAACTCCAAAGGCTTTGAGACCGACGAGTTAGAGCACAAGTCCCTGGAGCTCTTTATTGCCGTCAATGACTCTGGCGCAGGTAACGTTTCTTTCTTCACGATCGCGATGGTTTGTTTTGTTCTGACTTGAAAGTCTGGTGCTCGGACAGGAATTTCCTTAGATGACCAAGACAGACTCTTCGAAGCAGACTCTTTCATATCGTCTCCTTGGGTCCAGAAAGCTGGTGTTTCCGGCCTGGGCTTGAGTGTTGCGAAACGCTTCATCGAACAGATTGGTGGTCAGATCGGGGTACGCTCGCGGGACCAAGGAAGTACGTTCTTCTTCTCCGCTCCATTTCAGCTGGTTCCGATACAAAAGCGCACGAACTCGTCAGTCCCGGCCTCTGGGATCTTCTATAACATGAGGTCTACAGACTCCGTAAGCAAAGAGAAGCGAAAGTTGGAACGCCTCAGTGACCTTGACGCCCAACTCAAGTGTTCGCCGGGTGCTGTGCTGCAACAAGACGCCTCTCAGTGCAGGAGAAAGGTGCTGCTAGTGGAAGACACGCGGATAAACAGAGTAAGTCTCGTCTTTGGCTATATCCGTGCGCATTTTACTTACCATCATCTACAGATTATCTTGCGGAAGGTTCTTCAGAACCTCAATCTCCAATGCGACGAGGCAGAGAACGGCCAGATTGCTGTCGACCTGCACAGGCAGGGCAAGTCCTACGATCTGGTGTTGATGGACAAGGAAATGCCCGTCATGGACGGACACGAGGTAAGAGCTCTTAGAACTGAGTTTTCCTTTCTCTCCAAAGTATGTTAACGTAAGTTCCTGGCAGGCAACTAGAGCTCTGAGGATGATGGGTGTGAAGACTCCAATCGTGGCCTTAACTGGCAATGCTTTGCAGTCGGACAAGGAGCTCTTTTTCGAAGCCGGGGTGAATGAGTTTCAAACAAAGGTATGGAAGGAAACGTAAATGCTCGTGGACAGACAGGAGTGCTGATGCTCTTACTTTTGCCGTGGCAGCCTTTGTCTAGAGACAAACTTATCCAGCTCCTGGCAAGATACGGAGTTGAGAGCTCATCGCCACCGGTGGCTTTGCAACTTTGTCGCGAGTAAGCTGCCCAGCGACGAGCGATCAAGGAGCGACAACATACAGAGTTTTCAAGGGATTGTCTTTTTGGCGGGACAGGCAAGCCCGGTTGGGAAATTTGTATAGACTCACTCTATTATGTACAGCTTTTTAGTGGAGCATAGGAATCAAAGAGAGGGACGAGAGAAAAGAGAGATAGAAAGAGAGAGAAGAAGAAGAAAAACCATGGAAGCTCCATTCAGCTGAAACAAATGGAAAGAAGGAACTTAGAATTTTTCAGTGCGCTATGTCTGGAAAGGAAGATCTTGGAGCTGTTTCAATACATCCCGGCTCTGAGATGGCGGTCAAGTCTCTCGGCATTGAAAGTTCCCGGAATCTCGTGAAAATCATCGTTGAAGATTGAGTAGGCACTGCACGGCACGTATCCTTGTGATCTGGAATGGAATGGAAGAAGTCTTCGTACCTGATTTCGCCCTCTTGCCGCTTTCCCAGATTCCAAACGATGAGACAAAAGATCGTTGCGATTATCTGCGACAGTGGTGTTAGTAGTAAAGAACACACAAAACAGCACTGTTTCTTACGTAGAGATGGCCCAAGTCCCACGAAATGGCGTAGCCAGCGACGATGAGCCAGAGCAGGACCATCATCCATCTTCTGAAACCAAAAGAGAAGATGATCATCAGCACGAAGTCTGCTCAGAAAAACAATCACACCAGTGTCCATGCTCACGCTTGATGTATGATAAAAAAGGACAAGCTACCTGGAAACTTGAGGTTGTGCTTCAAGAACTGTACGAGTCTTCTCTGGAGCGGGGATGCGGTCGCGGGAAGCTTGAATCTCTGGACACACACAAAACACACTTAAAACCAACAAGAAGATTGCTCAAAGAAAAAAAAAACAAGAAAAGCTCTCGTACCAAGTCATCATCCTCGTCTTCGTTTTTGCTCTGCGAGTGCACCGAAGGCGCCTTGGGTGGAAGAAGCACCAGCAACGAGTCTAAAAGGAAGAAGAAGAAGAAAAAAAAACCGATGAATTCCACTCAAGAAAGAAGAACAAGAGTTAAAAATTCTCCATAGTCTCACCTCCAGCTCGAATGTCGACAGTGGAGTAATCATCAGCAGCACCGAGAGCCTTGCCTCTAAACACGAGCTTCAGTCGATTCACTTGAGAATCCTCCACTAGGCCAAGCTCCTGGCTCACCAATCTCCGCAACACACCGATCTAGTAGAAATCCCGCTCATCAATCAGATCGATTGGATCAATCGATCGGCCACTCACCTCGCATAGCGGCTCCACCTGGATCACCCGGCGCCGCCGCACGAATCCAGCGACCTTGAGCTCCAGCGGCACCATCCCCGGCGAGAAACCCTAGGTAGCGCTTTCGAAATTTCCCGTTTAACGGGGGGGCTTTGTTCTTGGCTCTATTTCATTGCTCCAGCCAAAATGGGAAGAGCTACTGCGTGAGCGATGAAGGATTCCGCCAAAAGGTTTCTCCTCCTCCCTTTCTCCGGCCTCCTGCCATCGTCAATCTGCGTCCTCCTCGCCGCCGCGCTCGTCTTCTTGGCAGCTCTCACGATCCCAAACCTGGGACTGGGATTCTCACCGCCGCTGGAGCTCCTCCTCATCCATCCCTACGCGCCGATCGCTCAATCGCCTGGGAATCTCTCCACCGCCGCGCCGCCGAGCGATCCAGGTAGCCGATCGGTGCCAAATCTTGCTCAAAATATTTCGGTGCCAGCTCGAGGAGGAGGAGGAGGAAGAGGAGGAGGAGGAGGGGATTCCATCGATCGCGAGGCGCGAGTGTGCGATCTCTACACAGGCAAGTGGACGCCGGATCCGCGCGGTCCCCTGTACCGCAACGATGCGTGCCCCATTCTTTCGCAGGCACAGAACTGTCAAGGGAATGGAAGGCCGGACAGAGATTACGAGTCTTGGAGATGGGTACCCGATGGCTGCGACCTTGCGCGCTTCAACGCCACCGAGTTCTTGCGCATCATGCGAGGCAAGGTCCTGGGATTCGTGGGCGATTCCGTGGCCAGGAACCAGATGGAATCGCTCATGTGTATCCTAATGCAGGTAAGAGGATCGTTCTAGCTCTTCTTGCTTCTCGCTTTCCTGGATTGATCTAGCTAGTTCTCATTTGCTTGCTCTCCTAGATAGCCAGTCTCGATCGCGATCAATGTAGCTACTCTTTTTCCTGATCGAAGTAGTAGATGCTAGATGGTTTTTTCTTTTTTTTTTCTCTCTTTCTCTCGATCGCAGACTAACTGTGAGCTTCGATCACCACACCAGGTGGAGAACCCCGTGAACAAAGGCAATAAGAGGATGCAACGCTGGTTTTTCCGCTCGAGCAAGGTGACCATCGTCCGGATCTGGTCGTCATGGCTGGTGAAATCCACGCCCGGCGACGCCTCGGTGAAGAACGCAACGAGAGTTCACATCGATCAACCCGACGCCAACTTCATGGACTTCCTTCCCAGCGCGGACGTGCTCGTCATCTCGTCCGGCCACTGGTTCGTGAAGAAGTCGGCGTTCATGCGGGGTGGCCAGGTGGTGGGAACTCAGGGGTGGCACAGGCCGAACGCCACCATGACCACCAGCGAAGCCTTCGCAGCGTCCATGACCACGGCCCTCACCGCCATCGCCGCCAGCCGGAGCTACAAGGGACTCACGGTTTTTCGGACGTTCTCGCCGGATCACTACATCGGGGGGTCGTGGAACACGGGGGGGTCGTGCACGGGGATCACGAAGCCTCTCACGGACAACGAGGTGAAACGGATTGGCAGCAGCGTCTTCACGAGCGAGATGAGGCGGATCCAACTCGAGGCGTTCGCGGAGGCGAAGAGGAACGCGAGCGGAGGAGGAGCCAGGCTGGTGCTCATGGACGTGACTCGGGTGTTTGAGTACCGGGCAGACGGGCACCCGGGATCGTTTCGAAGCAAAGATCCCAGCGGCAAGGTGGCGGCGCAGGACTGTCTCCACTGGTGCATGCCTGGACCCGTCGATACGTGGAACGAGTTCTTGCTCCACATCATCGTCACGCACAAGATCAACACGGCGCCTTGATCCATCATCCATTCTTTCGGGAAGCTCTCCAATCCATCTGTAAGTTTTGATTCTTTGCAAGGGAAAGAAAGTTGCTACGAGACGATGCTGGCGAGCATCATGTAAGGTGCTGAATTCCCCGGCTCTAGCTCCGATACCTTCTCGGCTGCTCGAGCTGCGAGCTCGGCCTCGCGGTGGAGCTTGCAAGCGCTGAGCATCGTCTTCCACGAGACGGCCTCGGGAAGAAAAGGCATCGTTTCTACGAGCTCCTGTGCGTCGTCAAGCCGGCCCGATCGACCGAGAGCGTCCACCATGCATCGGTACTGCTCCCTCGTCGCCTCGATTCCATAGTCGCTCGCCATGGACAGGAAGAAGGTCCGGCTCTCCTCCACCATTCCCAAGTGGCTGCGCGCTGCCAGGACGATCGTGGCTGCGACCTCGTCGATCTCCCAGCCTTCGTGGCTCATGATCTGGAAGAAGCCCATCGCCCTCTCCCTGTCGACGCTGTAGCCAGTGAGCATTGCGTTCCAGGAGATGGTGTCGCGAGCAGGCATTATGTTGAAGATCCAACGCGCTTCGTCCAGATGCCCCTTTTGGGCATTCACTGCGATCATGGCGTTCCAGGCTATAAGATCTGTGGCTGGCATTTTCTGGAAGAGATCTCTGGCCTCGACAAGCTTCTCGTGGCGAGCGTATCCAGTGACCATGATGTTCCAAGCTAGAATGTCCCTGAACTCCATCGAGTCGACGAGTTTTCTCGATTCCAGAAAATGCCCTCTCTCGGCATATGCAGCGATCATCAAAGTCTGGATCACAACGTCCAAATGCTGCATCGAATCCATGATGTTTTGAGCCTCCTCGAGAAGCCCGTGCTGGACGTAGCATTTGATCATCTCGGTTTGCGAGAGCATGTCGTGCTCGTCGCGCTGGATGGAATCGAAGACCAGCTTTGCTTGCTGGATCATCCCGGCTTGCGAGTAGGCCGCGATCATCAGGGTCTTAGCAATCACGTCCCTCTCGGGCATCGCATCAAACGCCTCCTTGCCGTCGGCGAGGCTGCCATCGCGGACAAGGGCGTGGAAGAGGGCATTCCACGTCACCGTGTGTTGCTGCGGCATTTTTGCAAAGACAAGCCTGGCTGTGCTGAGGTGGCTAGCCGCGTCAGCAAGCGCTTGAAAGAGAGCCGTCCACGTCACTACGTTTCTCTCTGGCATGGAGTCAAACTCCTGCTTGGCCTCGTCCAGCTGACCGTTGGCGGCCAGTCCCGACATGAGGCTCGTCCACGTCACTATGCTCACGAGAGGCATCTTGTGGAACGTGGCGCGGGCACCAGCCAGCTGTCCCTCTCGTGCGTAGCCAAAGAGTATGATATTCCACGTCACTAAGCCACGTCCGCGTGGCATCTCATCGAACAAGCTTTTAGCACGATCAAAATGGCCAGACTGGGCATATGCTGAGATCATAGTGTTCCAAGAACGCTCATTGTAACAATCTAGACTGTCATACGAATAATTGCCATAAGTTGTTAGGGCACTGGATTTAGAGCTAGTGATATGATCTGATATGGACCTTTGGCCTTTCTCAAGCAAAACGTTGAAGAGTTTTTCGGCTTCCTCAAGATGCCTTGCTTGGGCATTTGCTGAGAGCAAAGCGTTCCACACGACTGTGTCGTGGTGTGGCATTCTAAAGAATGTGGCAGTGGCGGAAACCAGGTCTCGGTTCTCTGAGAATGACTGGAGCAAGATGTTCCAGGAATAAGAATTGCGTTGCTGAGTGGACTCGAAAACTTGGAATGCCTCCGCTGGGCGATTGCAGCGTCCATACATGAGGACGAGGAGATTGGCGAGGAAGGTGTTGGAGCTGTGGCGGCTGTGGATGATAGCGGCGTGGGCTTCTCTCCCGCGCAAGAGATCCCGGGCATCGATGCAGCTCCTCACTGCCTGGGCGAGTCGATCCTTCTCGCCCACCATGGTGATTAAAAAAAACGAGCAGAGAATATGCGACGCATCGCTCTGGGCCTAGGTTTTGGTTTTGATGCGTGGCGGAGCTGGGAGGTGGAGCGTCTGGAATGCAGGGCATGCTGCGCCACGATCTTCTCGCCGGCACTGATGTCACAACAGCAGCTCCTGGCGATTTCCTCCATTTCAAGGCTCACGTCCCTCTGCGACATATCTGGGTACGCAATCGATCGATCACTCCATCCCTATTCATCCAGGGTTGATTCTCGATCGAAATCTCCTCTCACAGGTGGGAAACAAGCACTGGCGGTACTACCAGTCGGGGCCAAAGCTCTTGCCGCCTTTGGTGTGCCTGGGAGGGACTTCCTCCACTGCCGAGGTCTTCTACAAGATTATTCTCTCCCTCTCCGCCAAGGTATTGCTCTTCCTTCGTTCTTCTTCCTTCTGTTCATGCATTTTGTTGTAAGAATGTTGTCAACGTATTTTTCGATTCTTCTTTCAGGGCTATCACGTAATTGCTGCTGATGCTCCTCCCGTGTGGAGTCACCAGGAATGGATCGCTTCGTTCGAGAAGTTTTTGGATCAAATTGGTGCACACCATGTAAGTATGATACGAGGTGTGCTTTCGAGTTTTTCTGATGTTTCTCTCTTTGGTTTTTGTTAAGGTTCACTTGTATGGTACTTCTCTCGGTGGGTATTTGTCGCAGCTATTTGCTCAGCAGCGTCCGAGGAGAGTAAAATCGCTACTTCTCTCAAATACGTTCTTGGAAACACACACTTTTGCTTCAGGAACTTCTTGGAAACCATTGTGAGGAAGAACTTTCTGCTGGTTTTGATCAAAGACTTCGCTTCTTACAGGATAAGTTGGACGCCCGAGTTCATGCTAAAGCGATACATCCTGTCAGGAATTCATGAGGGGCCGCAAGAACCTCTCATTGCCGATTCAATAGATTTCGTGGTCTCCCAGGTATTTGCCTCATTTTGAGGAACTTCATATCCTACGTTTCGATTCCCGACAGTTCGAGACCCTCTCCCGCGAAGATCTCGCATCACGCTTGACGCTCAACACGTCTCCTGCTGCAGTAGGCCAGATCACACTCCCGGACTCGTGCATCACCATCATGGACGTAAGCATTCCCGCTTTTCAAGACATTTACTAAAGCGTAACTCGTAGCTCTTTACAGACGAATGACTACTGTGCCATCCCGCAGTCTCTCAAGGACCAAGTGGCTGCCAGATATCCCACCGCCCGAAAAGCCATGCTAAAGTCCGGTGGAGATTTCCCCTTCCTCTCTCGAGCAGCCGAAGTTTCACTTCACGTACAGGTAGCAGCGATCTCGTCTTTTCCCCTGATCCTCGTAACTTTGCCTCGCAGCTCCATCTGATGAGAGTTGGAGTGGAAGGCGTTCCCGACGCTCGTCCAATCCCATCCCCTGGGAGTGGTGGAAGCGGGGACTCCGCCGGCGACGATCAATACCAAGGCCGAAGCCCCGACGGAGACAGAAGCTCTGCCGCGAGAGACGAGCCATCTTCGAGCAGTCCAGCAGCCACCGACCGGAGCTTCTCTCCAAGCGCCATGGACTCGTTCAAGCGACTGGGTCTCGCAAATCACCTCCAGGTCGACTTGCAAGTCTCTCACCTCTTTTCTTTGCTGTGTTTGTTAGCCGCTGTACAAGAATTTTGGTTTTGTTCGCCACTAGCTACTTGTCCGAGCTTGAAAGTTTGATCGTTTTCTTTGTTCTTGTAATTTACAACCATCTTTTTTTTTCTACCAATCACAAGTTGGTTTTAGTAACCCTACCACCTTTTTTTCATGCGTACCTACCTTTACCCTGCCACCTTTTTTTCATGCGTACCTACCTTTACCCTACCACCTTTTTGCCCAAGCCCTACCACCTTTTTACCACCTTTTTATGACACGGAACGTGCCCTTGTCGCAACGCTATGACATTGCACATGTTAAAGAACGTGGAAAGTTTCAATTACTCAATCAAATCCGTGTTGTGCACTACTTGCAAAATTCTTTCCTCGTCGTCAAGTAACGTTACAATGGAAAATCGTTGTTAAAAAGAATACTCGCGTGTCGGGTTAGCAGCCAAGACTTGGAAGAATAGAAGGGAACGCGACGATTTCCCGTCAACACCAAACCGTTGGAATTGCTGGTGGCGGTGTTCTTGCGCTAGATCTCTGCTGTTCTTCCACCAGATTCAAGGCCTGGAGCAGCTTGGGCCAGCTCTCGCTCACGCCCCCGCGAACATCAAAATTGACCAGCTTCCCCTGCTTGCGGTAGAAATCCTCCACTGGTTTGCTCTCCTCGTCGTAAACCTGGAGCCTCTTCTGGATGCTCTGCTCGGAATCGTCCTTCCTCGTCACCATCTTGTCCAGGCACTGGATCGGCGGAGGAATCGCTGGCATCCTCAGATCGCCCACTGAAACATCGGCCATGCTGAACACTCGCCCACACTCCCCACACACCCTCCGGCCCAGGCACTTCTGGATCAACACCTCGCGCTCCTGGGCGAAGTTCACAGCTACGTGAACGTCCGCTATCTTGTCTAGCACGATCGCCTGGTTCACCGTCCTGGGGAATCCATCCAGGATGAATCCCTTGTCGCCCCTGGCAGCCCCCGCCTGGAGCCGCGAGTGGAGCAATTCGAACACCTCCTCGTCGCCCAGGAGCTTCCCCTTGCTCACAACCTCGGCGATGCGCCGCGACATGGAGCTCACCTTCTTCATCTCCTCCCGGATCAAATCGCCAGTGGAGATGTGAGGAACGTCGAGCAGCGCCGCGAGCTTGATCCCAAACGTCCCCTTGCCGGCTCCCGGCCTCCCCAGCAACACCAAATTGAGCTCTCGCTGCTTCCGCGGCTCCTCCTCCATCGCCTTGCAAATCTCCGGCATCAAACCTTGGTGGTGATCCTCCTGCGAGATCGGTGGCAGTGGAAGCGGATCCACGATCGTCTTCTTCTTCTGGCAGTGGCCCATCCCGGACAACCTGTTAGCTATCCCAGAGATCTGGGGCATTGCTCGTCTCCCTGCTAGCGCCATTGTGTCTCTTCCTTTTCCAATTAGGCCACAAGAAAGCCCTCTCTCTCATATACACGGAAAAAGGGATGTAAAGGAATATCCCGCGTGGCTTGACCGGTCAACAGTCGGCGGGAGGTCAACCATCATTCGCGGTCAAAAGCGCGCGCGTGGAAGAGAAACGTGGAAACCACTAGAAGTTACCAGTGACGTCGTAGTCTCACCCACGCCACGGCACCGACCACCGCGCCGCCCAGATGGCCTACGTGGCTTACGGTGGATGCCACCTGGCAAGCAGACAAACAAGCAAGCCATTAGAGAACGCTTCCCAGAACTTTGGAAGAAACCAGGCAAGGGAACTTACATCGGAAACTCCCCACAAATCCTTGAGGATCATGTAAGCTCCCTGTGGAGTGAGCGATCGCGTCAAATTCTCACAGCATTGGAATGGGAAAAACAAAAACTTGGGAAAGATCGATCGCTTACAAACAGGGCAGCTGGGACTGGGAAGAGGAAATCGACCAAGATGACGCGCGTTGGATTGAGCATGATGTTGAGGACCACCAGCGCGTTGATGGCTCCACTGGCGCCCTGTGGAAAAAACGTGTCGCGCATCAAACAGCACGCGAGAGATAGAGGAAGATCACGCTTTTCTCTCGACTCACCAGCGCTGGTGGGACAAATCGGGCCACAAAGGTGCTGTGACGAAGCCCCTGGGAAAACCAAAAAATGTGAATGACGATATGAGAATCCACAAGAAGAATCGCTGCGCTTTTATCGAACCTTGAGCCAGGGATAGATGTAATAGCTATAAGCCAAGTGTCCGAAGGAGCTAACGAGGCCACCCGCAAAGTAGATCATGTAGAGCCTTCTGCTGCCGAATCTATAAGCGATCTGCGAAGTGGAGTGAGCACGCGAGAGAGAGCGAAGATCCGGATCGAAAAAGAACAGGAGAGATCACAAGACCTCGGTGCCAAAAAAGTATAGGCCGAGTAAGTTGGATGCCAAGTGCCAGAACTCGTTGTGGCTGAAGAAGTTTGTGACGAGTGTGTGGAGTCGGCCACTCAACACGTTGTGCATGGAGATCTGAGTGTCACAATTGTCAAGAGAGAATTTCTAGAAAGAAAAAACGAGAGAAAGAAACTGACCGTGAAATGCTCGGTCATGAAAACCGGGTCGAAAACCTTCCACAGGAAGAACACCGAAACGTTGGCACCGATCAAAGTCCACAATGCAACATCGGGTCGAGCGTATCCTCCACCCCTGATAGCAAAATAAAGATCACCCTCGAAGAAGATCATAGGATAGAAAAAAAACGATCTTTGTTACCCTGACAAGCGGCCGAGGCTGGAGTATCTCCAGCGCTGCGAGAAGCGATTCACAAGCCGGTTCCATTCTCGCACGGCGGGCTGCAACTCGGCTGGGATCTTGAGCTTGCTTCCCTGGAAACTTGTCCGAAACTGGCTGCTGCTCGTCCGCGTCGCGGGAATCCAGCAAGTGAGAGGCCGCCATTCGTTGCTCGTGGCGATCTTTGATGTGCCCAAGAAACCACTCACGCTCGTCTTACCAGCGGTCGCACAGATTCTGCGCACTGCCGCCATTTCCACCCTAAACGAAGACCAAGCTTTTGGAATTCCAGGAAACCTTTGTATTGTTTTGCACTCGAGAGAACGAGAGTTCGCTCCAAATTCCACCATTTCGTTTCCTCTCCCGCGGAATTGGAGAGCGAAAAGAATCTCAAAGGTTGGCACCGATTAGAAAAACTGGCTTTTTGGTTCGAGGAAGTCTCACACGCTATGAGATAGATCGAGAGATGTCCGCAGTTCCTTCCAGAAACTTAGACTTTGGAGAGAAGAACAATGGAAGTGGAGAACTTCTTGTGCTGGATCATCGCTTTCGAATTCGCACTTTTTATTTACATCGATTTGGCGAAGAACATCATGGGAGGATTGGATTCGTGTTGTTGGTGGAGCGGCATTGGATTTGGAGTGGCGAGACGAGGAGATTGTGTGTTTTCCTAGCCCTGATCGCTTCGCGTCCCAGTGTTCGTGGAGGCCGATCTTCTCCTGTGCCTTCCGCGTCTACGCCTCTGCGAAAAAAGAGATTTTTTGAGTCGAGTTCCACTGGAAGATCGGGTGATCTTACTCCTCGCCCTCGGCGCCGCCTCCGCCGGCGCATCAAAGAGGGGCTTGTCGACGCTGTTCTTGCGGGTCGCACCATTTCTTCTCTCCTCCCAAACTAGCAATGCGTCGCCATAGTTTTCTCCAGCAATGTATATCCCCGGAACAGCCGCGACCCTTGGATCTGCCACGTCAGCGATTAGATCAGCCACGTCATTGATCCCCCAGGTACGGACAAGGAACAAAACCCTAGGCTCGTACGGAGCTTATTAACTGGAGTTTTAAACTCTTTTGGGCGAGGGAGGAGCGAGGAATAGATTCGGCATGGGGAGCGCGCGGCGGTCCAAGAATCCCATCCAGGCGCTCGTCTGGAGGATCCAGCGCCAGAATCCCCGCGTCAAGGCCGCGCTCCTGGCGCTGGCGGCAGTGATTGGGATCGTCTTCCTCAGGTATGTCGTCAAGGATCACGACACCCTCTTCGTCGCCTCCGAGTGCGTCCACGCCCTGGGGATCGTCATTCTCATCTACAAGCTCCAGAAGGAGAAGAATTGCGCCGGTAAGGATCCATGGAGCGATCGATCGATTCGATCGCTCGTTAGCTACAGCTAGGGCCGCCTCAAATCACTTAAAAAACTTTCTTACAAGTGTGTGTTTCTCGTGTTTCTTAGGTGTGTCTTTGCGGTCGCAGGAGCTTACAGCGATTTTTCTTCTCGTCCGGCTCTACTGCTCCACTTTCATGGAGCAAAACATCCACACTTTCCTCGACACGGCCACGCTCCTCGTCACGGCCTGGGTGATCTATATGATCCGGACCAATCTCAAGGCAACTTATGTCCAGGAACTCGATAACATGCCACTCTACTATGTGGTGAGCTTTGTTCTTCTCGTCCGGGACTTGAGTTCTATCACTCCTTTTTGGTTTTCCTTTTCAGCTGGCTCCATGCGCAGTGCTCGCTATCCTGGTTCATCCTCTCATCCGGTACCACCTTATCAACAGAGTTTTGTGGGCGTTTTGTGTGTATTTGGAGGCCGTCTCCGTGCTGCCTCAGCTTCGGGTGATGCAAAAGGCTAAGGTAGGCCAATTCTCTATGTTTCTTCGCTCACTTATCTTGGATTTGATCCACAGCTTATAGAACCCTTTACTGCGCTCTACGTTTTCGCCCTTGGCGTTGCAAGATTTATCAACTGTGCGCATTGGCTGCTCCAGGTATGAAAGACAAGAGGAAGGTCATGTAAAAAAACGCATTTTTCTTCTCCTTTTGCAGCTGATAGATGGACGGGGCTACCTCTTCTACACGCTGGGAACGCAGCTCAAACACCGGAGCTTGATTCCTTATGGCTTGTGGCCTGCCATGGTTGTGGTCGCCGAGATTGTCCAGACATTCATCCTTGCCGATTTCTGCTACTACTACGTAAAGAGGTATGGATCAAAAGAAGAAAAAATCCATTTTTTCCATGAAATTTACGATTTCTTTGTTTGTGACAGTGTGGCGGAGGGCCAGATGATGATCCGGTTGCCTTCAAGTGTCTAGAATTTCATTTGGTTGTACAAGTCTTTTCTCCTCCTTTAAACTTTCGTAAGTTAACTTAAAATGGCCGATTAAAAGAGTACCTTTAGGGCCAGCTAGCTAGGGCAATTTGGATTGAGCGCCATGGAAGACAAGCAGCTGTTGCTGGAGCAGTTCATGGAGGTGGTAGGCGAGCCTGCCGATCGCTGCCACCAGTTCCTCGAGGTTTGATCCCTCCCTGATCGCTCTTCTTGAAGGAAATGCCGAGTGATTTTGTGTAGGCGACGAACTGGCAGCTCGAGGAAGCGATTCAGCTCTTTTTCGCTGGCGGAGGTGTCGAGATTGGAGCTCCGCCTTTAGCAGCGGAGCCCCCGCCGATGAGCAAGCCTGTCCTTGCGGAGCCACCGCCAGTAGTGCTCCCTTCTCCAAGGTGAGAGCTTTCCTTCGTTCTTTCTCGTTCCTGGATGAAAAGAAAGGATTTTTTTCCTCTCAGTGGGGGAGATGACTACGTTCGTCCACCACTGCCTGTGAAACGCGAGGCCTTGTACGAGGATATGTTCCAGTACAGGTAAGAAAACGAAGATCACCATCTCCTTTTCTCATTCTCTTTGGATGGTTTTCCAGAGCACAAAGAAGGGCGCAAGCAGGTCCCGTCCAGCCGACTCCTGTGGATGCTTTCCGGAACTTCGAGGACGAGTTTAACTCCAGAATCGCCAAGCCCTCCCCTGGGAGCTCTCCCGTGGGTGCCAAAGCTCCAACGCTTGCGTCCCTGTACCGTCCGCCACTGGAGCTCAACTTCGAGGGAAGCTTCGAGCAGGTACGAAGGACGCCACTTTTCTTCGTTCCCAGACGAGACCATCTTTCTTCGCATGTTTAGGCGAAAGCAGAAGCAGCCAAGCAAGGAAAATGGTTGCTCATCAACTTGCAATCCCATACAGAGTTTGCGAGTCATATGGTATGATTATAGCTCCACAAGTAAGCTTGCAAACTGTGTTTTCTCATCTACGAGCTGATGCTTTCTGTGTAGCTGAACAGAGACACCTGGGCACACGAGGCCGTCAAGGACACGGTGAGGATAACCTTCGTCTTCTGGCAGGTATTTATGGTGTTTGATAGCATTCGTGGCCTCACTTCTTCTTTGGTGGTTTTAGATCTACGATGACACCGAGGAAGGAAAGAAGGTGTGCACGTACTACCGCTTGAATACCATGCCTACCATTCTGGTGCTGGATCCTTTAACTGGCCAGAAGATGAGATCCTGGGAGGGTATGGTAGGCGCGGAGAGACTGCTCGAGGTATATGTTTTATTCACACCACTTAGAGTTTTCTATAGAGACTTACAACACTTTCAGGATCTTGTCCAATTCATGGATAGAGGTCCCATGGAGAACCACACTCAAAAGCGACCACGAGATGTGGAACAACAGCAACAGCAACAGCAACAGCAGCAGCAGCAGCAACCACAACAGCAGCTGGATCAAGGTAGAGCTCGACGCTGAGTTGCCAGCAATCTTTTCACTTTGTTCTTGGCAGGCCCGGCTGATATCGACGAAGACCAGGAACTCCAGCGGGCCTTGGCAGCTTCGTTGGAGAGCCAAACCGAGCCTTCTTCGGCGGCGGAGCATGTCAAGGCCCGCGGCAGCAAGCATCCAGCGCTGCCGGACGAGCCCAAGCCCGAAGAGCCAGAAACTTGCCGCGTTGGAGTGCGTTTTCCCGATGGCAAGAGGGGCCAGCGGAGGTACTTTCGATCCGATCCACTAACTGTAAGTGGAAACCCAGCGATGTTCTTCCTTTCTCGCTTCTCATGTTGGTCGTATTGTGTATGAGCAGTACCTCTGGTCGTATTGCTGCTTGAACGTGGAGGAGGCCGCCAGCGGCAGAAAGTTTCGCCTCACGCTCACCATTCCTGGTGGGAGGTCTCTCGAGTATGATCCCAGCATCACCATCGATGAAGCAGGTGTTGCCAACGCCATACTGAACATGGCATGGGATTGATCGCTAGTTTTCTTTTCTCCTTCGCCTGTATCTGGCAATCATCTCAACGCGTAGTCAGTCGTAAGAACTCTTTTCAATCAAAACATGATTTTTAAGGCTTTTGTTTTGCGAACCTGGTAATCATTCTGTCCGAGGACGAGCGCCCCGTGAGTCGGCAGTCATGAGTCGACAGTCAGACACAGATAGCTCCAAAAGGTACCTGAAAATCCAGACACGATAAATTCCTCTGCAAAGCTGCTACCAACGCGCTCTGGTTCTTCTGTATATTTCAATGTAGCCAGCAAAGAACTTCCAGGTTTGGCGATGGAGAAGCTCCCGCTGCTGCTGCTTGTAGCGATGGTGGTGCTAGCAGCAGTAGCACTCCCGGTTCTGGGACAAGAAGTAGAAGCTGAGCCCGAGGCGTTCGATCCAAACGACGACTTCGAGTTCCAGATGAAGAAGCCGAAAATTCTCGTCAAAGGCCATGTTGTCTGTGATCGATGCTGGCACGGACGTGTTGGCAACATGAGCCTCCCTCTCCATGGTACGCAAGAAAACCATCTTTGGTAGAAGTTTGAGAGAAGTTCTTCGTTCTTGTGTCGAGCAGACGCCGAGGTAGGCATCAAATGCGTGGACCTGTATGGATTCGTGACCTTCTCCGGCGTTGGATACACCAACACTCACGGCGTCTTCACCATTCCCATGGACGAGATTCCAGCCATCTTCGGCGTTAAGGGATGCAAAGCCAAGCTTCTGCGAGGCCCAAGCACCGGCGACTGCGATGAGGTGAGCTCCATGGGAGATGGTCACACGGGAGCTCCGCTTCTACTCGTCCACAAATCCCTGCGAGAGGTCGTGTTTACTTCCGGTCCCTTCGCGTGCCGGCCTCTCAAACGTCCGGGAGCTTGCAAAACCGCCGCTGCTCCTCCTCTTCCTCCTCCGCCAGTTTACAAGTACTCGTCACCACCGCCACCGTTCAAGCACGTCCCAAACCATCATCCACCCCCGCCAAGCGTTCCCAGCTACCATTCTCACACTCCTCCGCCTGTTTCTCACCATCCGCCACCACCATCTCTACGACCAGTTGCTCCTCCAGTTTCTAAGTCGCCGTTCAATCCATACATTTACAAGTCCCCGCCACCCCCACCACCTCCAGCTCCTGTGAAATACCATCATCCACCTCCGGCTCCAATCCACTTCCGCAAAACTCCTCCTCCGCAGATCCATCCTTCACCACCTCCTGTAACTTCTCACAAGTATCCGCCTCCAATGGCACCTCAGAAGCCATTACCACCACCTCCTGTAGCTTCTCACAAGTATCCGCCTCCAATGGCACCTAAGAAGCCATCGCCACCACCAAGTAGCAAGCCGCCACCTCCAAAATCATCACCTGGGCCTGTTACAAAGCTTCCACCTCCACTTTTCTACCACTCTCCTCCACCACCACCTACGTATCATAATCGATCTCCACCACCTGTTCCTGCCAAGTCTCCTGTTCAAGTGCCACCTCCTCATGCCTACAAGTACTCTTCGCCTCCGCCGCCACCGAGAAGCATCACCTGGGATTTCGGAGTCAAGCGAGGAAAGTTAGCCATAGATGCCTCTGAATTGCCAGAGGAAGATATAAACGACTGAAGTACCTCGAAAGATGACCCGGCTTGGAGTAAGCTATGCACAGCTGAGAGGCCGAGAACACCGATAAAAATTTAGTTCTTTGGAGTTTGATAAAGCTTTGAACAAAATGCTTGTTCAAAGACTTGCGTACCTCTGCAACTGTGAGACACTTGAATTATTTACAAATGCTTCCTACATCCTACCTATCCCGGGAACTTACAGATCACAAAAACAAAATGTTGTGACGCATTTTATCGCCGTCCGCAGCCATCACTTGAGGCGAGAGACGAACTGACCAAGATTATACTCCTCGTGGTATAGTGACTGGTCCCAGAGATCCTCCAAAGAGCTTAGCATCGACTTGAGTCCTTTGCCGCCTTTCGAGCCACTCGATCCTGCAGCCTCTTCCTCCTTATCCTTGCTCGTACCTGGGACATTAGCCTGGACAAATACAAACCAGAGATGTTAGTAGTCAGTGACTGGAAGCCTGTGTGTCTGGGTACCTTCTTCCCGTCAAAGGTAAACAAGTCGAGAAGCTGGCCTGTGTCCATACTGCTAATGCTCGCGTTGTCCGCATTGATAACCGTGTTCGCAATGGAAAGCTTGAAGCGTTGAAGGTTCATGACCTTCTCCTCTAAAGTTCCACGCATTATCAGTCTATGCACATTAACCACCCGCCGTTGTCCAAGCCTGTGAGATCTGTCCATAGCCTGTACAAAGAACATTGATATCGACACTGTTGCATCTCTGATCAAGTTACCTGTAAATCACGCATAGGATTCCAGTCATGCTCCATAAATACAACCGTGTCTGCTGCTGTAAGGTTTAATCCCAAGCCACCCACTTCACAATGAATAACAATCAGGCCCCGAGAACAAGTAAAATGCCGACGCTGTACCGTGTGTAGTGAGAAGAAGCACGTCTATTGTTGGATCAGAATTGAAAGCCTTCACAATCTCAAAACGCTTGCTAACGTCAACGGAGCCATCGAGCCTCATGTATGTCACACTGAATATAAAAACAAGCGCTAGTTAGCCGGAGCTGAAAGAACACACTAACCTTTTCATGTGTGTTTGAAACAAATCCTTTTCAATAATGTCAAGAAAACCCTGCCAAATCGATGATAAGCACTTACGCCTCTTCATTTACCTTTACCTTTAGTTGTGCAAAGATCAAAACACGATGTTGTCCCCCGGCAGTAGAATTATCGCCGTTGCATTGACCGATGCCACATTCTTCGAGAATATCTCGCAAGGCCAGAAGCTTTGGCGAGTTTTGAATATCATGTATATCCATGCTGCCATTCTCCTCATTGACGTTCTCTGACAGAGGTCCGTCTAGGACAAGCACAGGATGACTGCAAACTTTTCGCAGGTATTGCAGGGCCTGAGAAAAAGAAAATAGAAGATCAACTACACGCTAGTGAAGCACAATAAAAAAGAGAAAGAAAGACCTGAAAGACGTGCGTAGGAGCTGACGTGTTTCCTCGGTCATCAGCATTTCCACCGTACGCCTCAACCATGGTGGCCACATTCTTCTTGGCTTGAGAAAAGGCAAACTTTTCATAAAGTTTCAGCTGAAGCGAACTCAAGTCACAGTAACGGTCTTGAATAATTTTGGGAGGTAAATCCGCTAGCACTTCATCTTTTGTCCGGCGCAACAGAAAAGGCATGACCTGAGTTATAACAGCATGAGCGAACGTAGTGACAAGGACGAAATGTACCTGCTTGTGCAAGGCCTCCATGGCTAACACCCCGGCCTCAGCTTCTTTCGCGGAACATTTCGGATCTCTTGCAGCTTGCAAAGGTTTGCCATAGCTACCATGGAACTGGAACAAGATGCCGTCAAACACAAGAAAAAACAATTATACGTCAGCTAAACCTGGCGTTCAGTTCCAAGGAAACCCGGCATAAGAAAATCAAACAATGACCATAGTTCTAGTACATTGTTCTGAAATCAGAGCTTGGATTAGTTGCGTTTAAGAAGCAGCGCCGACATTTACCTGAATAGGAGTACCGCTGAGAATTAATCTGTGCTCGGCTTGAATTCTCTTTACAGCCAGAGTGATTTTGGACTTCCCGCTTTTGATGATGTGTCCTTCATCTAGGATGCAGAAGTTCCACTGTATTTGGCTCAGATGCTCGATGTCCTTTCGAAGCACATCGTAAGATGTGATTATAATACTGTGAGCCGAGAACTGATTGCGCAAGTATAACCGATCCTGAGGTTGCCCCACATACTGCAAAGGTTTCAGAAGTTCGGCCGGTATGAACTTCTCAATCTCGTATATCCAGTGACCCACTAATGTTGGTGGGCATACTATCAAAGATAACGTCGACTCTTTCCCCTGGCCAGCAGCAATACGCTCAGCCATATCTGAAGCAACAATCGCAGAAGCTTGAAGGGTCTTTCCCAGACCCATGTCATCGCACAAAACACCATGGAGCTTAAAACGCTTTAAGAAAGCTAGCCAGTTGATACCTTCTTGTTGATACCTGGTTAAAAGGACATCAGTCAGTACAACCAACGAAAGCGAGCTAGGAGACAAGTACCTGCGTAGCGGAGTTTTTAAATCAAACGCCAGCTTATAGTCGTCGACGCGACTGTTATCCAGTAATTGTTCCAAAAACCTGGCATCGGCTGAGTTACTTAGAGAGGAGATACCTTCTGGCTGTGGTACCCCTCGAGCAAGTGGAAGAAGTGGAACCAAGGCGGCAAAACTGTGAGTCACGCTTTGCCTGACAACCTGGTTGCTGTCACCCATGCAGCCCAGCAACGGAACGATGAGAAACGGAGCGTATCCTACGAGTTCCATTCCCATGCCTTCGACAAGAAACGTCACCAGCATCCCTGCTCCTTGTCTTGCCTCCATAGATGTACCATCAGTAAGCATTGGCATGGCCTTTGCTAGGACAGCAGTCATGATCGTCTCTTTCAAGGTTCGGGCCATCGCTGTGATACATCTTGACGCACCACATCTTACAGCCGCATGACGATGTCGAACGCAGCCAAATATTGCAGGGAGGAGTGTTAATATCCTCGATTGCATGGCATTTTTTAGGAAAGGAGCAGTAACGCGTATAAGCTGCAGGTTGGTTTAGAGCGTCATCGGAATGAGAAAACAAGGATAAGCATACCTGCAGGTTGTTAACAAGCGCTTGAGGATCGGCAACTGGTTCTACTAGAAACGCATCGTGAATATGACCAGGATCGGAAGGCTTGATTACTTCAGTTAGGCAGTCCCAGAGCCTCGGAAGCTTTTCGAAAAGAGAATCACCAAACCTCTGGCAAAGCGCCTTAAGTGCCAGTTCTGCACCACGTCTCGTAATTATTCCTTCAACCTTTGCTTTGTCGTCAATGGAAGCAACTTCCATCTTTCGTAACGCAGTCGATGAAGATTTCAATGAATAGTCACCATCATCGAAGGTCCAGGACGAGTTCGCTTCAGTCGCCAATGGAGTTTCAAGCTGATCAGCACATGCCATGGTAGACAGGTTTTTGATAAGCTTGTCATTAGGACACGGTTTCCGACCAACACAGTGTCCAATCACTTCTGCCAAAGCTTCTGCTGCGCACTGCTGCAGTACTTCCTCCTATAAAAACAATTAAACAAGTTGCAAATTACTCTGAAGAAGCTTCCGTATTCACCTGTTCACGCTTGACGGAGCCCATCAAAGGTTGGATGATAGGATTCAGCTTCGACGGTAGCTCGCCCATCCATACGACCACACTAGCCATCAAAGCCAAAACTGTGCCATGCAGATTAACCTGAGGCAAGAATATAGCCATCAGCAACTGAATGCAACATAGTGACCAAAAGTTACCTGAACACATTTTAGATAGCCTGCGGTAGCAAGAAGACGCTGTCGAGCAGACTCCATCATGTCTCGAGCGGAGCAAGTTTTCTCATCGGAAACTGCTCCATTGCATTCCTCCAAAGGAATAAACTTCATTGCAGCGTCTATAGCAGCTTCTACGGACATGTTTTCCACTGGTTGCAAGTCCACTGGTAATCCAAAGTTCGAAGCCTCAGCATGCTTAACGAGTGCGGCAACTTCCGCCCTCATCTTAGCGTAAGTTCTCGAAAGTTCCGCGTAAGGCAAAGAAGAGTCCGGAGTCGGATGCGAAGGCTCAATTTGTAAAAGGAGCACTTGTAAATATGATGTTAAAGGTCGAAAAGCAGAAATCACCGGCGCCTTCTTCTCATCAGGAAAGGATCTTACTTCCTTGAAGCATGATATAAGAACCATGGATGCGACCTGTGAAATAAAGATTAATAAAAGGTGATCGACAAAACCTTGAATAAACTATACACACCTGTCTCTGGATACCTGAGGGCGAATGTAAAGCTTGGTTTAGAGCCTGAAATATAAGGTCCAGCATTGAACCAGGTACGTTCCCAGCCAAAACTCCCAAGGCAGATGTAGTGGCAATCCTCATATATACAGCAGAATTCTCTCCGTCAGCACCAACAACTACTTTCGGAACCACGTCAGAATGTTTTTGGGCTTCTGGACCATGCGAGTGAGACTCTCCTCGGCTTATAAGTTTAGATGCACTTAGCTTAGCCACCACTTTAGAACGGCTTCCTTTTGGTAGAGACGTGGGCGAAAACATATTCGAGGCTTCCAAAGAAGCACCAGCCGCGGTGCTGGCAAGCTTCAGCCACGTTGGAAAGAAGGATAGCGTCGATGGTTGCAAATGCGAATGTGAACACTGCAAGCATATGTTAAACAATAGTAATATTTATAATCAGCAAACAAAAGTACTACCTGAATCAATAGACGCCAGACGCGCCCAGAACACTGCAGAATTTCTTCGTTTGATTCCATAAGCAAATTCTGAAAGACCATGCGCAGCATATCGTCAAGGATGCGTAGAGCCCAACATGTCGATCCCGACTCCAGTAATTGCTCCTAACACAGAAGTTATACCAGCAATTACGAAATCTTGCGAAGAACGTACCAGAGTTCGAATAGCAGCATATCTCACGGATGAAATATTATGCCGCATAAAAGGCCAAAGCCGGGGGGCTAAGACAGATAAATCATCCAAATCCTGTTGTTGCTCGTCCAGAGCCATGTCCGCATTCAAGTCAATCGAAGATGTAGAATTCAGTGGAAGTAACGCTTCAGGCTGTGAATAAAGCTCAGCCAGAAGATGCATTACACTGCAGAGACAATACATTAGTCTCAAGCGTAAACATCTTTTACTAGACCAACCTGTTAGTCGAAGGACTCAAGTCATCCAGATCAAGTAGAATATCCCACAGCAAGATCAGGATAGTTTTTACCAGATGACTCGCATGAGTCACAATTGCGCGGGCAGCTGGAAACAAAGCGTCTGCTGCAACTGATCTCACGTCGTCATCAGGATCTTCAAGTCCAGCTATACAGGCAGGTAAAACCCGAGGAAGAAGTTCACCTATCATTTCCTGCATGTAGCAGCAACAAAACTTTCAAAATAAATAAACCCCTTATGAAAACACTTAAAACGTAGAAAACAAAGGCTACCTGTCGGACTGCCACCAGGTACTTGATGCCCAATAAACTGCCATGTCTGACCTCCCACTCTGAACGCCGCTGTAAATAGCTTATACGGACAAGCATTGTCAAAATCAGTATGAAAATTCAGGTATGAGTTGCACCGTGAGATTACCTGCATCTGAAGAAGGATACTGAAAGTTTCATGAACTAGCGGCGAATGCATTTGCTTGAGCACCGCACCCAGAACTTGAGCACAAGTTTCTCGCACAGGCGCAACCACTTGGTCCGAAACAAAGTCACCAAATCTAAAAACCAAAAAACAAAATAAAAAAAGAAAAAAGAAAAAGATACACGCGATGACTTACCGATCAAGAGAAAAGATACAAATAAGCCGAATAGTGCAATCTTGAAGAAACTCCGAGTTTGCTCGCCATGCTTCTTGTGCAGCAGCCACTTCTTTAGAGATACATGCCGCTTTCGGGTCATTCTCTGTTGAGGCGACCCCTTTGACCTCTGGGACGTCTTGGTTGAGATCTAGCTCCCCTTTGACAGCAATATCCTTCCGGTCATTCGTGTTCTCCATTTCCTGTTCCTCAGTCTTCGGCTGGTCAGATACAATCTCCTCTGGTTCGCTTTTCCCGTCGAAAACTAGTTCCATCCTCTCTGCATCACTCTTCTCGAGCTCCATCTTGTCTCCGTCCTTCTGTTCCTCCTTTTTAACGTCGGAAACTAGTTCGTTCTTTTGCTCCACCTTTGTTTCCTGAGAAGGCTCCAATTTAGTATCAACAACTGCCTCCTGGCCTTTGGTCTCCACTCTGTTTGCTGTAAATGTTGAAGATGTTTCAGGAGCAGTTACGGCAGCAGAAGCTGCTTGTGAGCTTAATATTTCTCTAAGCGCCATGATACTACCATGGCGAATTTCCCAGACTGCGTATGACAGAAACCACAATGGTCATTGACGCTCCCAAAATTGCAGACACACAAATTACCAGGATCGAAAATATCATGCATGAGAGCCTCCACAAAGCGGGAAAATGGCCAGCGACCGTCGGCAAAAATGTCCTGACCGTCCTCCTCTAGCACAGAATCTAACACGAGCTGCGAAAGCACCGGTTAGCTACAAACAACGAAGCGCTATAGAATACCTTATCAGTTTGTTGTTGTGATTGCTCATTCACAACAGATTTAGGACGCTTGTTACTAGGCTCTTCTAGCTCCGCTTCCTCCTTCGATCCATCTTTAACAAAAAATTTAGCTTTGCGTTTAAGCATGTTCTTCTCTCTCGCACTTAGTGTCCTTGGAAGGACACCCGGAACCATGTTGGCAACCAATTGTTGAACTTCCTGCCGCTGGTACACATGATTGTGAATGCTACTATCGCCAACTGGTGTTCTCTGCATCATGAGATCCTCGTCACGAATCATGTCATTGACATCGACGAAGTCGTCTAGTCCTGACCAAAACAAAAGACATAGTAAGTCGGCAAGACAAAAGACGTTACAAGTAAAGCTTTTACCCAGTCGGCGACGCAAATTTTGCTTCTGGTGTGCCAGCCTTTCCACTGAAGTCTTTGTACTGTCGAGCGAAACATCAAATTCCTAGCATGTACAAAGCGTCGGCCAAAGGACTAAACAACACAAAAACTTCTCAAGATGCCAACCTGACCACCGGATGCAAGCAATAGCCGGCCCGACTCCAAAACTTTGTGAACATCAAACCTGGCGATAAAACCACCGTTAGGCGCAGCGCAAACACTATGTCGGAGAAATGTACCTACTGAACGCCAGGCCTGGCGATGGCTGCTTCTCGCCGCTAGCCGTCAAGACATTCTCTAGATTCAAAGTGGTGCACCCCATCCTTTGGATGTTCTTCTGTGCTCTAGCGACAAGCTCCCTCACAGTTACATGACTCACATTCTCGGCGATGGATCCAATTGCATGAGCGGCGGCCACACGCGTTTCCCAGCTCTTGCTTCGGAGGAAGTGCCCAACCTGTCACAAAGCCAAGTTTGTAGCGCGCATGAATGGAAAAGGCAGAAACAAACACACTCTTTTCAGGAGAGCTTGCAATTCAGTGGGGTGCTGCTTCGCAATCTCGCCAATCTGCTTCGCAGCAGTGAGCCTCGTCGCGGAAGTGGATCCAGCTGCGAAATTCCACACAAACACAAAGAGATCGGCGAAAAAGTACGAAAGAGGGACGAATTCACGTACTGTCGAGGAGCGTCAGCAGCCGGTTCAACCGAGACGATTGCTGCTGCTGCTGCTGCTGAGCCATGCCGCTCCACCCTAGCTCCACCCTAGTCCGCTCCAATCGTCAAGAGCTGCCGATGGCGTCGCCTAGCCCAGCGGCACAAGCGCCCTGCCCTGCCCTGCCATCGCTGGAAGAAGCCCTAACCCTAGCCAAGCACCAATTAAATTTAACTCTCATTCAAACGATCTTCCAATGTTCGCGAGGAGCACGAAGGGCCCAGCGTCGCCGGGAGGATCGAGCTCAAACATTCTATCGGCGGTACGCGCAGCGCGATCTAGATCGGGGTGGATATGGCACGCCGCCAGGAGCGTTCCCCAGGCGATGGAATCGGGGGCGTGTGGCATCTGGGCGATCATCCCCTCGGCCTCTTCCAGCTCCCCGGCGCGGCCGAGGAGATCGATCAAGCAGCAAAAATGCTCTCGCAGTGGCGCGACCTGGTAGTCGGCGATCATCGCCACGAAATGCTGGCATCCATCGCGGACGAGACCGGCGTGGTTGCATCCGCTCAAGATGCTCCCAAACGCGAGCTCGCTGGGCTGGAAGCCCTCCTGGACCATCGCACGGAAGAACTCCATCGCCAATCCGCAATGCCCATTGTGGGCATAGCCGCCAACGATGGAGTTCCAGGAGACTACGTCGCGCAGCGGCATGGAATCGAAGATCTCGAGCGCTCGATCCACCAAACCGTGATGAGAGAAAGCGCCCAGGATTGCGTTCCAGGAGATCGTGTCGCGGCAAGGCATGAGATCGAAGCTCCTCCTCGCGTCGCGCAAGAAGCCATTGAGAGCAAATGCATCGATAAGAGCGTTCCAAGCAGCGGGGTTCCTCTCCGGGATGCGATCAAACGCCGACTTTGCCTCGTCGATTCGCAGCATCTGTGCGAGCGCGTGGATCCGCGAAACCCAAGACGCGAGATTGTGATTGGGAGCGCGCTCAAACGCGATCAGTGATTGCTCCAGCTCGCCTTTGGAAACCAATGCCGCTGTCACCGTGCTCCAGCTCCCAGCATCCCTCGCCGGCATTCTCTCGAACATCTCCTTCGCTCCCGCCACACTGTCGCTCATTGTGATCATCGCATTCCAGGACACCACGTCGAGCGCCTCCATCTTCTCCAAGAACATCGATCGGGCAGTCTCGCGGCAGCCATTCTGGGCGAGCGCGACGATCATCGCAGTCCAACACACGGCATTGTGCTCGGGCATTCGATCAAAAACTTCTCTCGCATCATCCAAGCTCTCGCTCTGCGCATGCGCCTGGATCATCGTCGTCCAAGTAACGATGTTCCGCGACACCGTCTCTTGGAAGATTTTTCTCGAATGGCCCACATACCCGGCCTGGGCATACCCCTGGCACAAGGCAGTCCAAGTGACAACGTCATGCTCTGGCATCATCTCGATCACTCTCTTTGCTCGATCCAAATGCCCACTCTCGGCAAATCCCTGGATCACTGATGTCCAAGAGACAATGTTCCTCTGGATCAATCCCCCAAAGATCTCCCATGCTTGCTCGATCTGCCCGGCCTGGGCATATCCAGCAATGAGGCAGTTCCACACGGCCGTGACGACGATGCCACATGTGCGTGCCATCTTGTCCAGCATGGCGCTTGCCTCGTCGAGATATCCTAGGTGGCAGTAGACGTGGACGAGCGCCGTCCACGTTACAACGTCGTGCTGTGGCATAAGATCGAATGTTCTTCCCGCCTCGCTGCAATCTCCAGATTGGGCATTTGCTGCAAGCCAGGTGTTCCATGAGACCACGTTTCTCACCGGCATAAAATCAAACAAGTTCTTCGCTTCATGCAAACGGTTGTGTTGCGCCATTGCTCCCATTGCGGTGTTCCAGGAAATCACATTCTTCTCCGGAAATTTTGCGAATTCTTCTTTTAAAAGATCGACATCTCCCTGTTGGGCATAAGCCAGGATCATGGTGTTCAGCGACACAATGTTCCATTTCGCCATTCGATCAAAGGATTCCTTGGATTCATTCAAGCAGCCGTTTTGTGTGTAAGCTTGCATTATATAATTCCAGGTCACCACGTCTCTCTCGGGCATAGAATTAAAGACACTCCTCGCGTTCTCCAAATCCCCGGTTTGGGCATATGCCTGGATCATCGTCGTCTGGGACACTAAATCCCAGTGATTCATCCTGTTATACAAATCACTGGCTTGGTCGCAGTACCCATGCCGGGCATATCCAGTGAGAATGGCATTCCATGTAACACCGTCTCGGTGCCCTGCTAGATCAAACAAGTTCTTGGCTTCCTCCAAATGCCCTCGAAAGGCCATTGCTGTGATCATCGCATTCCACGAGAAAACATTCCACTGCGGAGTGCGATCAAAGCAAGATTTCGCGTCCTCGAGATGGGAGCCTTGCACAAATGCCGCTGTGAGGCAATTCCAAGACACGGAATCGCGCTCTTCCATCTGGAGAAAGATCTTCCTTGCCGAATCAATATGCCCATTCTCGGCATACGCCTGGAGGTAGATGTTCCACGAGAACTGGTTGGGCTGATCGATGCCGCTAAACACCTCCGCTGCGTCCTCCACGCAGCCGCACTTCCCATACATCTGGACCAGGAGGTTGGCGAGGAATTTGTTGCGCTTGCAGTGATCGATGCCCAAGATCTGGCTGTGCGCTCTCCTCCCGCGCTCCAAATCCCTGGCATTCCCACAATCTCGGAGGATCCGCGCAAGAGCATCCTGCTCGTCACGCTCGCAAGCCCTAATTCCACTCGAGAATCTTCTAACTGCAACGTGGAAGCTCGTGAGCATAGCCCGATTAGCATTCGTGCGGCTGGGAGGCGCATTTGATTCAACGGTGGAAACGCTGTCCACGTGGCAGAAAGATAAGCCCGCGAAGCGACGCTATTGGCCAGAAGCCCGTGTGTGGCGCGCACCGGCCCGTCACGCGACGGCCGCAGCACAAGTTCCACCACAACAATACCCGTCACGCTCGTCCCCGCCCGTCACTCTCTATCTTCAAGAACCAAGGTGCGCTCTTTCTCTCCTCTATAACTCGGGCTCCTTTCTCCTTTCTCTCTTTGTAGCACCGACGAGCTTCCTTCGATCCCAATGGCGTCGATTCTCGCCGCAACGTCGTCGGCAGCGTCCGCTGTGCGTCTACCAATCGTCGCGGCATCGCCCACCAAGATCTCCACCAAATCCCTGTCCCCGGCACCGATCTCACTCGCCAAGAAGTTTGGTCTGTCCAGCAGCAGAGCTAGAGTAGTCGCCATGGCCAAGCACAAAGTCACGCTCAAACTCGAGGATGGCAGCGAGAAAACATTCCAGTGTCCCGACGACGTCTACATTCTCGACGAGGCGGAGGAGCAATCCATCGACTTGCCAAGCTCCTGCCGTGCCGGCTCCTGCTCTTCGTGTGCAGGAAAGGTCGTCAGCGGCAGCGTGGATCAAACGGACCAGAACTTCTTGGACGACGATCAGATCGGGAATGGATTCGTTCTCACTTGCGTTGCGAGGCCAACCAGCGACGTTGTCATCTTGACCCACCAGGAGGATAACATCTAGAGAAGGAAAAGTAATTTTTTCCTTCCTCTGGCTGTTCGTTCTGGGAGATCTGTCGTCGCTACTCTTCGCTGTATGATTTTACTGTAGCCTTTGCAAAACGAAACGATCCTCACTTAGCTTATGAGTCCGAAATTCCCCAATGAATTGAATCCTTACCACCCGTGTAACTAGACTTCTCTCAGTCCTTTGCAACGTTGTTTACAGCGGCCTCCTTCTCTATCACTGGCGTCGTCTCTAGGACCTCTGAAGGAGCTGGAGAGGGAGTCGTCTCTACCTCTGAAGGAGCTGGAGAGGGAGGCGTATCATCTCCCGACGATGAAGCAACGACCACAGAGCTGGGATTCGCCTCTTCTGGCTTCGTCTCTTGCGCGTCTGCATTCTCCTTCTCTTGTTGCATAAGATTGAGCTGGGCTGTGAGTTCGTCCACCACAAAGTTCTCATTAACCGGTGGTGGTGCTCGTTTAGGCGCTGTTGAATAAGAGTAGCATTGCAACTTAGAAAACGATGTCTCAGAAAAACTTACGCTCCGCGGGTTTCTTCAGCTCGTCCAGACCAATTTCCTTTTCCAAAGTTTGCTTGAATTCTTTCGAAACCTCCTGCAATTTACAAATCAATGAGCTCACATTTCTTTCTATCGTTCACCACATACGAACCTGGAGCTCCCGTATAGTTGGCTGAAATGCTCGCAATGACTGTCCCAGCGACCGGGCAATCTACACACACTGCTCCCGGCTTAGCGGGCTAAACATCCCCAAAAGAAAGAACTCATACCTCAGCAAGGCCTTTCGGTCCGAACACGAGAAGCGCCACCACGGCAATGACGATAACTTCCGGAGCTCCAACACCAAGCAACGAAGATCTCACAACACCTCTGTAGGGCCGATTGGAGGATCTGTATCTAGCTACAAAGACGCGAAGAACATCAATGCCAGATATTTCATGATTTCCAGCGACGACCGACCTCTCGAGAGCAGCAACGAGCAATCCAGCTTATTTTGATGAATCCAGGAGCTCCAAGTGCTTGTGTAGCAGAGACCGGCCCTTGGAAAGATCAGCTTCGAGCGGCAAGCCCTGGCGCCTCCGCCACGACCCCTGGAGCTATGAATCGCTAGCCGGAACCCATTCCTAGAATGCTGCTCTGTCAAGGCAGCTCCAGCGCCAGCCAGCGGCGCCATCGCCACGGAGATCATGTTCTCCGCCCAGCCCAGGAACCCTAACTACAAAGATTAAAATCTGCAACGTGGCATTGAGATCAATCTATCGATGCCAAATTATGACACGTGGCTAGCTCTCCTGCGTCAGTGTGTTCTTGGAAGAACGCTACTCGAAGGTCGGCAGCTCCACGCGCGGCTCGCCGATCTCGGCCTCGATCGCGATGCGCTGTTTGGAAATCTGCTCGTCCGATTGTATGGCAGCTGCGGATGCCCGGATGAATCGCTCCAGGCCTTCGATGCGATCGCCATCGGCAAGAATGTCTTCTCCTGGAATATGGCGCTGGCTTCTCTCGCTCGCACCGATCCATCCCTCGATCGAGCGCGGCGGGTCTTCGATCACATCCCGCAGCGCAGCATCGCGAGCTGGAACACGCTCTTGGCGGCGGTTGTGGATTCCAGGGATTTGCACGGCGCGGCGCTCCTGTTCGATGAAATCCCCGAGCCGGATCTCTTCTCCTGGACGACGATGCTCACGGCGCTAGGTGGCCATGGCGATCTCGATCGAGTGATGTGCTTCTTCGATTCCATGCCGGAGCGCGGGATCGTTTCCTGGAATGTGGTGGTCCAAGAACAGGCACTCAATGGGCAACTGGAATTCGCCGAGCAAGCGTTTGCCAAGATGCCACAGCACAGCGCCATATCTTGGAACTCGATGATCACAGCATTCTCCAAGAGCGGCCATCCCCAGGAATCCAAGCTCCTGTTCGATGATCTTCCATGCCGCAATCCAGTTTCTTGGGGCGCTGCGATCACCGCATTTGCCGAGAATGGGCATCTTCTACAGGCATCGCAGATATTCTCCAAGATGCCGCAGTGGGACGTCTTTGCCTCCAACGTGATCATCCAGGGCCTCGCGGATTTCGGCGAGGACAATCGCGATCTCCACCAGTTCTTCCAGAAAATGCCCCACCGCGACATCGTCTCTTGGAACGCAATGGTCTCGGCCAGTGCCCAGCGCGGCGATTCCCTCCAGGCAGAGCTTTTCTTCGATCGAATGCCGCAGCACGATTCAATCTCCTGGAGCTCGATGCTCCAGGCACACGTCGAATCCGGCAACATCGACGCGGCGCAGCTGGTATTCGATCGATCGCCCCACCGCGGCCTGGTGTCCTGGTCGGCGCTCGTCACGATCTACGCCCAGGCCGGGCTCCTGGGCGAGGCCACGCGCCGATTCCATGCCATGCCCCAGCGCAATCTCATCGCGTGGAACGTCTTGATCCAGGCGCACTCCCACGGCGGCGATCTCCACAGCGCGGCCGCCGTCTTCGATCGAATGCCCCGCCACAGCACCGCCTCCTGGAACGCGATGATCGCCGCCGCCACTGCCCAGCTCCAAATCGCCGAGTCCCTCTTCCTCCATCTCCCCCAGCGCAACGTCGTCTCCTGGAACTCGATCATCGCGAACTTCGTCCACAACGATCGCCTCGACCGAGCGCTGGAAGCATTCGAGCGCCTCGCAGCTCGCGACGTGGTGACGTGGACGGTGCTGGTGACGGGGCACTGCCAGCTCGGCAGCGTACGGGACGCCCACTCCACCTTCCGTGCCATGCCGTGCCGTACGGTCGTGGCTTGGAACTCTCTCCTCCAGGGCTATGTCTGTTGCGGGCTTTTGGACGAGGCGAGCAGGAGCTTCGATCGAATGCCCGCCAGGAACTTGGTGTCTTGGACGGGGATCATCTCCGGGTATGCCCATCTCGGCTACATCGATCGAGCAAAGGAGACGTTTGATCAAGCGCCGGAGAGGGACGTGATCTGCTGGAACGCCCTGATCACTGCCTACGCCATGAATGGCTACAGCGTCACGGCTCTCAAGCTCCTGCCGGTGATGGATTCCGATGGAGTCGAGCCCAACGCCGTGACTTTCATGGTGCTCATCGATGCCTGCTCCACTCTCGCGTCTCTGGCCGATAGCAAGATGGTTCACAGCTGCGTGAGGGACGATTCACGGCTGCTCGAGGGCGATGTTCTCCTGCAAACTTCGCTCGTCAACATGTATGGAAAGTGTGGCCACCTTGACGCTGCGAGGGAGATGTTTGATGATTTCCCGGACAAGTGCTTGGCGCTGTGGAACACGATGCTGTGCGTCTATGCCCAGAACGGGCATACAGATCAAGCCATGGATTTGTTCCAGCTGCTGCTCGTCGAGGGAGTGGAGCCGGACAGGATAACTTACGTTGGCATTCTCTCGGCGTGGAGCCATGCCGGGGTGGTGTGGTACGAGTTCCTGCAGTCGCTAGAGCCTGACTTTGGTGTCACTCCCCCGCTGGATTTCTACGTGTGCGTGATTGATATCCTGGCACGCACGGGTCAGCTGGAACTTGCCGAGGATCTCATCTTCAACATGCCTTACGAGCCGAATGAAGTCGCGTGGACTTCGCTCCTCGGGGCATGTCGTAGCTACGTCGATCGCGATCGAGCAGCTCGGGTTGCCGAGAGGATGAACTCGTACAATCCGGCAACGTACTTGCTGCTCTCCAATCTCCACTCCCTTCCTCCTTGATCATCGAACCAAGGAAGGACGAAGAATGGAGGTGGAGGAACTTCGAAACTTTGATAGTAGCTCCTCAGCCAGCAGCAGCAGCCATCTCGTCAAGTTCTTCGCTCACGTAAACGTTGCACAGGACAACGTATGGCGACGAGTCGCCCGGAGTGAGCTCTATCGATCCTTGTGCCGCTCTCTCGGCGCGGTGGATGTCGCCATGGATCTTACACGAGCCGAGCAGCGTCATCCACTTCTTGTCATCGGGATAAAACGGCATCGTCCTCACGTACTCCTCGGCGAAGTCGAGCCATCCAACTCTGGCCAGCAGATCGAGGATGCATCCACAGTGCTGGAACCGACACTCGATGCCAAAGTCGAGGAGCATGGAGACGTAGAACTGGTGTCCGTCAGCCAGCATCCCGGCGGAGTTGCAAGCGAAGAGAACTCCCACGAAAGTTATCGCGTCGGGGTAGACACCCTCGAGCTGCATGGCGAAGAAGAGCTCCAGCGTCGACGAGCTCTCGCTAAACTGCGAGAAAGATCCGATGAGCGAGTTCCAAGTCGCCTTGTCCTTCTCGAGCATCTGATCAAACACCGACTTGGCAACCGCGAGGTTCCCACAGGTGCCATACATGTCGACGAGCGCGTTTCCAACGTTGAGATTGATCTCCTGGAATCCACTCTGCGTGATCTTCTCGTGGATGAATCGCCCCTCTCGGAGATCCGTGAGGCTGGCGCAGGCGTTGAGACAGATCAAACAGGTGACGCAGTTGGGCTTCACTCCATCCAGTTGCATCATCCGGAAGAGCCGCAGCGCTTCTCGTGCTTGATCGCTCTTGACGTAGGCCGAGATCATCGCAGTCCAAGTGATCACGTCGGCGATGGCGCCCATGCCATCAAACACCGCTCTAGCTTCGTCCAGGCTCCCACACTTCGTGTACATGTCCACAAGGCACGTCGCCACCGAGACCTCCTTGTCCATCGCAGCGTCGATCAAGCTCCGGTGGATCGTTCTACCGATAACGAGCTCCCTCTCGCCGATGCAAGCGTCAAGAACAGCCAGGAAGGTGATCCGGTTGGGCTGGATCCCTTCGTGGTGCATCCGCTGGAGCGAAACGATCGCGAGATCCAAATGCCCGTGCTGGGCAAATGCCGAGACGAGCAGTGTCCACGACACAACGTTCTTCTCCACGATCTCGGCGAAAAGGGCGATGGCGTCGGCGAGAGATCCAAGCTTGCAGTAGGTGTTGAGCAGCGCGTTGTGGAGATCGGCGCTACACACCGCTGCGAGGTGGGCGATCGTGGCGTAGATGCCCTTGGCAGTGGCGATGGAGCCGATTCGAGTGCACGCATTGAAGGTCGTGACGAAGGTGGATCGATTGGGCGCGGTTCCCTCGAGCTGCATCACGCGGAAGAGATGGATCGCCTGCTTGGATCGGCCATTGAGGATGAAAGCCGTGAGAAGCCCATTCCAGCAGGCCTGGTTGAGCTCCTTGATCTTGGCGAAGACGGCCAGCGCCGCGTCGGGATCGCCACACTTGGCGTACATGAAGATGAGGAAGGAGGAGAGGCTGCGCTCGCCCTCGAGCTTGAGCGCCACGATCCGGGAGTGCACGAAGCGGCCATCGGGCAGGGATTTGCAATCGCTGCACAGGACGAGCGCGCTCTTGATCGCGTCGAAGTCGACGCAATTCCTCTCGTCTCTGAGGTAGTCGATCACGCCCGCTAGCTTCGCGCGGACTGCCGCGATCGGTGGCCTGTGCTCCGCGAGGAGTGAGATGCGCCTGATCGATCCCTTTGCCGGGCGGGGGCGGCCAGCGCGCGCAATTCGAACCCATCGCATCTATAGATGCCCTTTCAATTTCTAGGGTTCTTGGAAGTCAAACACGACCGTTGCGTTGACTGTCCAGGGCATTGACTCTATCCGACGGCGGCAGCTCGCCGTCAAAGACAGGCTGTAGATTTTGACGGCGGCGATAAAATCCGGTCAGAAGATTAGGTCGGTTGTGATTGGCGGCTGGGTTAGGGTTCTAGCGAGTGTTAGGGTTTTACCTCGCGCGAGGCGCGTAGATTTCTCTGTTCGCACTCTCTTTCCCAAGAGCGCTCGATTCCTAGCGTGAGAGAGGAAGCGATGTCGGACGCGACGGAGAAGAAGAGTGGCAAGGTCAAGTGGTTCAACAGCGCCAAGGGCTTCGGCTTCATCACTCCCGACGATGGCGGCGAGGATCTCTTCGTCCACCAGTCGTCCATCCACGCCGATGGCTTCCGCTCACTCAAGGACGGCGAGGCGGTAGAGTTCACCATCGATCGCAGCGAGGATGGGCGCACGAAGGCGCTCGATGTCACTGGCCCCGAGGGCTCCTTCGTCCAGGGCGCGTCTAGGCGCGACGCCGGTGGCTTTGGCAGCGGCGGTGGCGGCGGCGGTGGCTTTGTCGGTGGTGGCGGCGGCGGCTTTGGCGGAGGAAGGGGCGCGGACTCTGGCCGCGGCGGCGGAGGAAGATTTGGCGGTGGTGGTGGCCGCAGTGGTGGCGGTCGAGGCGATGGATGCTTCAAGTGCGGCCAGAGCGGCCATATCTCGCGCGATTGTCCCTCTGGCGGCGGCGGTGGCGGTGGAAGAGGCGGCGGCGGCGGTGGAAGGAACTGCTACAATTGCCAGCAGTCGGGCCACATAGCCAAGGACTGCCCCAATGCTCCCCAGTGATGATCCGGCGCGGGCGTTTGGATGAATGATCATCGTTTGCAGTGGCAGCACTCGTCGATCGTGATCATCATCGCTGCTTCTTAGTTTTTCTCTCTGGTTTCCTTCTGGTTGTTTCTTCGTTTGGTTGATTGCTGCTGCTGCTACTCACTCACTACTATCAAGTCTCTTTGCGAGGGATTTAATCGACGTTTTTGTGGAAGGCTCGAGCTGTGGAGAGCTGTGGAGTCCTTCCTCCCAACGCCTTGTAATCCATTGTCCCATTTTTGCCTTGATTGATGAATAGGAAAAAAATCTCTCCCCCAAAAGTTCCAAGAAAATGGAAGTGTTTAAGACAATGTTCTTCGTTTTTGCTGCCCACATAGCTCTCATCACTTTTAACGTCTCTACGACCAAAGCTCTTACGTAGCAAGTTGCGCGTCACTGTCCCACTGACAAGATCCGCGATGTAGATCTCGCCGTATTCCGGCCCGGAAGATGGGCATAATCGCCCACGGGATGGACGGCTGCGATGCGCTACATTCTGGCCACAGAGCGCCGGGAATATTCACGCCTTGTCCAATCGAAATGTTCTCGTGAATATCCGGTGTGATTGTAAAGAGTTATCGTTTGTGTGGCTAGGCACAGCTTCTCCCTCGATCGGCAGCTATGGCGGCCCTGGCGGCGGCATCGGTAGCGGCGATTCATTCATCACATTCCCTAGGGCAGTTGCCACCGGTGGCGGAGCGGAGCGATCGAGTCGGATTTCCTGGCGCGAGCAAGGTGAGGGAAATTTGATTCGATTCCTGGCAGAGAGAGATTGCTCTGGCTTGCTTCTCCCGAGGATCCATAGATACTGCTGCTGCGCTGCATTGCGGTGCTGAGAATCCGTGCCTGTTGGAACGAGTGAAGAAATATTTTGCCATGAATTCTCGCGCTCGCGATTTGAATGCTTGCCTTGCAGTGCGATCCCGTCGTTTTCTACTTGTGACGCCATCTGCATCGAAAGCTCAGCTGCATTGTCTCATTCTTGCCGTGTCGATCGATTCTTTTCTTTTATTTTACGCCCTTCCTCCTTTGCAGTCCTTCTTTGGAGGGAAGATCTCATCGTCGGATCTAACGTACAGCCACAGGCCATCTCCTTCGACTTGGAACTTTTCCGTGAGAGCAGCGGCAGTGTCCACTGAAACTGTGGAGAAAGTGAAGAAGAAAAACGAGGAAGGAGTTGTCACCAACTTGTTTAGGCCGAAGGAACCTTACGTCGGGCGATGCCTCCTCAACACCAAAATTGTGGGAGATGATGCTCCTGGAGAGACTTGGCATATGGTTTTTACGACCGAAGGTACGTGCGTTTCATGTGAAAAATCAACTCCTTTGTGGATTCGATCACTTATAACACTTGGCTTATCTCCAGGAAAAGTTCCATACCGAGAAGGCCAGTCCATTGGAATTGTCCCGCCCGGATTGGATGCCAAGGGAAAACCTCAGAAACTTCGACTTTACTCCATTGCTAGCAGTGCTCCAGGGGACTTTGGCGATTACAAGACTGTAAGTTTCCTCTCTTTTTCTTGCTTGGAAATTCAACGAGTTCTCATCGAGCTTCAGTCTTATCTTCCTCCCAGGTGTCTTTGTGCGTGAAGCGCCTCGTGTACGTGAATGACAAGGGAGAGGAAGTCAAGGGCGTGTGTTCCAACTTTCTCTGTAAGCAAAGCTCTCCTTCCAACGACAGTTGACATCAACCAAACAAGTTTTGCAGGCGATCTCAAGCCAGGAGATGAAGTCAGCATAACTGGACCTGTTGGGAAGGAGATGCTCATGCCAGTCGATCCAAACGCCACAATTATTATGGTACAACAAATCCATTTCCGAGGATTTCACGTCTGACACTCCTATTGCTTTTTTTTTTTTCATCAGCTTGGTACTGGTACTGGTATCGCACCCTTCAGAGGCTTTTTGTGGCGGATGTTTTTTGAGAAACACGACGACTATAAGGTGAGTTCTCTACATAAAAGGTCTCTTCTTAAAAGTAAACAAGAATGTTGGCTTTGGCAGTTTAACGGGCTAGCCTGGTTGTTCTTGGGAGTTCCAACTAGCAGCTCACTACTGTACAAAGAGGTGCGGCTTTAAGCTTTCGTGCTATCTATGCATAAACTTGCCATGTTTTTCAATCTCTCAGGAATTCGAGAAGATGAAAGAAAAGTTCCCAAACAATTTCAACCTCGACTTCGCAGTGAGCCGCGAGCAAACAAACGCCAAGGGCGAGAAGATGTACATCCAGACGCGAATGGCCGAGTATGCCGAGCAGCTTTGGGACCTCCTCAAGAAGGACAACACCTACGTCTATATGTGCGGCTTGAAAGGAATGGAGAAAGGAATCGACGATATCATGACCAGCCTCGCAGCCAAAGAAGGTAACGATTGAGATTTCATTCATACATTTCTAGCTCTCAAAATTCGTGACCACAGGGATCGACTGGGCGGAGTATAAGAAGCAGCTCAAGAAAGGCGAGCAGTGGAACGTCGAAGTCTACTAAACAAAGCTTCGCTCGCGAAATCGCTTGATGCAATGCCGCAGCATTTGTCGAAAGCTCCTTGTAAAAGTGACACGTCATTTTGCCACGTAGCTTAAACTAGACACGTCAATGGATACTTACGCGTTGGCAGCCACGGTGGCATAAAGTGTTGGAGATCTATTTCTAGGGTTTATCCGCGAGAGCGAGTGAGGGGCGATGCCGCGGCGATGGGTGGAGCCTCCCGAGTATCCGGTGATTTACGAGTTCCCAAAGGTCAGCGCCGTCGTCTCCAATTTCAGCTTCCGCGACATGATGCACATTCTCACCTACACCTCCGCCTCGGTTCCATTCGGCTATCTCGCCGGTAAGTGCTTGAGAAATGTAGCTCTGGGGGATGATCTTGTGTGGGTCTTCGAGCGAAATCTTCGATTCGTGGACGTGATTTCTCGTTTTCCTGTCTATGTGCGTCTGGGATTTCTGTTTGGGCAGAAATTTGTTAAGTTTTCGTGTCTTTTCTAGGATGTGATTTTTTTCTTTCCTGGATGTTTTAGGAGCGAGCGCAAGGGTGAAAGGTCCAGCGATGGTGGTGGCGGCACTCACAGGACTCCAGGCCGGATACATGGTGGCTTACATCTATTCCAAAGGCAGGCTCATGGGGATCTTTCCCAACGACGATGAAGTTGCAAGACTGGGAATGTCAACCATGAGCATATCGTGATCCAAGCTCCACCTCTTTTGCTTGACGGTGTGATTCAAAACAAGAAACATAGAAGAACTTCTCGAAACCAATAACCATTCATTTTCAAGTAAGCATTTGCGTTTTTCATCTTTCTCTCGGTCGTATCAAATTTTGGATTATCATCCTCCAGTCACTCATGCGATAGGACCATTATCCACATCCTCCCTCACCTTCTTAGTGGTAGTACTTCAGCATCACTGCCTTCAACCCAGCAAGGCTGGAAGGATCCAAGATCCCATTCTGCCATGATGGATCAAGAGTCTTGTGTCCAAGGATCATTGCTTTAATTTTTTTTTTCAACCACATGGAGTTTCTCATTTTTGTTTTTTTTTTTTTTAAGTGTGGACTTCAGTAGAAAATTTTTAATGACTTCATTGAAAATGATCAGGGTAATTTAATTGGGTGATTTCATAATAGAATATTTATATTATGATTGTGTATGTGAAAATAACATTGTTGACAACAAGTAAGAGTTGCTACACAATATTCAAAAATAAATATATATTAATTTTTAAAAATTAAATAAACTTTAATTGAAGCTTTTATTATAAGATAGTCATTCAATAACATAGTGTGGCATCATTCCTTACATGCTCTAATATTTGATGATATAATGTATTATTGAAAAGTACATAAATTCCATTTATAGTAACAAAATAAAATGAAATTTAAACTTCAACACTTAAACATTAGATATATATTCATTTATAACATTACTAATAACAAAAAAAATTAGAGAAAGATAAGAAGGAAAACATATAAATTAGAAAAGTTTCAAATGTTATAACCATAAATTTATTATAGAATAACCACATAGTGGAATTTAACTATTGGACACACATATCAGAGTAATGGAGAAAAACTTAAATTTTAAGATTTTAGGCCATTAAACAAAAAGACAAAACTAAACTCTTAAACATGTAGCTAAATAATGAAAGAATTAAAACATAGAACAATTCCTAAACATACAACTAAAGAACAAAAAAAAAAAAAGCATAAAATAATTCCCAAGCATACATTCAATAAATAAAAGATATAAACATGACAATGAAACAATCCTAGAGCATTTAACATTTTAATGCTAAAACCAACACACAAAACAAAGTTAGTTTATTTCAATATACCTAATATAAAATATGGGTACTCCACCATCTAATATAGTAAGTTTATAACTAAGTTGAATGCCGGCGCAAAAATACAAAGATCTAGTTGCCCTAAACTACGCTATACCACCTCTTGAGGTTCCTCACCACCCAACCACCCCCAAGCTACCTCAAAAGCTCCACTGCACTGCTGCTCCACTATGAGCCCTAGGGTAGGTTAAGTCCCTTACCCTAATATGCCTTAATATACCCTTGAACCTCCCTTTGACCATAGTTAAAGCTGACACCTAACAATTCTTCCCCCTCAACAAAGTCTTTGTCCCAAGGATAAATTGTACCAATGATCACCCTTTCTGGGGAACCTGCTCAAGCTCCTGGTCCACAGTTGTTTAGCAAGAAGCTAAACAATATATTAAGTTGGTCACCCATTCTTGACTTACACCCCTATAAAAGTATGTTTTAGGCTTTCACCTAGGAGTTAATCTCCAAAATAATTATAAAAACTTAATAAATATAAAATGATGCTTTAGTATTCAAAACAAGCTCTACATTTTTACTATTAGATTGACATTTTTCATAAATAGCCAATGAGACTAAAATATAACTAACACATAGCAAAAGTGTCTTGGTGGACACAATAAATTATTATGTAGTGGTATTGAGGGATTAAAGTTTAATATGCAAGATTTCACCAATAAAAGACATAATGAGATGGGGTACTTTTTACTAAGTTATGTTCACTTAGCTAATAACACATAGGAATTCCATATTTATGCTCATCCAATTTAAGTATGAAATGCCAATTAACTCCACTAGCAGAAGAGGAAATAATAAAGGGTTTAGTATTATCAATTTTCTATTGTTGTGACAATAATAAGAGAAGAATATTTAAAAGAATTCGCCAACAAGTAACTTATAATATTCATAGGGTTTTAAGATACATCTAACTAGTTTACAATCACCTTCAAGAAATATAACAATGAATAAATAGATGAGGATCAATTTAAACCACTATTGAATTAGGTATCAAGCTGTAAACTTATCACAATATAGTCGAAAGGACCTTCAACTATTATAAAATAGGTATACACATTTGTTGTCATAGAGAGTTACACTTATTTTACTATAAAAATTATAGAAGTACTTACCCAACAATTTATGTCAAAAGGAATAGCCTCTATAAGCTCTTACAAACTGCATAAATAATGCTAACACACTACATAGTCAATTGCATAAAAAAGGCAAAGAAGCCTCAAATTGATTGGTTCCACAAGACACTAGTGGATGGCACCTACAAGATTACTAAGAGATAGGTGACAGTACCTAGTCATGAGAAGACTACTCACCACAAGTTTGCTTCTAGTGCCAACACACTATAGATTCTCCGAGAGGCCACTGAGCAACACTAGGAGAGGGTGTCAAGAGCTGCAAGACCTTGTCGATAGCATCTATACAGGTGCCTGACTAGAAGAACAAAGATGTGTTGCTGAAACTTGCTCACATATAGACCCATTCACTTGCGATTGCTTACAAAGTGACTATGATTATAACCACAAGAAGAAAAAGTGACTAGGGTTTATGACCACGTGGCACAACACTATTGGATGTGCTTAAGTCACTTTAGTACTTGATTGATTAATTCATTGGATAAAGAAATGAGTTGATTAATTATGTCAGTTATGTTAATTGTGACACCAAGAACACATCCTTACCTAGCCTATCTATACTTGGGAGACCATTATATGTGGCACTTGATCCAGTCCCAAACTAGAAGCCACTAATTGATTGCCATGCTGCTGCATGCTTCAGAGTTTGAAAGGTCTATTATACTTTTAAGACCACAATTTTAAAAAAGTATATTATTAATTTTATAAAAGCATATCCCAAGCAAACTATCATAATATTAAATTCTAGTAGTTTGTCCACAAGACAGATGCCGTGCAAATAATATATTATTTTTAAAGTTAGTTTATGAAATGAATGGTGTTTTTTGCTTCTTCTTTATATTATTTTAGTTGAGGTCTTCTTGATATGATTTGTGTTGTCATGTAAAAATATAAGGCTGTGGTATAAAGCGGAATTATGGGCATTTTCCTCCTAACAAAAACCCATTAAATGATCATATCTCAAATGATAATGGACAATTGAAACCTGGGGCTGGTATTTTTTCTACATGTAGACTCTTCAGGCTAAAATGTAAACAACAGTAGTATTACTACTGACCCAAAACCAACAACAGGACTTGGAGCATATTGTAAGAATTTTAAGAAGAAAGAAGAGTGGTCAACTATAAATCTTGATTGAAAATAAAGTGGTGGTTACATAATAATTTAATTTTTTTTTTAAGTTTCTGGGAGATTAGATGGTGGTGCATGCCAGAACGTTGGTGGAGTCTGTCTGCTGGCAGCAAACAGGAGTCCCTCCGCACTCGCTACCCACATTTACCGCACAATTTGCAGCATTGACAGTCACAAGTGTACCAGGAGGTGCAGCAGGGAAATTCGAGCAGCAGTAAGAAGTGGAATCATTTCCACAAGTTTGGTTGCCCTGTCCCAAGGCAGGATTGAGAAAGAGAGCAGCACTCAGGGCCAGGAATGTGGCAATAACCTTAATTGAAGAAGAAGAAAAAGCCATGATTGTAAGAGCAGCTGAATGAGAATGGGTTTGTCTCTTTGGACGCTTAGAATTTATTGAGTTAAGATTGTCCTTCTTCGAGGGTGTAAGTTGTATGATCGTCCTTTTGTTCATTCATGCAATTAACTAGAGATTCCCTAAACCCGATACACACGAAGCTCATGTGAGAGCTCCTAAAGTGGACTTTATACTGCCAACTTAATTATCTTCCAAGAACATTTGTACTAATACAGCTAGTTTTGAAGCTATAGAAAAGACTCAACTGATAGTCAAGAAGGCCACATCTACCAAAAAAAGTCAACAGGACACTACAGAGAACTTAACTTAAGAAGACAACGTCTTTAAATTACAGCTCTGGATTCCGAGACAATCCCAGCTCCTAGGGGAACCTAGAAAGAACAACCCAAACAACTCTCACCGCCCAATCATAAAAGCAAAGGATTGTAATTCCATGATTGAATATAATAGTATATTCTTCTATATAAACATTTAGATATTTATAATAATAAAAATTCTGAACACCAATTAAATTTGTCATATTTTTTAAAACTTTTATCACTTTTCTTTTGGTAAAATTCTCTAGATCTTGCAATATGCTTGTATTAACATACAGGTTTTCTCTCTATGGTATTCCAAAACCAATACAACTTCATCAGATTTTTGAAAAGAAAGAAATGTGATCAAAGTATAAATGTTGATGACTTCATTCAAAACGTTAATAAGTTTTTATATTATGCGTGTTTATAAGACTAGGGTTCCAGAGCCTTGGGCGATGCCGCGATGGAGAAAGGTATGGGATTACCTGGCCTAGCTCTTGCACATTCCCTCCCATGTCATGGCTGTGGTGCCGGCGGCTCGCAATTCGCCGTTTTTCTCGAGAGAAAGGAGAGGCTATGGCGCTTCCAGCACCAGCGACGAAGGAATGCACGGAAGGACTTTCACAAAAACAAGCAGCAGTGGCTCAGAGGATCAAAAAATTCTCAGCTGGAACAAGATCAAACAAGAGGAGGACAAGAGGAAAAAGGAGATGGTGCTGGAGCTCATTGCTGCATTGAAGGCGGCGAGCGGCTCAAGAGCGATCGAGAGGGGAAGGCAGCTCCATGCCGCAGCGATTGAGAGTGGCAACGGTTCCAACTTCTACGTTGCGAGCTCTCTCGTGAGCATGTACGCGAGATGTGGCTGCATGGGCGAGGCTCGCTCGGTGTTTGATGCCATGGAGCACCACGATGTGGTTCTCTGGACAGCGCTCATGCTCGGCTACTCCAAGAACGGCCAGGGAGAAGCGACTTTGGAGCTCTTCTCGCGGATGCTGCTCGTCGCAAGGCCGAATTCTCTAACGTTTCTGGCTGTGCTCAAGGGCCTTTCGAGCTTGGCTGCAAGGGAGGAAGGCAGGAGATTCGGTGGAAAGGTGGTGAAGACAAGGACTCTGGAAAGAGTCATGGCTGTCCACTTGCAAGCCGAGGGATTTGGATGCGAGCTGGATAACTTTGTGGCGAGCTCGCTGGTGGACATTTATGCCAGGTGTGGGAGCATGAGGGATGCTCGCAGAGTTTTCGATCGAATGCCGAGCCACAACTTGGTGGTCTGGACGGCATTGATCCTGGGCTATGCTACGAACGGGGAGAATGAGGTTGGCCTCAGGCTCTTCGCTCGGATGCTTGGCGAAGAAGAAGGACGCAGGACAGATTCGCATGCTTTTGTTGCTGCGCTCAAAGCTTGCACGGGGCTGACGGACAGAGAGGTGGCAAACGACTCAGGTGTAAAGATCCAGTGCTTGGAGAAAGTCATGGCTGTGCATCGTGAAGCTGCCAAGAGTGGAGTTGCAACGGAGATGTTCGTGGGAAGTGTCCTGGTGGATACATACGCGAAGTGCGGAAGCATGGAGGACTCCCGCATCGTGTTTGAGAAGATGGTGGCTCAGGACGTGGTCTCGTGGACCGCTCTCCTGTTTGGCTACGCACAGAATGGCGAGAGCGAGCTGACCCTTCGGATGTTTGAGAGAAT